CGCTGCTTGATGTGTGCATAACGTGAGCAGACAGATACTGATGAGTGACTGGGATTTCTGACATCACCTGAGAGGAAGCAGCAGCTAGCAGACAACTAAAAGTCTGATGGATTCAATCTTCCAGCTTAATTACACACACACACACACACACACACACCGTCTGTGGCACCGAACCGACCTGAATGTAGTCGGCATCGGTCAGCGTTGACATGGGAAAGGTTAGGGCTGGAAAAATGAAAATAAAATGTTGTCAGATGTTATTTTATTTACTAAAAACTCCTAAATTGAGGGGAAAACGCTACAACTTAAATGGATACTGAACCAGTTTCCACTTTTGCACCTAAATATTTTCGTTATTGTGCTCGTGTTACATTTTTGACCTATTTTCCAGAGGGAATATAAATGAAGGAATAAGACTTTTTTGGGGTACGTCAGCACAGGCCGGCTTAAGGGTGCGATTGTTTTGTGCACCTGAAGTGTGCTGCTGTGGCTAGACTACCAGATTGATTCCTTGCAGACAGCAGGCAGGGTGGTTTTGCTGATGTAGCTGTTCTGATTTAGCTGAGAACAGCTCACAGAAAATATTCTTTAAATGACACCTGCATCTGTCGTTTAGCTGCTTCAGTGTTTGTTTCATTCTCATCAGATAAAAACACCAAGATTCAATTCTGCTTCTTTATTTATCTTCTTAAATAAATTGGTCTTCAGCTGAGCTGGAAAATCTGCATCTGTCTCCTTCAAGACATGCAAAAAGCTTCCATTCAATGCACCGTTATCCATCTTTTTAACGATTTCCTCCTCATTATATGCAGACAGCCTCTTCCTTATTCTGTCTCCATCAGATATGCATGCCAGGTTGCTTTTTCTTGATAATATTTCGGAAACTCTGTAGCAGCATCCTCACAGCCTCGCCGTTTCTGCTCTGTTCTCAGGGAGCTCACATGACCTTTAACAAATGAACTCATCCAACATGCCAGTTGATCCGTGTCTGCTAAGATCACAGAGCTCCAGTCAGGCATTTGTTCATCATTTCTGTCGTTAAAAAGCAAAAAAAAAAGTTACTTTTGTTAAAAATGTGTTATTTATCTGAAAGATTCTGACTCAAAACCCAAGGCTTTGTGTGTATTAGTGCGTGGTTTACATTTCAGCTTGGGATTGTTTAGACTGTAAGTAAGACAAACATTTCGTTGAACAATTGATCATTTTTATTTAAATTTCATGGTTAAACAGGTTTCCTAAAATATAAACATAATAAAATAAATACAATATTATCATGAAAAAAGTCAGTTTTCATGATAATATTATCTGGTCTGAAGGTGTGGAACACTCAAAAATATTTTTAATGAATATTTCAGTTTATAATCAGTCACTGAGTTTTTCATGCAGCCTGAACATGAAAATAGTCTCCTACACCTATTTTCTGCATTAGCTTTTGATAGAAAATAGACGGTGAAACTCTAGGATTTGAAAAGCCTGACAGATCCAGGTCACACTGTCGCTTGACGTTCATGGACTCACCCATCGTGACTCGCGACGGGGAAGGCTGTTGTTGGTTTAGCGTCCAGGAAACAGCAGAGAACGTCTCGAATAAAAAATGTTAACTCATTAACTGCCATTGATGACAAAAGCCGTCATTTTAAATCCAACCGTTCACTGTATGGGCGTCGGAACGAGCCCCAGCACCATGAGAACAAACATCCCAGCTCTAAAGCCGATCATGCGTACGTCACACGTCATGTGATCATGTTGGGAGATCATTTTGGGCCGATGCTGTAAAAAAAAAAGGGAAGCGCCAACCGGAAAAGCTTCTGCCGATCACAATTCGACAACGGATTAAGAAAGAACGGATAGCGCTCGGAAAGCGCGGATTCTTCCTGATGTAAGAGGTGAGTCTCCACCTTGTTTTGGTAGTTTTGGCGTCGACATCGTCCTAAAGCGCATCGTTCTGTGACTCTTAAAAAAACTGAAAACGCTGAAAAACGCTTGCAGCGAAGGGCTTTTCTGATCAGGAAAGGTCTAGCAGTGAATGAGTTCATCATTAGCATTAGCAATGCCACCACACAGCAGAACTCCTCCAAGCTTGTGTTTGTGGAGATGAAACATCACCATTGCAAAGCAAATGGAGTCAATGGTAGAGTCATGTTGCTGATATAGGGAGTCTAAGAAAAGCCCACCTACTCCTGGACCATGTGTCCCTGGAATTTTTTTTAAATGAATGCAAGTAAATGGAGCTAAAAACGCTGTTTTATAATTCTGTTTATGTGCCATGGATTTCACATATGATGTCTGTGAATTTTAAAGACTTATTCTAATGGCAAGAAAGCACTTATTTTTGAACGGGGGGAAACGTTATTTTTGGTTTTGAGTGAAAATACGTCCAGGACAACAAATGTGCTTCACCAAATTGACGTCATCAAACAAGACATGGAGAAGAGCAGAGGACAAATGGCTGCAAGTTTAGCAAACTTGATTTTCTTCCTTCAGAAAGAAAGAACCACCATAAATCTGGCCATGTGGTGAGTAGCAGCTACGCTAGGGAAGAGGAGGTTCTGTGGTGATGTATGTGCGACATATTGACTTCTGATTTGTAGTCATGCTAATTATGAACTTTTACGAGCTTGTAAATCTCAAAGTACCTGACTAGTGTGGTCGAAACACACATCATTACTTTTCAATTAAATTTAAGAACAACATTCAGGGCGTCAGGCAAAGTGGATTAGAAAATCACTCTTTTAGCCCCGTTCACTTGCACTCAATTTTTTGTTCCTCCCATGAGTCGACCAGAATGGAAGGAGACTAAATCTCCCTATCCAATCTGAGGTGAGATGTCCAAATATCAGGAAATAACACTCCAAATCCAAACATCTGAAGCTCTAATCTGATCTGGCTTCCTGAAAATGGTGCACCGGGACATTTCCCCCCTGAATACGACTTACAATTCCTTCTAAAGACCACTGCAAATATATTTATTTAAAAAGTGTTCCACACCTTTAAAGAGCAAGTCAAGCCCTACCAGAGTCTAAAGCTTGGTTTATGCTTGACGCGTTTACTTTCCGCTTGGTGATCCGGCTCGCGGATGGAACGTGCTTCACAACTTGCAGCGTTTATGGTTCATGCGGCTCGTCTCTGCGGTGAACCAATATTCTCCCAAACTGTAGGGGGCAGCATGGAGCTCTACGGCATGCATACATCACTACACCATAGTAGAAGTAGAAATTACTGTTGTTTACAACATGGCATTCCAGAATTTTTAACAGCGTCCTCGTCTTTTCCGACAGTGCGAGTTATTTCTCTCCAAGAATTATTTACAACATGTTGATCATGGTGATCTTTGAGAGCTGAATCATACAAATGTCTGTATTTACGAACCTCTGCCATACTAGTTCTTGCCAGTCCGCCATGTTTTTCTGCATCCGACCGTCCGCGTGGTTAGAAAATTTCTTAGGTGCGCGGTGCGGAAAATTTTGGCCGTGCGGAGGCGCGGTGGAGGGGCGTGGTTGTTAAAATGAGGCAATTTCGCCGTGCGAACCTCGCGGATGCGTCAAGCATAAACCAACCTTAACTCCACTCCCACTTCATGTTTGAAAAATGCAACAAATGCTGTTGCTTGGCAGACCGAGAAGGCTGAGCCGCTAACAAATACACACACACAGGCTCACGACAGCATTGTGACATCATAATGCATCAGTTTACATCATAGCATACCTCTTAGCCAATAGCGGTGGCAGATTTAAATTAAAATACAGTGCAGAGTTTTTACCTGACAAAGGCACAACACTGCCAGTTTTAGGCAGAATATTTAAATTCTAACTAAGATGCACTGAAGTGCCAAATTATTGACGACACGTGTCTGCAGCACGATTAGACACTCGTTTATTTAGTTTATCAGCAAAAAAAAGTTTATTTGTGGGTGACTTGCTCTTTAAACTCCTGGATCATTTATTGTGTCACAAAATGATTTGTATTCTGGATCAGGAAGAGACATAGCCTGGTGAACTAGACCACATTCTTGCTTTGCAAAGTTTAAATATTATGTTTATTTAGTCTGGCTTGCCAGACTAGAAGAGACTTGTTTCTATACAAAACTAAAGTTCAGATCTTCTGGGGAAAGGCCAGGCCAACGTTATTTATAAAGCACCTAAAAGTGACCAAAGAGCTATCCAAGAGAACAATTAGACGACATAAGATAAAAGGATAAAACAAATACAACAACAGAAAGAGATTCAATTGTAATAGTATTGTATTCTGATTAGCAAAAGCCTTCTGATGTGATCATTGTTCATGTATATTCTTTTCTTTTCTGCACCATGAGTAGGAATTGTTTGGTCAACCAACCAATCAGTTTCCTGGCATGTAGCTGCTCCTCTGAATAGATGAGCATCCCTGCAGCGAGCTATTCTAATCCCCAGCTCATGAGGGCTTTGGCACAACATATGACAAAAAAATGTAAAACCAAAAGAAATACAGTGAGGAAAGATTTTTGTGTGTGTGTGTGTTTTGTTTATTCAAACTCATTCTGTCATTTCAGGACTCAAAGACACAAGTGGTGCAGAAAGACTTCATTACAACCTTATAGCTCTTTTTTTGCAAACAGCTTCAAATGAGTTTGCTCATCCGTGTTTGTCACATGCCTGCAGGCAATCTGTTGTGTTAGTATTGATCCGTTATGTGGAGATGAGCTTGGCTCACCCATGGGCAACCTATATACAAGTCATTTCGTATAAAATAGGTCCACTAAAGACCCAATCTTGCAGTGATCCCTGTGTGAATGTGCGCTTGTGTGTGCACACTGTTTTCAGGGGAAGTTAATTCCTTCAGGTTACAAAAAACAAATGGGGGCAGCAGTGAGACCCTAAAGTAACAAGCCATTGTTCAGTCCAGTAAGCCTAAAGTCAGACATATTACGGAGCAGATGAAGGAGTGGAAAGAGGCTGACGTACGGCAAATAGTGAGATTTGGTGTTTGATGGATGAAGGCTTATTGAACTTGATGTGTTGCAGGTGTGACTGTGAGTGAGGATCCTCGTCTCCACAGAGTGGCGGCAAGCCCTTTGTCAGCAGATCACCAGAGAGCGGCACCATGCCGCAGCAGCAGCCTCCAGCCGCCCTCCACCCCGGCCCTGCCACGGCGCTACCTGCCTCCACAGCCCAGGAGCTCCCCTGGAGGTTAGGAGAATATTTTTTTCTTCTTCAACTTTTTTCTGCTTCCACAGAAAAACCCTATTAAAATGATAATTTATTTCATCAATTATTTCTACACTCTAAAAATGAAAATTTGAATTTACCTATTCAAGTTACATCAGTCGGTTCCACTAAACCTATTTGCTTAAAGGTGCAATAAGTAAAAATTTTCCACTGAAAAAAATCTAATGTCTCAATCACGTTGCGAGGGTTAAATTGAAACAGACTTCCTTCTCAGCCATCTGAGGAGTTGTCAGTTTTAATCCTTTTAGAAAGGCCAAAGAGGGACTTAGTCTTTGTTTACAATCTGTCCTGCCTCTATACTTCCTGGTTCCAAAGCCAGTCATATTAGTGCCAGCAATGTCGCCAATCCTTCACCAGCATATACTGCTGTGCTGGCATTTGTAATTCAACACCAGCTGGCAAAGAGCAGCGGTGTTGTGGACAGAATGGATGCCAATAAGTGGGGTGGCCCAGTAGCAAAATATATTAGCAGATAAAAGTAAAACAGTTTTTGTTTTCCTCTAATATCAGATGAAATAGGCTACCGTTAAGCTGACAATGCTAACAGTGAATTAGAAAAAAATAGACACCTCTAAAAATATCTCAAGCTACTATTTTCTATTACTAACAACTCTACATTAAAGTGAAATGTATTTATTTAAACATCAGCATCAGCTAGCTGTGTATGACTCGTATTTGCTCGTCATCTAGAATCTTCTGGTTCTGACCTGTAACTGCTAACTGTTGCTCAGAGTGAACTTGTTTGTTGTGGTTTTTGGACTGCAGTACCCAAACTTGACCAAAGGATGTCATTCTTTCTTCATGCACCTTTAAATGTAAATATACATAAAATACATAGTTATATGTTGTTATGTTAGAAGGAAATGTGTATTACTTTTTACATTTAACCAGCAGAACCAGTTGACATAACTTGGTTAAATAAATTCAACATTTCATTTTTTACAGTGTATACACCCTTCATAATAAAAGCTGTTCTTTTTTTCAAGAAAATCCGGAAACACAAAGATTAAAGATAATGATTTAGCTTCTCTAGCAAGAGAGCCGAGAAGCAAAAACACCCAGCTCTGGCTTTCTTGGCAGCAGCACACTTTCTGCCGGCGATAATTTTCACACACTACAGTTTTTCCCTAGTTTTGGTAACACCAGAGGCCCCTATAGCATCACACTTCACTCAGTCACACTTGTTGGATGTGTTTAAACTTTTATAGTGTCTGGTTGAAAACTCAACACGAAACCCAGACATGTTTCCTTTATTTCTCTCTTTGTGGCTTCAGTTGGAGCAAAAAGCCTTTTGGACAGCGTAACAAAGCAGTGCTGTCAGACAGCGGTTTTCGCTCCCCTCTTTGTGTGTCAGTAAAAAGATTCCCCTCACCCTCCGTACCCTGAACTGAATTTAAGTGGATTGTAAATTATTGATGAACAAAGTCACTGTCAAGCTGCAAGTGTGCGCAGAAGCTACTTTTTCTGTGAAAACTAACCTGCAGACTGTAGCGTGCAAACTAAATTGTGTTTAAATGTCTGAAAACAACAATTAAAAAATACATTTTGCAGAGGTGTGGACTCGAGTCACATGACTTGGACTCGAGTCATTATTTTAATGACTTCTGACTTGACTTGATAAAATCTATGAAGACTTGCGACTTGACTTGGACTTGCATCTGTTGACTTGATGATGACTTGAGCATATTTGATATTTTAGCACAAAAGTGGCACGACCTGGACAAAAGTCATAAATCATTCTACGTTCTGGGTTTGATTTACTGCTAAATGCAGCAGCTCTTTATTTATAATCAACTTCAGTTGCATTTTTTGCTTGTTTGATCAAATAATTTAAGTTTTAAGAAGCTTTATTTCTGGAATTTATTTATTATCATCATTAATTTGAAGTTGGACAGATGACTTGATTATGACCTGAAAATTCAAAGTTAAGGACTTGGACTTAACTTAGACTTCCACATCATTGACTTTGGACTCGACTTGGACTTAGTTGTCTTTGACTTGGGCTTAAATTGAGACTTGACTGGAAAGACTTGTGACTTACTTGTGACTTGCAAAGCAGTGACTTCGTCACATCTCAGACATTTTGATTATGTCTGTTGATGGTATTTGTGTTATTTGGCCTTCTTGTAGTTAAGGCAGAGATGGAGGTTACGAAAGGATTGCTCAACAGAAGTGAGGCTGAGCTGAAGAGTAGCTGTTGCAGAGATGGGAGAAGAACCACCTCAGTACAACATGGTATCATCAGCATACATCCAAATCTGAGAACCACCGGCAGCTTTGGCAACATCATTAATGTAGCTGGAGAATAGAGTTGGACCCAAAATGGAGCCTTAAGGTACACCTTTAGAGGTGCCTGCCTTGTAACAGAAGGGTTAATGGTGGTGGTTGGAGGGACTGTGCTGCCAATGCTCAGCAGCTTCACCCCAGGGCTGCTCTGGCTACTGTGGAGCTCATCTCCATCAGTGGGTTAATGTATGTGCTTGGGACTGGTTGTGTTGTAAAGTGCATTGGGGGGATATAGAACTATAGAAGGTGCTGTATTAATTACAGGCCATTTGCCATAGTAAGTGGTTCTGACAAGATGTTTTAGGGCCGTTAGCTGATGGACACGATTGGTTAGAGAGCTGCCAAATCACTCACAGCAAAAAGAGACAGACCGATATGAGATAGTCTGTGTAAGAGAGTATTACGGTCAAAAGTCAGATCAATGAAGAAAACTATGCAAATAATGATGCTATCCAAAATATCTAAGGCCACGCATACATAACCATGTCCTTTCACTGTATCTTTTGCATGAAATGGGATTGAGGGATAGGAGAGGGAGGTGTTGAAGGCATCTTGCATTTATTCTATGAGGGAAGAGTTTGGAAAGTGACTGTGGGGTCACTTTTTAATCTTGGACATCGCTTTGAGATGCACTAGTATGAAAAGCCCTTCATAAATAAGCATTGATTGATTGATTGATTGATTGATTGATTGATTGATTGATTGGTTGGTTGACTAATTGATTGATTCAAAGGTATTAAAACATTGTGATATTTGTTGAAAAGGATGTTTTTTGTAGCAGCAATGCCCTTTGGTCGCCAGCTCCTCAGACTAGCCGTTAGCCCATCAGTTTGGTCAGAGCGAATCTGTTTCTCTAAACTGAGGTCATTCAAAGAGCTTCCTGCCGACTTTCCCCAGAAATTTTATTCAAAGAGTTCCAGTGTCTGAACATAAATGCCAGCCAAAAATACATGAACCTGAAATTATTCTAAAAGTAAGTGACTTTCTTTATGAGCACTAGTTACCCGCTCCAAACAAGAAGACAACAGCAAATTCTGATGGTTTTTCCTTCAAGAGCTTTTAAAGTCAAATGCCGAGTGGTGTGATTTGATTTGTTTTCCCTGACATACGAGTCCCTCTCCGAGCAACGTGTGATCATGCCCAGTGAACACACAAATGCTGTCTCCTAAGGCCTGAAGTATCTCTCCTTAGTTTCATGGGACTTGTTAAGAACCAGAGGCTTCTTCCCCTTAACGGGTTTAATTAGTTTCTCTTTTTCCTCAACTCTCTGTCACGACAGGCTCTCTGCAAACCTTTCCAGCTTCACACAGTTTCTTCCTTTTTCACTTTTCATCATTTTGAACTTCTGTGCAACACATCTAACAGTTATCCTTTAAAATCAGCTGCTCGTTTACACACACACACACACACACACACACACACACACACACACACACACACACACACACACACACACACACACACACTTACACCTCACCAACTGTGCAGCGGAGTTAATGTCTCACAGGAGAGCTCATGTAAGCACAAAAAATGTGCTTAGTATGTGATGTGCACAAAGTTCCTAAAGATATTTAAGATGTTGGACACATTTTCTTTTTGACTAATGATCTTGACGTTTGTAGTTCTACACAGTAGGGGGTAATCAAGAGATGAGAAGAGAGGGCCAGCAGGGAAATTTAAAACTATGAAGAAGAAGTTGAATAAAGACAAACATGCTTGAAATAATGATTCTTGTAAGTGTGCAGTGACTTATTATTTTGCTATTGGGCTATTGGTTATTTCTATTGGTCATAGTAGGGTTAAAATTCATTAGTACATTATTCTTTTCAAAAATATCCCCCTTTTTGATTAATTTGTCAAAATTCCCGTAGCATGATACCGCCACCACCGTGCTTTACCGTACAGCTGTCGCTCTCAAGTCACTGACTTGATGTGCCGTGACTTTACAGCAATCCCCATACTAAGCAAGCATGCAGCCCCTTTAATAGCCACAACAAGGGAAAAGCAATGCTCTTTTTGCAGTTTTGTTCATTTGTCAATTGGGACAGCAGTGTTAATAACATAATTTAAGGTAATAATAGTGTAAAAATACAGTTAAGATGATTCAGATGTAAAGGGACAATGTTTAACTTTCTATTTAAATGTGAAAATACATTTTTTAGAATTAGATAAAGTCCCTGTTACGGCTGGTGCCGTAACTTGTTACCCCAGGTCTGCTAGACAGCCTGGGACGCAACAGTCCCTATTAGATATCGGGACTAAAATATCAGTTAAAGGGTTAAAATAATGTACTACTTCTCTTGTTTTGTATTTTTTTAAGTTTATTCATAATTATATATTACTCATTACATGAATATAATCTTGTAAATAAAGTTTAAGTCACGTTAGTCATCATGTGAAAGGATTTTGCATGTGACCCATCCCCGTGGGGAGCTGCAGCTGCACTCGGGAACTTTTTGGTGGTCTAACCCCCCCCCCAATCCAACCCCTTAATACGGGGAGGAATTGGGTTCCATTTTTAAAGTCTTTGGTGTGACCCGAATGGATTTGAACCCCTGATCTCCCAGTTTCAGGGCGGACACTTGTACCACTAGGCCACTGAGAAGGTGTAATAAATAAATAAATGTAATAATAAAGCAACAAATAGTTTAAACCAGTTAAAATGGGACCTGATGAGGTTTTAAAGACGCATTGATTCATGTTGTCTGTGTATTGACAGTTGGTAGGAAGGAGTTTCAGAGGAGTTCAGAGGTCACACGCTCTCTCCCTTCGTCTCCAAAGCGGCTGGCAGTGGTTCCTCCAAAACCTCAGTCTCCAGGTAAGGTTGTCTTACGTTTCCATAGCAACCATTCCCATTTATACACAGTGTACGGGTTACTAACCTAAAAACACTGTCAATGGTAATGGTGTTTTATTATAGTTTACTCTCTTACTGTGCATTCTTTTTACTGGTCTCAGCAAAACCTCCCTCTCACGCCTTCAAGCCATCCAAAATGCAGCAGCCAGACTCCTAACCAAATCCAGTGGACGAGCTCACATCACCCCAGTTTTACAGTCCCTCCACTGGCTCCCGGTAGAATATAGAATTCAGTTTAAAGTTTTAGTGCTGACCTATAGAGCTCTTAACAACCAGGCTCCAAGCTATTTATCTGAGCTTTTATCCCCACACACCACCTCACGGAACCTCCGATCCACATCTGAAAACCTCCTGGCTGTTCCTCGAACCAGACTAAAAACCAAAGAGGACAGGGCCTTTCAGTCTATTGCCCCCAGACTTTGGAACAGTCTGCCTTCAAATCTCCGTCTCTTGAAATCTGTAGAGGTCTTCAAAAAACATCTTAAAACTCACCTTTTCATCCAGGCTTTCCCCCGCTAAATATTCTAAAAGATGGCTTTGTTCTTGTTCACACCTTCACTTTGTTTTTACTCCTGATTTTGGTTACTATTGTTGTCACTGCTATTGTTTTTATGGTGTTTTTATTGGTTTGAGGTATTTGTCCTGATTTTACTCATGTTGTACAGCGCTTTGTGATTTATATCTGTGAAAGGCGCTATATAAATACACTTTACTTACTTACTTACTTACTTCCTGTAGCTCATCTTTATAATAGGTAATATTAATCCAGCTACACCCATTCTTCACCCATCTGGTGCAGGCCGTAGAGATTTAATCAATGCTGTCTAGACTTTTCCTTTTCTCAGTTCTGCAGTTGTGTCACAGCCTTGCAGCAGACCTCCCAACATCTCTTTTCTCTTCTTCACTTTACATTTTGACATTATTTCCTCTCATCTTCCTTATTTTTTCGTACTTTGTAGCATTTCTTTTGTTTTACTGAGATTTACAGACAAAGACTGTAGCGTTTCTTTCACTCGCTCTCAGCCACGTGTCAGAATAAGGAGAAACAACGACCCTCCTAGGAACATTTCGGCCTCAGTACCTTTAAGAACAGCCCATAAAACAAATGATCACGCTGCTCTACCGCGGGTGTGGCGTCATCTCTTTTCCCATTGTTGCTGATGTTGGTATTCCACATCTGTCTCCCTTTCACTCTCATTTTGTATTCAGGACCCTTGCTCTAACCTTTCAGACGAAGCCTACAGATTTCTATAGGTGTGTGTGGGACGACACGTGTTTGTAGGAATGTGGTTTTTAGGCAATAATACAGGACTTTTGCACATTTTTTGCACATTTTCTTAATTCAAGCCTAATAATTTTTTCTTGCCATATTTCGGTCCAGTTCATCACTCGCACTTGATTGCTCTCCGACATTGATCATCATCACAGCCAATCGCTAACCACCACCCCACCCCCACCCTCCTCTCACAACACCTTTCTCTCTTTTCTCTCTCCACCCCCTATTCCTCCATTCAATTCTTCACTTATTACCTAGGACCCCTGCACCCCAAACCCTGCCTTGTGTTGTCATGGAAACCACTTACACATATTTGAATAGGTCTGAATGGTTCAGATGGGGAAAGAGATGCAGAGATGCAGCCATTCAAATGCTTTGGTATCTGAGAGGGTAAATTAAAGAGGAAAACCCCTGTTGCAAAGCTTTTTTTTACATCACATGACAAGGTGACGACACACACAGAGGTTAACAGACTCCCTTGTAAGTCAGCTGCCACCTATGTTTATGCTCCTCAAGGGGAAAATGGCTTTTAAGCATCTTGTTTGGTTGATCATTAGTGGATGGAGACCTTACTTACACTAATGGTTTTGCACACAGAAAATTAGTGTGCATGTTTGTGTTTTTACAGTCACACCGACGGTTTCTGAACCTCATTTGTTGCCAAATGCATTAATCAGGAGCCTAGATCAGCTAGAACACCAGAACCAGACTTCCTCTGCCGAGAAGATCCAATTACCTTACAGTCATTTATCACTGTGAACGCCATCATTAGCAGCAGGTCAGGTCAAGTCAAATCTCGTTTGATTTAATCCTCATCAGCACCATTATCACTCAGGGTTAGAATTTAGATCATGACACATGTGAGATGTCATTTAAATATTTAAATCAAGACCAGAAGCAACATTTGTCCTTGGGAAAGCACGCTTTTTGCTTTTCTCCTTCCCACAGTCCAGGCCGGTCAGCGGCCTGCAGCCGCCATTCGAGGTTCAACTCCTTCAGGGTCACCACGCCGCGTGAACCCCCTGAGACCGCATCAGGAACTCCAGGAGAACCTGCAGCGCGAGAAAGAGGAGGCTCAGCAGAAAGAGAAAGAACAGCAGGAAGAGGAGAGAAAAAAGGAGGAGCAAAGGCAGGAGGTGGGCTCAGGAGGAAATCAGTCTCACTACTACTCAAAGTTTGCTTTCTTTTGGCTTCATTCTCTTCTATTTCTTGTTTTGCTTAGGTTCAGAGGCTGCAGGGGCATTGTGAGCAACAGGAGGTGCAGCTGAAGGCTCTAAGAGATGAGTTGAAGAAGATGTCTTTAGGTCTCGAAGCTTTCATCATCACCAGTCAGCATTATTGCCTCAAGGTGGGCAAAATGAAATGATACTGAAAGCTTTGTTGACATTTTATCTAAAGAAATTACTTAAAAAACCAAAATGATTATCAGTAGAGAGTTCATCACTGTCATTTTTTATCACAGTGACCCTTTAGGAGCACTTAGCACTTTCATTCACTCTGAGCTGAGTAGCATAGCGTTCATGAACTCAAGGACAGATACAATATTTAACACCGCAAGGTGAGCTTCAGCAAGATGAGGAAGAGTGATTGAGGCTGAGAAGAGGGTCCATGAGAGTTCAGTGTGTCACTGAGCCGGTTCCATCCCGATCCGCCTGATGGGACCATTTAGCCTCTGAGGCTGTCTGTCATAGACCTGTCTGACTCTCATGGTTGCTGTCTGCATTCTCTGACTAGACGGGTGGTGGGGGTTATCTGGTAGGTTTGAGCTCCCTCTGCTGGCAGCGGTCAAACGCTGAGTTAATGGTGTGTTTTGCTTTGCTTCGTATTCAGGTCAGATTCTGGATGCCGTCAGCACAGCACTGGGCATATCCATTTTTAAATTAAGCTAAATGTTTTTGCTCATAGAAGAAAAAAAAGTGCAAACAGTAAATTCACATTATTAAGTGATGTGAAAGGGCTGGCCAGGAGGAGACATGGCCACCCCACTGCCCCCACCCAGGGAACTACCTCACCTCAACTCACATGCCTCTTCTTTAATCAAGATATAAATGTTAAAGTCAATATTTATTAGATTTTAAATAAAATTAAAATTGCATATTTGTCACTAAGGCTCACCATTAAAAAATACATAAATTTGAATAGGTTTTGTAGATATTTTTTTGAAACAGCAAAAGGCTAAATTAAGCAGCTTTAAAATTCTAAAACGATGAAATTATTTATTCAAAATATTTGAATTTTGTCTTTTTTCAAAAATGTTTGTGTTTGTTAAATTTGAGGTAAATGTGTTGACTGTTGGGTTATTTTTATTGAAACCAGGTCACCTTAAAGAGAAGTCAAACGCACAGAGGATTAGAGCAATATTATTGTTCAATCCTACTTTGCAAAGAGGAGAGATGAAATGAATACACACCCAAGCATGGTTCACAGGATCTCTCAGCGAACATTCGTTCTCTGAGGGTTTTTATTAGCAAGTGTCACGCCCTGTCCTGTCTACTCTTAGGTTTTGTCTGTTCTCCGTTAATTGCTCCCACCTGCCTCTTGTTTCCCAATCACCATAGCTCCCGCTCCTCTTGTATTTAAACCCCTTCTGTTCTGTGTTCCCTGTCGTGTCATTGTTTCAGTGTCCAGCGTGTGTTTCCAATAAATCGATGTTAGAAGTCCTCACCTGCCTGCCTGTTTTCCTCCCCGCGTGTGGATCCTTGCCTCACCTCAGCTCACCTCGCCACACGCTCGTGACAGCACGTCACATCACATTCCTAAACTGCTCCGTAGAGATTCAGGTGGAAAGCTGTTTAACGTAGGGAGTAAAAACAATGGCACAACTCCCTCATACAAAACCATGGGAATATTATTCTTTTAATGAAAAAGAAAAAAGGAGCAATGCAACACACAGCTACAGGCTGAATTCCCAGAGTTACCACAAGGACCAGTTTGGTGTGCCATCCCAAAATTTTCACTGGACTCAAATCTTCTTATGGTCCCCCCTACTCGATTCAAGACATGAGGAGATCGCTCATTCCAGGCTGTCGCGCCAAGGCTTTGGAATGAGTCACCGCTGTTCTTACATTCACTTGACTCCTTTGATGCGTTTAAGAGCAATCTGAAAACCCATTTGTTTCTCCGGGCATTCTAAACATATTTTGTATGCAGACTGGCTGTATACGATTTTTTATGTATATTGTGACTGTGTTTTATAGTAGCCTTTATATGTCGTTTTAACTTGTGAAGCACTTTGTGAACTTTTTGTCTGTGAGAGGTGCTATATAAATAATTCAATTCAATTCAATTCAATTCAAGTTTATTTATATAGCGCCAAATCACGACAAGAGTCGTCTCAAGGCACTTCACATAATAAACATTCAATTCAGGTCAGTTCATTAAGCCAATCAGAAATAATGTTTCCTATATAAGGAACCCAGCAAAATGCATCCTATACAGCAATCCTCATACTAAGCAAGCATAAAGCGACAGTGGAGAGGAAAACTCCCTTTTAACAGGAAGAAACCTCCAGAGAATCCTGGCTCAGTATAAGCAGCCATCCTCCACGACTCACTGGGGATCGATTAGACAGAGCAGGCACACACACACACACACGCACTCACGCACGCTTACTTACTTACTAGCTGTTTGTTTTTAATTTTCAGAATGAAACTACTGAGGAAATTCAAAAGGAACTGGCCCAAGAAGTCAACAAAATCAGAGAGGAGATGGGTAAAAAAATTCAATTCCCTTAATTTAAACATCTCATTAAGATTCTTTTCACTTTAAGATGATGAAAAATACATACAAGTTTCTACCGTAATTTCCGGACTATAGAGCGCACCTCAATATAAGCCGCACCAGCAAAAAAAAAAAAAAAAAAAAAAAAAGGCTTTCTACACACACACACCACTCAAATACAAGCCGCGGCGCAGCAGCCACATGCAGGTCTCCGGCGCACAGCGCACGTACGGCCATAACATAAGATAATTAGACAGAAAGACGCTACACGGAGGTTTTTCATTGTTGTTTTAATTCTACAAAACAAATTTTAAACACGGGTGAACATGCCTGCAAGTTTAGAAGAGAAAACAGCACTGATAGCATTCATATTTCTGGTTGGTTATAAAATAAAAACAGAACTGACACGTTATTACCGGTAATTTGCATGTTTAGAAGAAAAGAACAGCGCTGACACGGCATTAATAAGCCCCGGATGATTAGAAAATAAAAACTGCACACAAAACATGCCTGGTTAGTAATGATCTGCACAGTGGAAACACCTCGGCCGTCTGCGCTTTGTGTGTTCACCCAGTCTTCAAGAATGTTTTCCAATTCCGGCCATCTGCTTTCATTTCCTCTGAAAGCTTTTGTCGTTTTTCTTACATTGACTGAGTTCTTCCCGCTGCCGCCTCCAACGTCGCATCATTGATTCATTTATGCCAAGCCCCCGTGCAGTTTCCTGATTTGATTCAATCAAAGAGCGTCTTCTTCCGCGCCTAACGTTCTGCCGTGCCTTTCTCACTTTACTGCTGGGAAGTGCCTCTAGTGGTTGTTGGCCAACAAAAATCCACACATGAGCCGCACCACGATACTGGCTGCAGGCTTCGAAGCACAGGAAAATAATAGCGGCTTGTAGGCCGGAAATTACGGTAATTACAAACTCTTTCCTCAGTAGAAATGTGTGTAAACAGTAAATAAAATAAAATGATAAATGTGTTTTAATGTCTAACAATATCTAAACTGAAAGACTGATTGTCTTTGGCGCACAGCATCACAGTCGCTACGCTGGGAGAGACTCCAGCAGGACAAAGCGGCGCTGGAGGAGGCGTTTGAGCTCCAGCTGCAGGAGCTCCAGCTGCAGCAGGAGGCAGAGCTGGCTGCTGTGGAGGAAGGGCTCAGGAAGTGTCATGCAGCAGAGATGGAGCACATGAGGGTGGAGCATCGGTCGGAAATGGAAGAGCTGAGCACTCAGCAGCAGGAGCAGGTGGGTGTGGAGGCTTTTCACGTGAAATCTGGGCTGTCACCAGAATCCTTCACTGTGTGGACATTTGTGGAATTGTTAGATGGAGGAGATGACAGTCAGCCACCAGGCAGCCATTCAGGAGCTCAGAGACATGCATAATATCACCATGGCAACACTGCACGAAGAGCACGCCCGCACCATGAGAGGTACGGCGCTAAACTTCATTTGGAAAACAAAATTAGGATGCAGGCTCTGTTGGAAGCAATTCTCTTTTTGTTGTTTTTCTGCATCCCTGTGTAGATTTAAGGAAAGCTCACGAGCAGCAGAAGAATCTTCTAGAGGAGGAATTTGAGAAACTCAGGCTTTCTCTACAGGTATTGTAATTATTTTAAACATATGTTTCGTTCCTGCATGTGCGCAAATGAGTTGTGCGTTTCCCATGTTTGATCAGGATCAAGTCGACACGCTCACGTTTCAAAACGAGAGTCTGAAGGACAAAGCCAAGCGCTTTGAGGAAGCTCTGAGAAGGAGTACAGATGAACAAATCCTTGTGAGTAAAAAGTCTGACACGATAAAGCCAGTACACCAGCTAAGAGTGGGTAAAAAACCTTTTTCTCTGTCCCCACGTGTCCACCAGGATGCTTTAGCTCCATACCAGCACATCGAGCAGGACCTGAAGAGCCTGAAAGAGGTTGTTGAGATGAAGAACCAGCAGATCCACCAGCAGGAGAAGAAGATCTCTGACCTGGAGAAAGTGGTAGGCTCAAATAAGCCACCTAAATATGATCAAGTACACAACAGACGATGATGATTCCGTGAATGAAAGATTGCGCGGTTGTCTGTTTTCGAGCAGGCCCAAAAGAACGTGTTCCTTGAGGAGAAAGTCCAGGTTCTGCAGCAGCAGAACGAAGACATGAAGGCTCGTATTGAAATGAACCTCGCCACCTCGAGGTAAGTCACGACCAGTAAATACGATACGTTTTATTAAACTGAGAAGTTTGGCTGTACTTCTTCATTATCTCAGCAAGATCTAAACATTCCAAGTTCTCTCAGGCTTTTGAGAGCAGCTTCACCCTGTTTGGTTCTGACCCGGGGGTTCTACCAGCTGACTGTTTCCTAAATAATCTCATAGCCTTGCTGGGTGTGTGTACTGTAAGGACAACTGACATGTATTCTGGCCCCATGCCACAGAGCGATTTATAAACTGGTAGAATCACTTTGAAACCGATTCTGTGGTTTACTGGTAACCAGGGTGGAGATCCAAGAACAGGAGTGATGTGATCGGTTCTCTTGGTTCTTGTTAAGACTCTAGCAGCAGCATTCTGAGTAAGCTGCATCCACGTTACAGTGCAAACGGAGGCAGAGTCATGTTGCTGTTAGCCAATCAGAGATGAGCTGTTTGCATATCAGGAATATTAATGAGTAGACTCCTAATCCCATCATTCTCCACCCTCCACTCCTCCAAGTTAACTTTGACCTCCCGAAACAGGAGCCCCAAATCTTTTCTCCACTAAAAACGACTCACACGATATTCATTCAGAGATTGATTGGTGTAACAAGTGTAGGCCCACTCTGATATTTATTATATGGGCTATATTATATTAGTTGTTTTGGCAAAATATAAAAAGATAAATATCTACATTTTTCCAGTCAGACCCGACCCTTGCACACATTCTCATGCATTCCTATGATCTTGGGTTTTTGTCCAACAGGCAGCTGACAGAGAAGAACGCCAACCTGCAGGAGTCTGTCGAGAAGGAGAGCACAGAGAAAAAGCGTTTGAGTCGGAACAATGAGGAGCTGCTGTGGCTCCTCCAGACCAGCCCTCTCATGTCCCCGGCCTCCTCCCCCTTGCACCGCTCCTTCTCTACCTCCCCCGTCCCCTCGTCCCCCTTGTTCTCCTCCTCCTCTTCACCTTTCGCTGGATGCGACTCCCCCACTCACTGTCACGGCTGCCCTAAGCAAGCTCAATACTGCTCCCCTTCCCACCGAGGCGCCGCCAATCAAAATCTCTCACCGGGACCAGCCACGCCCACTCACAGGGTGGCTGTCAATCAAAATTACTCCCCCGGCCCGAGCACACCCACACACAGAGCATCAGTCAGCCGCTTTAACTCAAATGCGTCGCTGCAGAGTTAAAACCAGCTTTTGAAGCTTGCTCGTTCCCTTTTGCCCTCCTTTTTTTTAGATAATAAACAAAGTAGTCGGTACAGTTTAGTTTATCACTAAACTGTACGGCCACTGTGAAAGCATTGAAGTTACACAGTTAAAGCCAGTACAGCTAGTGGTGCCATATGTGTTAAATACACAAAAATACGAAAAAATGAATAAGCTTGCTCCTTTATTTAAGATTTGTACGAGCACAGAATATTTAAATGTATTACCTGTATAAAAGGGGCACAGGAAATGTTGATTGTTAAACCTCCTTGCTTGGGCAACAGTTTAAGTGGATTTTATCACATCAGTTTAACCAGAATACACGTAAATGCCTGGTTACTCCTGTAAACCTCGGCTAAATAAGCTGGACTCTATTCTGTCATTTGGGCTAGTTTCTTATTCTCAGATCTATTGTTTTTTTTTCCTGAACAAAGCGCCTTATTCTTGGTCCTGCCACCACACCAGCACAGAGTGACCAACTCACACGGGACGTTCGCTCAAGAATCGGTTCATAAATCAAAACAAAGCTCGATGGGTAGCCTCCCCAACGTCTACGTAACCTTTTCAAATTCCTTCAGCGCTTATGTTGGCGAGGAACAACGCTTCTTTGGAACCCCAGCCATGTTTACCTGCAACACACAAAGAACTTAATGTGTTTTTTAAAACCCTGTCAGGTCTTCCTTCAACACACGAGCTACTCTTTACTTTTGGGATCCCTCAGGTCAACGTGCAAAACCTAAGTCTCCAATTTACCTCAGCGGGAAGGTTTGTTCCGTCGCGTCTCGGCAGAAACGGTAATAACAAAAACGCGCAGCTGACAGAGAGCTCTGAGCTAAGAGGGAAACCTAGCACAGGAATCGCTGTTTTAAACCTGCATTTATTTTTTAAATGTGACGTTTGAATCTAATTTAATTTACACATGCGTTTTAAGTAGGCATGTACTGTGAAAGTCTTCCAGTTTAAATGTAACATAGTTATTGCTGTGATTTATTTATTTATTTATTTATTATTTATTACGCTTGAAATGTAAAAAAAATAATGTGTTTGTAACTTTAAACAATATAAATATATACATGTATTTCTCATGGGACAGAGGTAGAATATATGACACGAGAAAACAAAAATCTGCAAACGTCATCCTCACACCGACAGCTACATGCAAGCATTTGCCATCTTCTGGCTTGACTCTCTGAACTTCTGCATCAGAACGCTAGCCAGCCTTGAAACATTAGTGCATTGTTATTTGATATTATGTATAAAACGAACTTGTCAAGATCTGACAGGTCAGTAAATTAATGTAATTTTCCTCTGGGTGTAGAAAGCTCCTATGACTGTACTTCTCAGAGGACTTTCTAATGTAATTTGCGTCTATAAGCTATGTAGTCCTTAAAGAGGCAGGTTAACCTTCTGTTTACTGCTTTGTAATGTACTAAATTAGAGTAGACTTTTCTGAACTTGTAGTAACTTCTTCATAATCTCTTTTGTTAACTTGAATTTGACTGATCTTTTATATTCTTTACTTCTACGAACTACATTGAAATCTTGGTGTCCAAGAATATATCAGGGAAATCTGTTTGATTTACATTTTTAATAGTTGCCCATCCGACTTTAAAAGCTGTTTAGGGATTTCCCAGAATATTTTTATTTTCCCCTCTTTGAAAGTACAACAGAAAAATTTTTCCTGTATATTTGAATATTGAAAAGAATATTATTACTGCAAACTTTAGGCCCGTTTCCGCTGTCAGCACTTCCGGGTAATTTTACTGGACAGCATGCACGTGTCTCCATTCCACTGAGTCGGTCTGACAGGACCACCGTCCAGGCCATTCAGGGACCAGCCGAGTACCGGGATATGTACTCAGAAAAGGCCCGGTGGAGTCACTACGAGGAGTTCTGGTTAACTCGTGCAGATTGGTTGCAACTCAGTAGGAAATGACACCAACACGTGTCACCAAACAACCGGTATTTGTAAAATTGGAAGATTGGCTAGTGAAGTGGAATGGGGCAAAAAGAAAATAAGTGTTGATGCTGCTTAAAATTGGCATTTCTATTCCTCAAGGCCAAAAAAGTGACGAAAATCCACCACCAAATGATGCTACTTTGTAGTCTCCTACAGATCAATGTAAAAAGAAAGGGGCCTTGTTCTTGTCATTGAACACTGCTTTTTACGTCACCCACATGCCCTCCCCGTCCCTCAAATGGATTAAATTATGCCATACTTCAGCAGAAGGAAACTTTTGATGTCATCAATGTCTGTGGACAACCTTTTAGTGCTGATCGGTGACGTCACTGGCTGCTGAAGCAGTTGCGATATGCTGACATCTTAGAAAAGTCCTGAAAGAGCTGATATTGAATGGAGACACAACGGCTGGGAGGATCGAGCCATCATATGTCCTGGTCACTCCTCCTCCTCCCAGAATATTCCCAGAACTCCTGTAGAGGAAACATGTCATGGCTGCTTCCTGCTCCGGCGTCTGCTGACTGAATTACGCTCGGGGTTTCAGCCTTTTACACGGCTTTAAACAAGACACCCCGTCATAGAAAATAGTTCATTTATTTTCAGAAACTTTAAGGGATACATCAGATATTATCAATGTGAGTGTATTTTAATTATTAACATAGCAGCAATCCAATTTGGAGCCATCAAAACTTTTTTCCCACAGAAAACCACTTTAAAAATTCTTAACTATCACTTTATTATTTAACCGTACTTGAAAGGGATATCTGTAAATAGACAAGGCTAGAATTAAAAAAGAAGAGAGTAAGTCTGTTAGCAGTTACATCATTAACGGCAGCATGTCCGATGTGGTTTTGTTTATTAGTAAATGAATGCATGAGTGATGAGTGGGTGGGCTTGGTTGGGGGTTTCTTTATTTACCACCACCCGCACTAGAAACTTTCTTGGTTTACCTGTTCTGAAAGTATATTGAGACCCTGCACACACGTAGTCCGGTATCCCACAAAATGAAGATGTTTTTCTACAGTCTGGCCTGTCATCAACACAGCGGTGAAGATACGCCAAAACCAGTTCTTTCAAAGAGTCCGACTAATTATCTGTTGCCAGCCTGCTTGTGGATGTAAATAACCAGGGTTTTAGGTTTTGTAACATCGCTGACCGTGAAGCTTTAAACTCACTTGTTTTTTCAAGTTGAATGCTCGATGTAGGCGAAGGACGACATTAAGGACAGTTTTTGCCTGCCACCTAGTTATTCCACAACCAAGGAATATCTTCGGCAAAGATACACACAATTTTGGGATCTACCGCCGCCTGTGAATGTGCTTCACAAGGCACTGGATTTTTTGAAAACCAAGTGGTGTACACCCATATTTGGGCAGAAGAGAATTTCCGGTTTTCCGAACAGCCAGCTACGTGTGCACTTGGCATAAGGTTCACCAGCACTCCTGCTCTGAATGTTTCCAGCCCAGCAGGTGAGCACCATGTAAAGGATAGCCAGTTTTTCAGCTGCAGATAAATGGGTCTCTGTCTACTCTACCAGCACTTTTGATGGTCTTTTCATTAACCTTCAGCATTTTTGTATAATGCATAAACAGGGTTAACCGCTCTTAAACGGAAGAATGTTAGAGATAGAGTAGGAGAACTTATCAATTCTCATTGAATTTTTATATATACATCTATATCCACGCTGATGATTATGAGAATGTCTTTGATTAATTACAAAAATATACCAGTCAGAAATTCACTGTGTTTTCAGATGATTAGATTTACTATTCACCCGGGACGCTGACAGATTCATCACCTCCGGTGCAAAAACTGAAGTCTACAAGGATGCAACAAAGCTACTGTTTACAAATGACAGCACAAAGTTCTCATTGTCATCTGAAATCTTTAGAGTGGTCCTTAGTTTCTAAACGCTAAACTGGTATTGAGCCTTCGATGTGTCCTGTGGACATTTGTGTCTCACTTTGAATGTCAAAAATGTAGTGAGTGCAGTTTTTTTTACAAGTCTTTTGTGTGATTCCGGTTAATATTGAAGGACCTGTTGTTGGACCACTTTGTAGCAGCCGTTAACTATGTAGCATTTAATTGGACCATAGAATAACATGATGGGTAATTTATTACGTTTGTTAAAACACACATATTGATATTTAAATGCTACGATTGCAAATGTTTCTACAGCTTGTCCACCTTCGCCTCGAGAATTTGAATTTATCGAGGTAACCTCTAAAATAGGTCCGGTGTTCTGAGAAAACGTCCTACTTTGGCAAAACGTCCTACCCGTAGGTGAATTTTACGGTCTTTTACATGACACAAACCCTACCCCTCACCCTACCCCTAACCCTAACCAAAGAAACAAAGTACTAATACTTACTACTTATCTATTTTCCTGCAAAGATGACAGCGGAGTAGCAATCCCCTTTTGTGTTGTGCGCATGCGCGCACATGCTCAGTAACAACGGGTAGGACGGTTTACCGGGTAGGAGAAATTCTCAGAACACCGGCTGGATTTTGGTCCCAAGACTAGCCTTTGGCACTGCTTGTATGTTTGAATGTAAATACATTTACAACTTGAGTTGTGTCTTTGTGTGCCAGCAGAGAAATGGAAGCATGTTTTCTCTGCCTTAATGCTGTTTCTTGTTTTCTCGCTCTCTTTCTCATCTTTTAGCTCTCTGTATTTTTCATGGTTTAGACGTAGCTGTAGATTGGGAGATTTAGAAGACGAGGAATAAAACTGCTCAACAATGTAATGTAAACACAGAATGTTGATGCTTGTCTTTGTAGTTTCTGCAGAGGACAGCAGTATTAAAAAATTACAAAATGGAAGAAAATTTGTTTTATTTTGAAGGGTAAATTTTGAGGATCAGGTCTCTGCTTTTTGCAGATGATGTGGTCCTGTTGGCTTCATCAGAACGCGATCTTTTGCTGGAGCGGTTCGCAGCCGAGTGTGAAGCAGCTGGGATGAGAATCAGCTCCTCTAAATCTGAGACCATGGTCTTGATTCGGAAAAGGGTAGAATGCCTTCTCCGGGTCAGGGATGAGGTCCTGTTCCAAGTGGAGGAGTTCAAGTATCTCAGGGTCTTGTTCACGAGTGAGGGAAAACTGGAGCGTGAGATCGATAGGCGGATTGGTGTTGCATCTGCAGTGATGTGGGCGTTGTACCGGTCTGTCGTGGGGAAGAGAGAGCTGAGTCAGAAGGCGAAGCTCTCGATTTACCGGTCGATCTACGTTCCTACCCTCACTTATGGTCATGAGCTTTGGGTAGAGACCAAAAGAACGAGATTGCGGATACAAGTGGCCGAAATGAGTTTTCTCCGAAGAGTGGCTGGGCTCTCCCTTAGAGATAGGGTGAGAAGTTTGGTCATTCGGGAGGGGCTCGGAGTAGACCCGCTGCTCCTCCACATCGAGAGGAGCCAGTTGAGGTGGCTCGGGCATCTGGTCAGGATGCCTCCTGGATGCCTCCCTGGTGAGGTTTTCCGGGCACGTCCAACCGGGAGGAGACCTAAAGGTAGACCCAGGACACGGTGGAGGGACTATGTCTCACAGCTGGTCAGGGAACGCCTTGGGATTCCCCCGGAGGAGCTGGCCCAAGTGGCTGGGGAGAGGGAAGTCAGGGCCTCTCGACTTAGGCTACTGCCCCCACGACCCGACTCCGGATAAGCGGATGAAAATGGATGGATGGGTAAATTTTGAACAGCTTATAATCGATTTAAATTGAAATAATTACTGATTATGGTTGTTTTTTTTATCTCCAGTTGACTATTGTTGAACCAGTACTGGAACATTTATTATTCAATGTTTACATTTACATCACTATGTTTATGTTTATTCATTTAGCAGACGCTTTTATCCAAAGTGACGTACAATTTGTAACCTATAGGGCATGCTGTGATCTGTGGGGGAAACCGGAGTACCCGGAGGAAACCCACGCATGCATGGGGAGAACACGCAACTCCACGCAGAAAGGCCACAGCCGAGTTTCGAACCTGCAACCTTCGTGCTGCGAGGCAACAGTGCTAACCACTGTGCCACCATGAATTGCATTTGAAAAACTTGCACAAAGCCCAAGATATTCAGCCCGTGAAGCAGTTAAAACATGAAAACAAGGACATTTTAACATTTTAATTCCATCTATTTAAGACAATTTCCAAGTTTTCCCTAATTCCATTTAGGTTACACTACTATTAGCAAGGCCTTGGCAATAAAACACATAAAAAGGGCCCATATGAATACTCTTGATAAAAGTCATGCAACCACAACAGTTTATTGCACTCTTCTCAGAGCACAAGCCACAGACACGAACCCCTTGCATCTCTACAGCAACCTCACTTTCGGACAAAGTGAGACAGGACGTCGATGGGCAGAGGGAAGATGATGGTGGAGTTCTTCTCTGCAGCGATGGTGTTGAGGGTTTGCAGGTAGCGAAGTTGCAGAGCTGATGGAGACTCCGCTATCACGAGGGACGCTTCCTTCAAGGCACGGGACGCATTCATCTCCCCCTCGGCTGCAATAACCTAAAACAAGAGAGAAACAGAGGTTGGAGCGGTGCATAAAAACAAGTCAAAAATCAATTTTGTTAGAATGAACTTGTCTCAACATTGTGTTGTATGTGCTGACCTTTGCTCTGGCCTCTCGAGCAGCCTCCGCTTCAGCAGCCATGGCTCTCTGCAGCTGAACGGGCAGCTTCACATCTTTGATCTCCACTCGCTCCACCTTGATGCCCCAGTTGTCTGTGGCTTCATCCAAATTGGACTGGAAAAGACCGAAAGAGGAATGTCTCACACCTGAAGCTTATAGTTTACCTCCAAAGCACCACACGCATCATAAAAACACCTGCTATGTGGACTCTTGAAGTGCAGAATTTGACCTTTTGACCTTCTTCTGCAGATCAGGCATTATAATTGATAACAGAATGATTGATAATGTCGAGTTGTTGGTAATTGAAAAAAGTAGCTTGAGATATTTTTAGAGCCGACAATTTTTTTCTAAGTCAAAATTAGCATTGTTAGCTCAATGTTAGCATCTAGCCTTCTTTACCTGATGGTAAACGGCCTGTATTTGATATAGCGCCTTCTAGAGTCCTGGAACCCCCAAGGCGCTTTACAACACAATCAGTCATTCACCCATTCACACACACATTCACACAATGGTGGGGATGAGCTACGATGTAGCCACAGCTGCCCTGGGGCACACTGACAGAGGCGATCGAGGCTGCCGAGCACAGGCGCCACCGGTCCCTCCGACCACCACCAGCAGGCAAGGTGGATTAAGTGTCTTGCCCAAGGACGCAACGACAGTGACAGACTGAGCGGGGCTCAAACCTGCAACCTTCCGATTACGGGGCGAGCACTTAACTCCTGTGCCACCGTCGCCCTGTACCTGATATTAGCGTAAAACAAAAAGATGCAACTAAAACAAAAGAAATAACTTCTGGGCTGCTCTGGAGGGTGTCAAATTACAAATGACAGCACAGTGTTTGTGTTGAACAGAGACAAACATACAGTTGCAACCACTGGTGTACTATTAAAAACAGATCACTTGGGATTGACTTATCCAGCCTACCTGTGGGAATTTCAAATTTTTATTTATATTATGACTATTTATATTAAATGTTTGAATTTATTTTATTTTATCATATTTATATTTTGATTGTCATGCCATACCATATGACTGATTTAGTGAAAAAGCATAATACAAACGGCAGCCCGCTGCTACACCAGCTCTGTGGTGTTAAAGGCTTGGCGATTTTGCGGGCTCACATATGATTGGCTCTGGAACCAGGAAGTATGAAGGCAGCACTGACTGTAAACAATGACTCCTTCCCTTTTTAGCTTTTTAAAAATGAGAGCTCCGGTCAACCCTCCCCCAGCCAGCTGTGAGGAAAATCTGTTTCAATGTATCTTTCCTTCCAACACAAATGAGACATTTTACTGTGTCGTGATTATTTCACAGTAAAATTCCTACTTATTGCACCCTTAAGATTCTATACCTGCATGCTGTGAGCGATGCCCTCACGGTCAGACAAGACCTCAGCGAGGTTCTTAGTACCCAGAACATTTCTGAGGGTGGTTTGAGCCAGCAACCGGGTGGAAAAGTCAGCGTTAGTCACATTGGCTACAGAGGCGATGGGGTCATTGACCCGGAAGTACACCACCCCGTCCACACAAACAGTAACTGAGTCCTTAGTCAGAATCTGAAGAGGAAATGAATTATTAGGTTTATGCAGTTTGATTTGGAAATATAAATGTGCAGTTTTTATGAAACGCTTATTATTGTGTGGAAACCTGCCTCTTGAGGTGGGATGTCAAATGAAACGGTTCTCAAATCCACTTTCACAAAGGAGTCAGTGCATGGCAAAATGAAGAAAATTCCTGTTCATGGTATAACAATGTGCTTTAGTCAGAAACACTGAATGATTTAAGTAAAAGAAAAGAAAAGTTAACAAATAGTGCACCTGGTCCTTTTGGTTTCCTGTCTGTGATGCGGCCCAGTCTGAAGATGACAGCCCGCTCGTACTCCTGAACAATCTGCAACCACCAAACACGGCTCACTTTCACACTCACAGAATAGGAAACACTGTTTTTTTTTGTTTGTTTGCCACTTTGTTTTTATGTTTGTCAGTTTGTTTTGATTCACCTTCAAGCAAAACCAGATTGTGATGGGGAAGAGCAAAAACGAGAAGAGGCCAGAGAGGATGACGATGAACCAGCCGATGCACCCTAGAGACCCTGTGCGTGACTCAGCTGCAGAAGAAAAAAAAACAAATGTATTTCTAAATGTGTTTGACTGCTTTACTGAGCTGAAACTGAGACTCAAGACAGGAATTTTTGTTTTCTTTCACAATCAAAGTAATTTTCCATCCTTGCATGAGCTAAAACGTCAGTATTACACAACAGAAAATGGATGGCTTCCTTTTAAAGCTTTACAGCTTGTAGCGCTGTCGGGAGATAAAAGATGTGCCAACACACATGTGTTCTTTGAGATCAGGACCCATTACCAGCAACTTTCCCTCTGACAAAGACTCCATCTTAATGTGCAAACATTGAAATATTTGCAGACATACTTAGATCTTTGCTAAAAACAAGAAGGTTTCCATATCTATTGAGGCAAGCACCACCAGCTAGTATTTTTAAATCACGCTTGAAAACTCACTACTTAAACCTAGCATATACCACATAAGTATGAACCTCACTTAGATCAACATTGTTTAAAAATGGAATTCACAATATCAACTTCCGTACTATTGAGGTATTTCTTAAAATGTTTTTCTAATTTTTAATCTCCCTGTGTCTTATTGATTTTTAGCTGTTAGTTTTGGGGATTTTTGTTGTATTTCTTTTTTCTTTTTTTTTTAAATCTTTTATCTGTGTTCGTCCGACATGATTGTATAACGCGGTTTAAATTCACTAACATTTTTGCTGTACAGTGCCTTGTTTGGTTGTAATGCCATGTTGAATGCGCTTTATAAATAAAATTGGATTGGATATCTGTGTGCTTCTGCGACCTCGATTCCAACTTCAGCTACTCCCATCAGTGGGTTTTCCGGTGAAAAAGCTACTAAAACTTTTAAATTACGCCGACATTAGATCAGAGTGAAGCACTATTAGAGTGACAGTTATATTTTAATGGGAAATGCCAATTTGTTCACAGCCCATGATGTTCTGCTTCCTGTGCCTTTCACTATAAACACACAAAAACCACACAACACTGCCTCTCTGAGCCAAACCACAGGAAAGCAGTGGGAACAGCTTTGTGTGGTTCAGATGAGGTGCTTTCACAGTTGCTTCATAACAGACCTGAGGTTTAAGCTCGAACTCAAAGGAAATTGCAGTATAGTCTATGAAAGCAAGTGTGTGCATGGAAATAGATGTAAATGAGGTGTAGATAGCGTTGAGTCAGAGTACAGCAGCTCCAGATGATAGATCATTTTCATTTATGTGAGGAAAAATTAAAATATTAGAGGTAATTAACATCTTTTTGTAAACACAAAACTACAGGGAACCGCACACACACACACACACACACACATCTGGTCACATGCTTCTGGGACCGTATATCTGTGATTTTTGTCTCTATGGCGATGGAGTTGTGGCTCATGTTTGCTTATCGACACAAAGAGCATAATAAACTCCTGCTCACATAACACACACAAAAATTGTCTACGTTTAGGAAAAATAAACAAGACTAATTCAAAGAATCAAATATTTTAGTAGCTGTGGTTTTTAATCCCCCATTTTATTGATTGATTGTATTTTGGATTTAAAATAAAAGGTTTTACTTGCATATCAAGTTATCTTTGCTGGCGACCTTTCCTCTCTGGCTTTCCATTTGGTGCTCCATTCCTGTGCGCCGGTCAGGACTGAGAGTGGGGAGTTAGCAGAAGCAGATCACATAAAGAGGAAGCGATCCAGCCGTTTGAAGCAGCGTTGCAGCCATATAATGTGGCTTAATGTGTAGGTGTGGCTCTGAGCTGATGATCGACAGAGTGCAAGCTTCAAGTTTCTCGTGGGTTAAAAAACAAACTCAAAGGTTGTGAAATTGTTTATGGAATGTAGATTTTATGGAAAATATACCAGTGAGATTCATTTTACAATGCACATATATTTATTTATTATGTATATATATATAAGAATAGTTGTAGGAGTAGGGATACACCAATTATTGGTCTATTCCTACTCTACTCCAATAGATAGACCAATAAATTTGTTGGGAAACACATTGGTGTATCTATTGGAGTGGTTTAGGGATGGATCGACCCATTTATTGGTCTATCCCTACTCTTACCGTAGTATATAGGGCCAATATTTTCCATTTTTTGTATGTATGACATTGGCCGATATACCAGATTTTAAAACAAGCACATCCGTGGGCAGCCTGGTGCTGCTGCCAAATTTTATAAATGCATATATCCTGAAAATCATCTGCTTAATAAATGCTCTCAATTTTTTTCCCACAATATATTTATAGCTATATTATGTTAGAATGTTGTGAAAAAAGGTTTAAAGGTCATTTGTTTTCGAAATTTGCCTAAACAAACATTTAATATCGAGCTGTTCACAATTAACATTCAAGACTTGATTAAATGTATTGTTCAAAAATTTATTTGGATCAGAAATGTTGGGCATCCAATGTCATTAGTGATATTTTTGCATGTTAGTAAGGAAGGAAACATCGGCCAAAAATCGGCAGCACATATCAGCCGTTGGAAATATCGGAGTAGGGATAGAGCGATTAATCGGCCGAGCATGAGTCCTATTTCCATGTTGTCGTTCTTTTTGAAAACACAGAAACGGTTTTGTTACCTGTTGACGCTACGTTTCGCCGACGGCTGCCGGCTTCTTCAGGCTGACGCTGATGGTGGCGCGTCCCTTCCTTCTCCGTTTATCTGCGGCCGCTGTCTCCTCTCCGACGATGCATCGTCCTCTGCTGCCCGCAGATAAACGGAGAAGGAAGGGACGCGCCACCATCAGCGTCAGCCTGAAGAAGCCGGCAGCCGTCGGCGAAACGTAGCGTCAACAGGTAACAAAACCGTTTCTGTGTTTTAAAAAAGAACGACAACACGGAATTAGAACGACACAGCAAGAACACACCTACGACGTTCAAATGAGTCCTATTTTATGAGGAAAGTGTACCCGTCACAAATGGAACCTGTAATTTATTCTAGAATAATTTGGAATTTACTAAATTCGTTATCTGAGAAAATGTGACCATTTTATTTAGTAAGTGGTAATTATGAATGGAAACAGCATCTTGTGACTAGTCTCATGACTATTTGACATGTGACTTGTTGATCTGCGTTGAGCAATAATTTTGTTTGATAAGAGTCATAAAAAACCTTGTCAGATAGGAGAAAGCTGTAAAGCCAGCCTGTTTAATCAGTGAAAACGGACAGGGATGTGAGACGTTTTATATTCATTTATTTTGTTATTTAATCAGCTTGAGTCATTGTATATAACAAGGCTGTGAATACTACAGAATACAGTAACAGACAAAATAAAGAATATCAAGTTTTGTTGTTTTCAATCAGTGAACTGCGCTTGAGTTCATGAAGTTGTCATTTTTAAAGGGAAAGAATTTCTAATCTGAAGAATTTAACAAAATACTGCTGTATTTTTTAAAGTTCGTACATAATCCAACATATTTTGTGTATCGGCGTGTACACAGTTCATTATGTCAGGTCAAATACTGCAGTCACAGTGTTTAGTAAACATTCAAAACACAAATCACAGTAAACACACACAAAAAAAACATGATCAGAGCTGCCAAATGCAACAAATATAACAATCACACTCCTGACCCCAAACCTGAATGACCTGCAGATATTTACAGTATTTAAAAACGTGACTCCAAACGACAAGTCAGGGAAAAGTTCACAGTAAAATAAAAACTGAGTTAGGCTCACAAATTCATTCAACTTAACCCTCTCAGGTTCAAAATAAGTTTTGATAAAAGGATGAGCAACTAAGTCCTTCAGGGGTACTTCTGAGTTAAAAATGCTCATGAAACACGTGTGTGGAGTAACCAGGTAGGTCGGTTTTAACGTTGCACATCTGCAACGTCTGCCTCCAGAGGGTTAAAAAAAATCATAATTCCATTTACTATTTAACGTCATCTTTCCATATTTTCTATAATTCATTATTAAATGTACTCCTAAAAACAGGCAAGTCAAAGCTAAAATAGGAACTACTTGTATTATATTTAACCTAATTAATATTTACAAGTGAAATGACATCCAGAGTAGTGTTTGGGCTCACTGAGGCGGGTGATTCTTCACTAACTAAAAAGGCAGGGATTGGTACGTGCGCGAGTCTTAAGGTGTAGGTTTTACTGCCAGCCTAACTGGGGGTGTAGTCCCGGCTGGGGTGGGAAGGGGTTTCCCGCGCCTGGAGTGTAGCTGGTGAAACTGTTGGCTTGAGGAGGAAAGCCCTCCAAAGCAGATGAAGGGTGAGCCTGGAGCAAAAAAAATAGGCCAGATGGGTCAAATATTCAATCAGATCACAGAGTACAGGTGTGTGTGTGTGCATGTGTGTGTGTGTGTGTGTGTGTGTCTACCTGCAGCAGGGCAGACTGCATGGTTGGGTTATGGAGGCCGCTGAGAGCAGCAGGGGAAGCAGCAGGAGAGAAGCCTGGTACTGCAGGGAAGGAGAGCAAGCTGGGAAACCCACTACCTCCTGGAGGCTGGAGAGCACCGCTCAACCTGGGGGGAAAGAAAAACAACTCTCAAAACTTCTAAAGTTACTGATTTAAACCACCAACATTCAGATGGTGAGTCCCACTAGCTGTCCTGCTGAGTCAATGTTAGTACTTAAAGGGGCTGAAGAAAACCTTTTTCTTTTTACAAATGGAAACTTTTCTTTGAGCCTCTATATACATGACAATTTGTTGGGGCTCAAAATGGCCCAGGAGCTCTGATAAATAGCAAACTGAACCCCACATTAAAGCCCTATAGTGGAAACATTGGTTTGCCCCGCCCACTCGGTCAGAACATGAATAGTAAACGAGCTACATGCTGACTGACTGGTTAAGAGCTCTATGACGCTGCCTGGAGCTGGAAACGTCGGTAGCACCTTGGGCTAGCGTTAGCAGTTGCTCAGACTAGCATTGTCCTGTGGTTAGCATTACTGCCACCAACATTTATATACTGCTGATGTTGACGTGGTGGGTTGAGGTTGGCTAAGGGGGTGAATCTAAGTTGATGAAGCTTTATAGCAGCTTTCCTCAGAATGAACCGTCTCACCGTTACGGCTTTTAGACACCCTGAGCTGGCCAAAGACAACAAGGTAAACATGGCTTTGAACTCTATGACCCTTTTAAGCAGTCATACTGTACAGTTCGAATAACCGGCCAATAAGAACTGGTCAGAATCTCTCATGTGCAGTTTGTTATTCATAATTTTTAAAGTATCAAAGTCTTATGAAGAGAACAAAATAAGTACCTAAGTTTCTGATATACTTAAATCGTTTTTCACCTTTGACAGCTTCAGATGTCAACAAAGGTGAGACTTTTTACTCCAATAATGACAAAAATCCTTCTGCAAGACTGTCAAAGAACTTAGAGTAATAAACCAGCATCTGAGTGACAACACAACAGGACTTTGGACCTTATAGGTGCAGCGTTTTACTTATCAGGCAAAACTATAGATGGAAAAATCAATGGTTTTATTTATGATGCTCCACTAGAGCCACTTTACAAGCAAGTGGAAATGAGTCATCTATACTTTAACTAATATTGTTTTCTGTTATAAATTAGCTCTTATCAGTTTTCTATTTCCTAATGACAACTGCAATCATTTTCCATGGCATTTGTGTGCAGGACAGTAAAATTCAGACATACCCAGGCTGGAAATTGGAGCTGAAAGCAGATGCAAACCCAGGTAAAACTGGTGACGATGATGGAACTCCAGCAGCAGCTACTGCTGCTGCTGCAGCGGCCTGCAGCGGAGCCACGGATGCTACTGAAGCAGGAGCTGCTCCCGGCAGCCCTATGAACGAAGGCAACACGGGGCTCCTGGTACCGTGTGCACCTGACACACCCAGTCCAGGAAAGGTAGTGGGGCTAGCCCCGGGTGTGAGGCCTTGGAATATAGAAGGGGCCGATGTGAGGCCCAGACCAAAAGGTGAGGCTGCACTTGGAGAGGCACTGGGAGCTAAGCCTGGGTATATGGAGGTTGGTGGGTGATTGGAAATGTTGGTGGTGGGAGTGATTTTGGGCAGGGATGAAGGGATGGAGGCAGACGGCAGGGCTGGAAAAGGAGACAGTCCTGGATAATGAGATGGGGCCGGGCTGGAGGACAATGCCTGGAGGCCGGTGATGGCAACGGGGCTAGGGAGGGAGACCTGGGGAGAGCCAGGGGGCTGTGACAGACCCAAAGAACGTGCCAGAGCCGCCTGAGCGGAGCCAGGTGGAACCAGCGAGTTGACAGATGGTGTAACAGAACGAGAAGTGCCCTTGAAAGCTGAGGGTACGGGACTGTTGCTACCACTGTTACTTTCTCCAGAGTGTCTGTTCAGAGATCCGGCTGCGACAGCCTGAGCAGGGTGAACAGGGGAGGGCTTCGGACTGGGACCTGGGGTGGAACAGTTAGGAATACCAGGAGTGGAGGACCCAGGAGTGAGAGGTGCAGTTCCAGAGGGGGTGTAACTTCGGATCACTGACCCAGAGGGGTTGGCTGCTTGGGAGTGCAAACCAGAAAAGTTGGGTCCTGACTGGTCTGACAACTGGGAATAAGTCCTCTGCTGAGTTGAGCCCACAGAGTTTGTTTGTGAGTGGGAGTCGGTACCGCCGCGCGCCGACGCAGGGGTTCCTGGTCGGGAGAGGGCGTGGAAGGGGGAGGAGGGAAAACCGCCGCTCCCAGGGACAGGAGTTCCACAGGGAGTGCCCGAGGGGGTGCGGGCTTTAATGACCGATGAAGGTGTAGGTGTGATGTGCCCAGTGGGAGTTTGTGGTCCCGCTTTAATCACAGATGGAGACGGTGTTGGGGCAGGAGAGGATGCACGGGTGTTATGGGAGGGCACCATGCCAGGGAAAACTGGTGTGATGGGAGTAGTGGGAGGCTGTGGAGCAGGGGAAGCCTGGGGTGGGAGGGGCGTCGAAGGAGTAGACCCATGATGGATAAGTAGGGGTCCACTGTTGACTCCAGGTGAGGTGTTCTGTGGATTTCCAGGTTTGGTGTAACCTGAAAAATAAAAGTAACTTTATTTTGTAAATAATAATATGATGGAAATTCTACTAAAGACTAACGTCTAATTTAATCCAGGACATCAGCAGAATGGGTTAAAGCCCAACAAATGACTGAAAAGCACATTTTCATCCAGCGTCACCGAGGAAGGGAGAGCGAAGAGTAAAAGCCAGAGAGCATTCTTACGTGCGGCTCACTGCAGCAAAAGCTCATTCAAAAACAAATAAAAGGGACGGTACGTGGTTTACCTTTGGGAAAACGTTTGCATCGTGTATTTAGATTGAGTTTAAATCAGCTTTAACAGTTTTATCAAACTAAAGTAGAAGTACGACTAAAATTTTTCCCCAGAGTTTAAAGGGATTTTTGGGGGAAATGTTGAAGATTTTTCGTGTAAAAGTTATAAATAATTCCCATCTGACCCACTGCATATAATTTACTGAGCCTCCATTAAGAAACATTACAGCCTTTAAGATTGACAAGCTAACGGCTAGTCTGAGCTTGGTAAAGCTCACTATTCCTGAGTAACCATAACAGGTCTAAGGGAGACAGAATAAAATATAACAGGGCAAGAAGACAACGTCCACATGTGTAGAGGTGTCAGGATTAAGCTGGCAGCAGTCAACTTTGGTCTTGGCTACACTCAGACTAGCCGTTAGCTCATCGATCCCAAAGTAGTACCCGTGTCGCTCACTGTTTAAATGCTTATGCCAACCAACATGGTGGACCCACATGATAAGGGGACGTAGGTGCAAAAGGTCAATAAACAGTTTCTCCAAATTTAGTCAAGTCTTCTGGAACTGTTAATTTCTTAAAACACGCACAGAAATATACAATTACATAAATTACCCCCAAAAATCCCTTTAAATGACAATTCCATCTTCAAAACAAGTGAGGATGTTTTATAATAATAAAAAAGAATGCAAAACTTAGCAACTTTTTAAACCCCATGTTTATTTTTCCATTGTTATGTTAACTAATCTGCAGTATGGACCTGATACTTGGATTTAAAATGGTATTTGCAAAAACTAAGTGGGTCTCAACAGTAAAAACAGGGTTTCAATTACTTGCAAATAATTTACATTTTACAAATCTTTGTTGAAAACGAGACGTTAGTTTTGTTCTACAAACACGATCAGATGTTGCAATAAGAAAAGATAAGGCTTTTGCAAGCAATGCGAGATAAATGCGGGCAGAAATCAAACTTTAAGACAGTAAAAGACATTTTAAAGCTTCTGTCAGATGAATCTGGACACAATATTAAAATAAAACCAAAAGTAATCTACTGACTGGCCAGACAACAGAAATATCTGTAATAGCCAAGCCCCACTGACCCAAGGTGTATGACGCCATTTAATGTGTGCAAGCAGCACGTTGCAAAACCAAATTCAATGTATGCAAGCACGTTTGGTGAAAAAGAAAATTTAAAACACAACAGAAACACAATAAGACAGTAAAGTGTATTTTTCTGGTCAATCAGCGTGCTCCAACATGTTCAAATCAAACAGTTCAGCTGATAAAGAAGCACAGGGGGAAGCAGCATGCCAGCAAGTGCAGCTGCAAGCCTTAAGGAAGCTCTGTCTGCATACCTGCTGCTTTGTGAGAAGAGCTGTAGGGGGGAGGGGGCACGTTGGCTGTTATTACCCCTCCCACAGAAACAAGGCCTGCATTGTTGTACGCACCTGAGTGGCAGTCGCAAATAACATTGAGTCCTCAGTGAATTCATATACAAGCAACATCATTAAACAACCCCCCAACTAACTGTAACTTAACCAGATCACAGCAATAAAGCATAACTCTGTGTCGTTATGTCACCAAAGACCACATTATTACACCCTCAAATTAAAAATGACGGATATGCAGAAGGAATTTATTTCATTTCACATCTCACATCTCACTCTTTCCAAGGAAAACACTACTTTACCTAAACTTTTCCAAAAAGGAATGATAATTTACACGTATTTCATATTTACTGGGACTGCTAAGTGTTTGATTTGGACTAGAGGGGGTGGAATTAATTAGAAATAGGAGTGTAGCTCGATGTTTTGCTACAACGGCCTGCCGCATACATTTGGAGAGGTTTTTGCTTACTTGGTGCGATGGTGGCGTGAGGTCGGCACGGCGGTATCGGGTACGGAACAGGTCGGTGGGGATTGTAGCTGGAAGGAAACTACAGACAAATAAACAAACGATGTGAAACATTTAAATGCTGATTACTTTTGAATACCAATGCGTCATTTTTTTATTTTTATGCTCACTGGTTTAAATGGGCCAATAATCCGGGAAGCAATGCCTTTGCCCTCCATGTTGTTAGAGTCGTCCTTTTTCTCTCCTTCTTTTTTAACGGGAGGGATTCCCTGTGGTCACAAAAATATCTATTATTGTCCATTAAAAACGTACTTTAAAATAATAATAATACACATTAAACACACTTTTGCTGCTGATTTTTTGGCCATCTGGAGTGGATGCCTTTAACTTTAACACTGACTTAACCAGCTGTTGAATCTTATTTCTGCACACTAAAACATAGCAGAATTAAACATTTAACCAAAGTTAATAAAACAAATCAATAAACTGACCAAGTTTTAAACAAAAAACACAGTAATCTAAAGAAATATCAGTTGACAATAATGTTTTAGAGCTTTCCAAATAATTTCAGGAACGTAAAAATATTTTAAATTAAATTGGGCAGCAGCACCAGGCTGTCCGCAAATGTGCCTGACTTTAAATCAGCTCTAATAAAGACTTAAAAAACCAGGAAATATCAGCCCCAATATATCTATCACTACTAACCACTCAAATATCGTGAAACAAACTTTGCAATGTGAGCTGCGGCAACAAAGGAAAAATGTATTCCCCTGAGATTAATAAAGTATTTTAAATTTCATTTTTGAAATCTGATTAAGCCCAATCTACTTTTTTCTTTTACTGCTGAGAACTTTTAGAAAAACTTTTGAAACGACTCAAGGCATGACTTTTTTACTTGAAGATACATAATTCCTGAACACACTGCATTAAAAAGGAGGAAAAATAACTCAATTTTAGAAATAAAAAGTATTATTCTGATAGTTCTTACAGGAAACGTCCCGGTGACCAAGCTGGGTCTGCCTTTAGGATACGGATTTCCTGGTATTATTCCACAGGATGAGATCATAGCTACAGGAGCTTTACAGCCAACCTTACACACCTAGCGAGATGAAGACATAACTGTTATACACAGTGTGGTCCATTTGCGGGAACAATAGAGCATAAAAAAGAAAAGCATCTGACTGGTTTTAAAGTCTTTAACTTGTGAGTTTTAAATGATGCGTTTTAAAAAGGTCCACGCACCTGCTCCAATATCCGCCGAGCTCGCTTCTTCTCAGATGCGTGTATGCGAAACAGATCCTCTACAGGACGATAGTTCTGAGCATCTGAAATGTTTCTGTATGAGAACGCAAAGTTACTAATGAGTAACCATCCATTCAAATACAGGATTTCATAAACAACAAACAGCGTCTCTGAAAAAGTTCTCACAATGCAATCAGCTCCAGGACAACAAGTCGGTCCTTTGAGAACGTGAAGCAGTTCAGGATATTTGCAACTTTGGTTGTGGAGATTGCTACCATTTTCTAGAGGTAAAAGAAAGAAACACATTTATAAATGTAAAAACATTCATCAAAGTACTGAAATTGGTTAAATGTTCAGTTACTCACATGCTGCAAAGCTTTCACTGCTTTGATCTGGGGCTCTGCCCATGAGAAGTACTTTAAGATGTCAATCACCTACAAATAGTCAGTGTATTGTTACAGCTTACAATTACATTACAGCTTCTCAGTTCCGTGTCACATAGAAGGTAAGGACGGTACTATGTACCCATGCATCTACTCCTGGGGCAATCTTCTCATCAACAGTGTTTATTATAGGTGCATGCTTAACATTGATTGCATCCTAATATGAAGTTAATAAAATAGATGAAGCCTGGACAGTACCTGCTCACTGGAGAAATATCCATGCACCTGCTCAATGGCTCTGACTCGTTGGTCGGTCAAGACGCACTGGAACACAGAATGTAAAATTTAAAAACTCTGCAGAAAAAAATATATTTTTTGTTATAAAATAAGTCAGAACGTTTATTACCTTTCTGATCTCATCCAAGACGATGTCAAAGGATTTCTTATCCATGTTTTTTTACTTAAACAAACGCGATTTTTCTGTAAATGCCAGATAACTATGTGAATTAAAAATATGTCTTTTTATAACGAGGCCAGCTGAGTTATAATACATTCATATGTTAATATTACTATGTCAGTTTCTCTGACATACAATTTGCAATTAAAACATAACTTTATGAAAACCCCAGGTTAATATCAATACATATATGCAGGACGTTATTTAAAAACAGCATGATCGTATTCGAGTAACTGTTTTCGACAGTGAACAATGTCTGCAGCGCTAAAACCAGATTCGGCTACGGCTAACAACAAGCTAGCGTGCTACAGATACACCTCTCATTGCCACGACGCAACAAGATTACGCACAAAAAGATGAAGCAATTGTTTGCACGGCTGTGAACTCAACTTTGCCAAAAATATGTCACAAAGCAAACGGGTATGTTTTTATAAACCGTACTAAATAAAACGTTGAAGAAAATGTAAAAATCTAGCTAGCTCCTGACAGCTTAGAACGTCAACAACGAAAGGACCCCTCTGAGAAGGCTGATCAAAAAACACTCGTGTTCAAAAACATGTATGAAAAATAAAAAGTCATACGGCCAAATAAAATTTACAAAACTATACATAAATAAATTCTGCAAAATCAATTTTGAACTGAAGTGACGTTTGCTTATTTTAATTTTAAATATTGTGCTCTTTCAGTTGTTTTATACAGGCAAATCCTAAACAGCATACCGGAAGTAAATATGAAATGAGTGTTAGCAAGAAAACTGTAATTTTGGGCTCTTGCAGAAGTACAAATGGATCGATTTTCGTGGTCAAATGGACTTTTAGAGATAGACGAAACGTTAGTTGTCCAGCAGAGAGGTGTTAGACTGTATGATGGAGATGACAAGGTATAGTTTTGCTGTTAAAGGCGAATGTTTTGGATTTGTTACCTAAACCGTACGGAAACGTTAAAAATTAGGGCTCAAACGCCTTTTTTCTTAGCTCAGTCAAGAAGCATCTCCACTATGAGATGGTCTATGTTGTGTAAAGGTATTACTAAGTAAAACTTTTTTGGAAGTTAATTTAAAATAAATTTCTGTCTTTCAGGTTAAAATGGAACTCGGAGTTGCATTATTGAGCACTCATCGCTTGATCTGGAGGGACATTAAGAATCATGTGAGATCAGAACAATTATGTACAATAAAGCAATCCCAGTTTAGACATTTAAAATACTTGTTATCAGTTCTACAACCTGTTTGAGTCGTTTATTAAAGATATTGTTGGGCTAAAAAATACACCATTAACATATTCAACTTAATTAATACTCATTTGATCCAATCAGCAAACTCCCAATTATATCTAGAGGGTTACAAAGTTACTGACAGCAGCCTTGCCTCTTTTCTTCACCTGCAGTTTAGATTTGGTTGCCATCATTTCACACAATCAATAAACTGTATTTTTTATTCTAATTGTGAAATAATTCATTTTAAAAATATATTTGATGCTGTCAGTAAACTATTAATTGTTCTGAATAAGCTTTAAATTCTAATTCATAATGAAATGATCAAACCTTGTTTTCTAAACTTCCATTTGGAAGACCCACTTAGTTGTATTCTTGGACTCCTTTAGTTTACAACTTCTTTTAATGAATTTCCAGTATTACATATTTCTTTGTTTCATTAATACAAATAAATTATACTTTATTGTTACACAGGCACTAAAATGTCTAATTATATTTATAGTTAATAAAATCCAGGACTGACTTTTTATATCTTGTAATTTTTGTATTAGAGCATGTTTGTTTGACATTTCAATACTTTGTAGACACATGACATTTGTAACTATGAGTTGATAATTAGAGTTTGTAAGTACTGGAATAAAATAACTTCAAGTCAGTTACATATTATACATTTGGCATTTATTTTGGACAATATCTGAAGGAACATCAAACAAGTCACCACACCTTCTGTTTTATTTGTTTTACTTTGTCTTTATGTTTTGTCGGATCTGTGTTTTTCTTTTTGTATGATTCAGAAAATGTACATTTTGGTAGTTTGTTTTCATACCATCAGCCTGCAAAAGACTGTAGAGGGATATTAAGCTGTCTGGTTAAACGTGTCCCATTGACAGGGCGTCCTTGTGTTTATTATTGCAGTTTGTTCCAATGTCAACTGTCCATTAATTAAATTATTCTGAGGATAAATGAGAATTTGATGTGTCGTCCTTTCTGCAGGAATGCTGCCTCTCCATACCCCTTTCTCAGATCATCTTCTTTGAGGAGCAGGCTGCAGGAATAGGAAAGAGGTACATCGAGCTTATTGTGTAAACAGAAACATTGACGAGACTTTGGGTGGCGGTTTGGTTGTAAAAACATCTCATCTGTGACGAGGTTTTTGAGAAACAGTTCAGCACTTCCTGAAGTTTGTAACTTTGGTCTGGTGGTTGTACTATGAAAGCAAGCAAACATGGAGACACCTCAGTCATTCTAAATTAAAATAAAATTGTTTAATTCAACGTTAACTAATACATACAATAACGTGCTGTAAAATAATGAATCCGACTGTTTTTTTTTTTCTTTTTCTCTGAAGTGCAAAAATAGTTATCCACCTGCATCCTTCATCCCCCAGTAAGGAGCCAGGTCCCTTCCAGAACAGCAAATATTCCTACATCAAGCTGTCTTTTAAAGAACATGGGCAGATTGAGGTAGTTCCTCAAATCCACAAACCTCAAGAGCTTTTTTCTTTTCAGATTTTGCTCATTTGTATATCTTTGTTCTTGTTGAATACCTAGTACTGATTTAACGTTTTATTGTAGTTTTACAGGAGACTAACGGAGGAAATGACCCAGAAAAGGTGGGAGACTACACCGGTTTCACAGCCCCTTTCTTCAGGAACTGGGACCCAGGTTTGCAGCTGAAATATCAACCTTTTTTTTATTTCACTTTAATCCCTTTAAGACAGATTTTATACAATAAAACATTTTTAAAATGTTGCTAATTTGTAAGTGAATTGCGGTGTTAAATGTTTTCCACTAGATGGCAGTATTTTACTTAATTTCATCATTAGATCAAACAGCAATAAGTAGCCTATATCTCCACATAAAATAGGACTTCTTCTAGTTTTCTTACTTTTTAATTAATGTTATTAAGTTAAATCCATAAATTAATCACCTGTTTCTCATAAAAGCTTCTAAATAAAGGGTTTTGTCTTCATGCAGTGTTTTTTTCCCCCATCCATGCAGGGTCGTTGCCTCATTTTAAATTTTGTGTTTTTCTTTCCTTTGCGGCCCGTGCAGGCAGGAAAAACACGCGCTGTGGGGATTGTCGGCATCGAAAGGAAGATAGAGGAGAAGAGGAAAGAAACGGACAAAAACATTTCTGAGGTGATTTCAGAAACACAGAAGAAACGTCAGAGGGAGCAACTGTGTTGTCACTCAAATTCCAAGATAAATACATGAATGAATGTAGGAGAAATAAAAGGTTAATCTGGTTTTATTTAACATGTGTTTCCAGGCCTTTGAGGATCTCAGTAAGCTCATGGTGAAGGTAAAGGACACTTGTCTGATTTTAATGTGATTTAAAAATCTAAATAAACACTAAAAGTGTTGCTAAATAATTCACTAACTGTCAGGCTAAAGAGATGGTGGAGCTGTCCAGGTCCATCGCTACCAAGATCAAAGACAAGCAGGGAGACATAACGGAGGACGAGGTACAGATGTGTTTGAATGTCTGCTCACATGACACCACCTGATGATAACTGCGCATCGTCTTGATTTTTTTTAAATAGACAATCCGGTTCAAGTCCTACCTCCTGAGTATGGGTATTGCTAACCCTGTTACCAGGGAAACGCATGGATCAGGCACACGTTATCACATGCAGCTGGCTAAGCAGTTAGGAGACATGCTGCAGGCTCCACTAGAGGTGCGTCTGTCATCTAGAAATTATTCAAACAAATTTTATCTTTTTTTTTCTTAATTTTCATCTTTTTTCTCTCAGGAACGCGGTGGCATGATGGCGCTCACAGAGGTGTACTGTCTAGTCAATCGGGCAAGAGGGATGGAGGTAACGCTCACACAGTGAACACACACACACACATTAGAGTCCAGCTGAGTCTGTTATTTAACACATCACAGTAATCTGAGCATCTGCGCCAAACAGCCATCATGTTGTTTTTCTGCTTTCTTTAGCTTTTATCTCCAGAAGATTTGTTAAACGCCTGCAAAATGCTGGAGTCGATGAGGCTTCCACTGAGGTGAGTTTGGTGTGAGTTTATTTCGCAGAACGAGGCTGCTGCTGGCCTCACTCTGAGGCCCGGCTCTTCCATACTGGCTTCCTGTTGTTGGGAAGGGGTGTCCATACTTCCGCAGCTGTCATTTCCTGTGACTTCCCAGGATTTTAGAAAAACACCAGCCTGTTTTCCTGTTGACCTGCAAAACTGATCCTGAAGCTGCTAAGTATTTTAGCATAAACATCTTCATCTGGACGTTTATGGCCTCACAAAGAAAATCTGAGGCCTGAAAGAGACGTTTTCCTGTGGTCAGCAGCAGCATGACTGTTTTGGTTTGTGCAAATCTCATCTCACTAAAGGAGATTTAGCCGCCTTTTTAAATTATGAATAATTATAAATAATTGCTATTTAACCCCTTGAAGATGGCTGACTGAGCAGCTTCTGATACTTTCTTCAGGATTGATGAGCTAACAGCTAGTTTAGGTGCAGACAAAGCCAAGTGTTTATGCTACTGCTACGAGGATGTAAACACTATTTCTTTGAATGAAGGCCATTCAGAAGTTGTGTGTGTGTGTGTGTATATATATATATATATATAATTAATCTTGAATACCGTAAATCCTCTAATACAGGCCCGGGCCTGTATTTGACTCAAGCTCATCAAGCTCCAGGTCTTTATTGGAAGGAGGGCCAGTATTAGAGGCAGGCCTCTATTTCTATTTGAGCAAAATGAACTAATGGTTCGCTGGAGTTTTTGACAATTAAAATTGCGCCCACATTTTCAAAGTTAAACACATTTCTTTTAACAACGGTAGTTCCTGCTTCAGCCCTCTCCCCCCTCCCCCTGCGCAGCAGCCGCAAACTCACTGATGCGCCTGCAGCCTCTCGGAGTTCCTGCTGCTCTAAACATTAAAATAATTATTTCATTTTCTGTTCCTCACTTCTGATGACCTTCAATGGTGTCTGTTTGTTGCAACAGCAGGTACAAAAACTAACTTGTTTTTATTTGACTATTTTTATGTCCTGTCTGTTTATTATCTTCCTGCATCTCCTCTCAATCCTAAAGAAAAACTGCTGCCTGGGTTCATATCTATTCACCTCATGAATTACCTTTGAACTGCAGTTCTAAAAGATCTACCGACCGCAAAAACAGCGGAGCGCTTGCTGTTTGGTGGCCGTATCAGTGATCAGTGCGTCGGAGGACAAGGTGATGCGCGCAGCGCCCTGCTCCACAGCATGCAGCGAAACGCATCAGGCGCAAATAAAAGACAGAAAACATTAAAGGAAATGAACTGACATGAACGATCGCGTGTTAAATTAGTTTTTGAGGTGGCGACACCTGATTGTTACTGTGGCCGTGCTCAGGAGGCAGATCTACCGACCGCGAAAACAGCGGAGTGCTCCCTGCTTGCCGGCCGCATCAGTGATCTGTGCGTCAGAGGACAAGTTGATGCGCCCCGCTCCACAGCGGCGATACACATCAGGCGCAAATAAAAGACAGAAAACATTAAAGGAAATGAACCGACATGAACGATCGCGTGTCAGTAGCTACGGTCTGGCACAGCGCGTTGCTGATCACAGAGAATGTGATCATACGATAATTCAATAGGGAGCGTGGTTTTACAGACGCGGAAGTGATAAGCGTCGGTGAAACGCCGGCTGCTCTAGGAAACCCCCGAGCATTCGAGCGTCAACGAAGTGACACGGAAATGCCGGGCTTTCCAGAAGTAAGTAAGATAACTTACTATGAGCTGATAGTTCGTTGGATTGATCGGTAGGTTGGAAACTCTGATCATGAATCTGAAGAAACGATGACTGAGTGGTGAGCTGGAAAGGCGACTTCCGTTTATAGCCGCGGTTTGTGACGTAGGTGCAACGTGGAGGGAATCCCCGCGAGGGGCATGCTGGGAGTCCCTACTTCGCGGATTTTCACCTATCGCGGCCAGGTCTGGAACGCATCTACCGCGATAAACGAGGGATTACTGTAGTTCATGCACCCCCTACTGCTGCTCTCCAGAGTGTTCTGCAGCATAATCAGCACGTTCTCTTTGAACTTGATAGTGTAATGACCTGGCTGGGGTTGTAAGCCAGGTGCATTCTGGGTATTGTGTTATATGTGTTTCCTATCGTTCTGCTAGTTCCTATGTGCTGATTTGCGTGTTGTGTGAGTGTTATGTAAGCCACAGGGAAGGTGATGTGTGTTCTGTGGAGCGGGTTGAATTAGCATGGTTAACTGACACCGTGACTTTGTGTGGTAGGAGCGTGATAGAGGATCGTGTCTGTAGCGTTACAAAGCGTTGAAGAAAAAGCCTAATAAAGGTCTGCGTGAACCTCTACTGCCTCCTGCTGGTTGATTTGGGAACTATAACCCTGCCGCTGGGACGCTCGTACTTGCTTGTTACCACATTCCATCCGGCCACAATAAGAGACCGGCCATTATTGACCTCCGCTGACTCCGACACCGGCCAAAATTGGAGACCCGGCCTTTAATTGAGTACCGGCCTGTATTAGAGGATTTACGGTAATCACATTTTATTGGTCAAGACAATTTGCCCCCAAGCTATTTTTTTAAATAAAAATGATCTTAGTGAAGCACAGACAACATACCCAAACATTAATGAGTTTATTTCTGAAACCAAAAGGTCAATTTAGTTATGTTGGTCTTATTATAAAGGTAACAACTATAAGATTAGTTGGGATGTGTAAATATGTATTAATGCATTATTGATGATATGCAAATAGACATGGAACATTGTAAATGTTGTGTACTGAACTGAACACTAGGTGGCAGCAGAGTGCTGCTGATATTTATAGAGGTGTAGTGAAGAGTTCAGGGGAAGTGAGGGCGCTTGGCTTTTTTTCTCTTAATTAATTGTAATTAATGCATTAAATTCCCACTTCTAATATTTTTATAACTTTTGCACCAAAACACAACTCAAAATAGCAGAAAATCCCTTTAATAATAAAAAATATAAGAAAATAGTGTTTCACAATCATTTCGACACGTGTGCAGTGCTGCAGGGAGAAAGAATAAATGCTTAAGGACCACAGAGATTAGGATCTTAAAGTCTGTGCCCCAAAACTTCTTTGCTTAGTCTTCGTCTGTTATTGCCACAAAGAACCTTAAAGCAGCAGTTCCCTGTCTGCTCATCTGCACTAATCAGATCATTGGCGCTGGACATGTGTGGGTATTTGTGTGGCATTTAGCTGCACTCTTTGATCGCACGTTAGTTTGAACAGATGCACCAGCCCTGTTTCCCCTCACACGTTTGGTCTCCTCTGTAGGCTGCGTGTGTTTGACAGTGGCGTGATGGTGGTCCAGCTGCAGTCTCACAGCGAGGAGGAGATGATCGCTTCAGCTTTGGACAATGTAAGCATTCCCCCTTCCCACCTTTGGAATATTAAAAGATTCCTGTTTTTAACTCATCATCGGTTTTTATTCGCAGGTGTTAGAAAAAGGCTCGCTGACAGCAGAGGAGTTTGCAAAGCTCCTGGGTCTCTCTGTTCTTCTGTCTAAAGAGAGGTGATCTCAACACAAATTACTCATCCTCTCTGTCCATTTTACTCTCCTCACTCTCTTTTTTGAATTATTTTCCCAGGTTGTTGTTGGCTGAGAAGGTGGGACACCTGTGTAGAGACGACTCCGTTGAGGGTTTGAGGTTCTACCCAAACCGATTTTGATCTGTCAGTTCGATTGTTGCTGTAGAACTTCTGCAGAGGCAATAAAATCATCTCTGGACATTTCAGGATGTCTGATGGTATTTTACGGTTCTGTTCAAGATTATATCTTTCAACTATCAGGTTCTGGATTTTTCTGTGAAACGTAAATCCTGTACATGAAGCAACGTGATTTGAGATGGTGTGTTTTGCTTCATCTTGCATAAATACTTCTTTAAACTTGTGTTTTCTGTTTGAAACTACTCTCATTCACTGATATCCTGTCAGTGTTTCAGAGTAAAATGTTTATTTCTACAATAAAGGAAGCTCTGAAACATGTTTTCTTGTCTCATCTTTTGAATCATCCTCAAACTTTGCTTCCTGAACCTTATTTGTTATTAATTTTATTTATTTTTAATCATGTGAACACATGTTGGTTCTGTTCTTGTGAAGGATGAAAATGAATATCTGCTGGATCCTTGTTCTCAATACCAATTTTAAAGATAAAATAATTTTATTAAATACAGAAAAAGTAAAGTTATAACGTTTTGCAATATCTAATCCAAAGATTGTGTCTAACATACATTTCAGTGGTTAGCATGTTTGTATCTTTCTCCCTATAAATGCTTTTAGGCACAACTGAGCCCCTCTTGGTGACCCGAGCTGCTCAGTGAACCGTTTCATCTCCTGAGAAGTTTCCTGTTTTTGTCGGCTATCTCTGAGGGAAACATGAAGGCTTGTAGAGCTGATTAGATTACGCAGCCATGTGCTTCATTTATTGATAATATGAACCTAACTGGTTCAGGAAATCTACAGAGCAAAGTTGAGGCAGGTCTGATTTTTATTATGAAGGGATTTTTGTCCACGATTTCCACTTTTTGTAACATTTTGTCTGCACAGAAAGGGTCATTTTGAATTTTTGAGCAGAGCTTTTGCTTTATCGAGTATTTCAGGAATTTATTTTATTTAATTGAATTATAGAAAAAATGTTAGTCAACCTATAAAGGAGAAATCTATAGGATACTATTCATGTATTTGGTTACCTATATGCTAACAAGCCTATTTTTTTATCAAGTATACATTTTTATATACATAAATCGTTTTGTTGATTAGGTAAGGAGAGAATGTAACTTACCTTTCATGGACATTTCTCTGGATTTAACTTCGAACAATAAATTATGGTGTTTTAGGTGTGATTGAAATCCTTTAAAATGCCTATAAGTTAGTTGGGTTCAAATTAAAATCTAAATGTATGAGATAAGATAAAAAAAAACATTTTACACCATAAAGGTGCTTGAATCAAATGATAACAATTATCTTCTCTGTTAAACTAGCCAGGAACTCCTTGGGATTTTCAGATTCCAAAATAAATTTGTAAATGTATTTCTTAAGAGTACGAGAAAAGTAAACAAAACAGAAACTAAAATATTTTTACATTAGTTAAGAGGTTGCGTATCAATCGCGCATAAAAAATTAATACCTTTACCACAAGTAATTTGTACGAATAAGAACTAGTTGTTAAATTTACGTGGTGACCCTGAAGGGGATCTTTGTTGCGCGCGGACGAAAAATTCAGGTGTGCGCGCATAGCGGCCTCTAGCGGCTCCTAGCCAGCTGATTGTCGGTGAAACGTTACTGGGATAAAAATGTCCTGCTTGTTCACGGAATGAGCTTTTTCCTGCCGGTGACGATGTGCTGGGAATTACTGGAGAGGAAGAATGAGAAGTAAGAACTGTAAGTACAAAATTTTGTCAGTTTATTGCGAGAAAATAATTATTCCGCTTTTGTTTAGTCCCCCCCCCCCCCCCCAACGGGTCTAAACATTTACAGGAAGTTAATAGTAATGTGTACTAATAAAGTTTTATTTGTTAATTGAAAGTTAGCTTGGATGCTATTTAATAGCAGTGTGAGAATGTAGACTGTTCTGCAAACTTTACAACCATAAGAGCCCTTTTCTCTACTATTTAAAAAAATCAAAAATCAAATTTAAGCTTGGAATAAATATAGCTTTGTTATATGAAAACTATTAATGTTTTTCTAATTGATTTAAATAAATAAAAATAATAAATTATCAACTTACATTTGCATAGGTGATCACAATAATCATGAAATGTGGTCATTTTCTAAGAAAAGCTTTAGCTGAGTTCTCAGACGTGCTTAAAATCCTTGGAAATATCAACATATGGTATTTTCTAGGACTGGATTTTGCTTGAATTTGTAATAAAGTCCCAAATATTTTGTCAATTTGAACATATGTAAATGAGCTCTATTGTAAAGAGCTGGAAAACCTTGAAACCCCAGTGGGAAGTCTTTAAAAGTTCTCTAATTGGGTTTTTAGCCTTTATTTCCGGTTCTAAAAGCATCAGAATAAGCTGCTGAATAATGTTTTTGTTTCGTACTTTATAACTGAGGATAATTTGTCTTATCTGTGCAAATCCGCGTCTTGCTCAAACATATTGGATTAGTTAAGGGAAAACATGCTTACAAACTATTAAAGCAAGCATATCAACCGATTTGGCTCTTAAATCTGTCAGGAAATAAGCTAAAACCAATCTTTATTGTGATTATAAAGTACAGAGTAAGTAATTCCTGTTCTATTTTTAGTCAAATCATTTCTGCAGTGGGACCAAAGAGCCTCGTGCAACTCCAGATCCACGGCTTTGAAGCTCCTGAACTTAGTTTTTTATGCATTATGTCAGGTTTTCTGTAAATATTTTTATGCATTCATAAATTACCATTTAATATGCTCTATTGGTGCTGAACTAAAACAAAATACACACATGTTGACACAAAGTCATACATTTATACATAGAATGTGGTTGTTGACATGTCCGCATGCAAATGTGCCACACAAAAAGAGGAGATAACGTGATTGCATACATTTATGTCAGATAAAAATTTTAATTTTTAAAGTTTTTTGGGGAGAAATCCGTAGCTGAAAATGATTTCATTCATGAAAAGGCAAAAAAAAAAAAAAGCAAAACAAAAAACAAACAAATCAACAAAAACATATTTTGTGCTTTTGCTGTGAACAAGGCCCTCTAGAGGAACTCCAGTTGTGCGATGCTGGCAACTCCTTGCACCCATTGTGAGGATGAAAGGAAGAGGAGGACTTGTGTTTACGGTTCCTGTTCTCCACTCCTCAGAAGAAAGCAGACTCCTCCAGTGCCTCGCTCTGCCTGACGAAGCTGCGTTTGGGAGCTGAATAAAATATTTTAACTCTAGTTAGCTGTTTGCCCTCTGATTCACAGAGGTGAGGGACGGTGGGATAAAACGGTCATGTGGTGTGAAAGAAAGAAGAGGGACGAACATCGGAATGCCACAGGCTGTCTCACTGCTGCCTTTCCTTCTGCTCGTAGGATATGGTGAGTGTACGAAGGCCTTCACTTAGGTTCACGCTTCAAGGACAGAAACACACTAGCGTTTAAATGACGTTGTGTCTCTGTCAAATCTAAAAATAAAGTTTATTTTATGTTTTTATCTCATTACCTTCGAGTTTTGTATAGTTAACCACTTCTAAAACCGACATAAAATCCTTAATTTGTGCAGAAAATGTAATATGTCTTAATTGTTTGATTGCATTTTGGTTGTGTGGTCAGAAAATGTCATGCTAGATAAAGTACATATGTCGAAAGACCTTATAAACATTAAAACAGGGCTTTTTAAAATTGATGCATCTCTCATAAAAATCTCATAGATGTGAAAATGTCAACTTTAAAAGTAGTATTTCTGTTCCGTTACCATGAGTAACAGCTTGTAAGCAGAATAAGAGCCCACAGGGTGGCTAGTTTACAATAATTAACAAGGTTATTTGATCATTTTCTTGCATTTTTCTCTCTATTCTTGTAGGTTTTGCAGAGCTCAGTATCTGGCCCTCTTTCCACGTTGCCCTGAGCAAAGGCAGCGTATTTGTGGACTTCAGCACAAAATCCAACAGCAGCAACGCGACCCTCTCTCTCGTCAACATGGAGACCAACACCACCGTTCTATCCAGGGCTCTCCCCAGCCACCGACTGGTTGGCAGGGTGGAGTTCGATTGTTCCTGCTTCCTGTACGCGGGAACCTTCCGGTTCCTGCTGAGGCAGACCAGCAGCGTTTCTCCTTCTTATGGATCAGAAAACACAGAGCACTACATCTGGTGGTGGAGCTCTGAACTACAAGTCCAGTGGCCTACCTTTCACATTGCTGTGGAGAAAGCGGGAAACCACTCGGCATCTTTTCAGGCAAGCTTGTCTACCTCACTAACTAGTTTAGGTTTTATTGTACTTCAACAAAATGTAAAATAAAAAAAGGATTGGTCTGTTTTATCCTCTCCCCAGGTTGGGATTTCCACTAATGAACACTTCCAGGCCTGCTCCAGTGGTGTGGACTCTGCTCTTATCCTAGAGGTGAGCTACATGGAGTACAACCAGATCGGAAGAAACACCAATGACAAGATTCGAGCCCGCACACGAACCCCCATCAAAGCTCTCCGCTCCCAGAGTGTAGAGCTGTCCTGTGTGTTCCCGTTCACTGAGAGAGACTTCATCACGGTGACCCTGCAGTCCTCTCATACGGGACGAGAAGTGAAGAGCTCTGCGCCTTTCTACTTGTCCCGTATTTTCTCTTACAAGCTGCTGGTGGAGAACGCTAGCGCCTACAAGAGAGGCTGTGAGGGGACGCTGGCGGTTAAAATGATCACGCCACCGTGTGCTCATGTGAGTGGGAAAGTTCTGCTGTACGGCGATGCAGGTTCTGGAAGAAGCGCTGCTGCTTCCGCCGCAAAGATGGGGTTTGGACCAGAGGAGCCTTCTTCTCCTGTTCTGACCTTTAACTTTCTGGCTCAAGGAGAGAATCAGACGGAGTTCAACTGCTCTTTGTTTTTCCCGGGAAAACACAAGTACTGTTTTCGCTTTGTTTCCAACTTCAGTCGTTCCCCTAGTCCAGCGTGTCTGGTAGTTTACAGGAGTGCAGGTGAGGGTCGACACACTGGGAGACTCATTCTTATTTCTTATTTGCTTTTTTGACCTTTTCACTGTGAACGCAGAGTCTTGGGGGCCCTGGGAGAGGTGGAGCGTGTGCAGCGTGAGCTGTGGAGAGGGGGTGAGGGAACGAGCGCGAAAGTGTTTACTACCCTCAGGTGAGCGAGGGATGCAGTGCACAGGCATGGTCAAGGAACAGTCCCAATGCTCACTGGAGGGATGTAACGGTACGTTTCTTCGCTTCCTGGTTACCTTTTTTTATTACTTTGAAGGCAAGGTTCGCTGAGAAACGTATAATACTTGTTCTTTTGAAATACAACCGTCACACCGAGTTTCACTTGCATGCAGAACTTGAAAAAAGGCTTCCACCCCTGTCTCCTAGCCTGGCATGCCATCCTATGTGTGTAAACAGTCAGTATGACCACCGCACGTAGATAGAGCTCAGTCAGTGCTGTGACCAATCAGAGCAACAAACAATGTGCAGTATTCATTGCTACTGAAATCAGTCAACGAGGCAGTCCGCCATACACCGTCGAGGAAGAATAAGAAGCAGATACATCATTTTTCAATGTATAAAGAGAATTCTTCAGTACCTATATCTGTTCACATCCCAAAGAAAAGCCCAGGTTTAAATTGTCCAAAGTTGATGCCAAAGCCATTTCAAACTAGCTTCTTTCCTGAGCCGACGCCATCTTTGTAGTCCTCCTCCGTTGCAGCTCTGGCACTAAGCTCGTCCGACGTCTCTCTACGAACAGAGAGTGCTGTGATTGGCTCAATTATAGACCTACTTAGGCTTCAATGGAGCATGGCTGGACCGACCTGCAGAGCAAAATCTTTTGCTACCACTATGGTTTGTCTAGATTTCTATTTTCTGCATTAGCCGGCGAAAGAAAATGGTTGGGTAAGCGTTTGGGTCAGAAAAAGCCAGACATATCTACACCATGCTGTAAATTTGCATTAATGGACTCACCCATCTTGGCTTGTGACCCGGGAAGGCTGTGTTTATTTAGCGGCCAGCAGAGAGCTGAGTGTGTCTAGGCTCGTTGAAGCTAACTGTTAGCATTAGCAACTCAACAACATAGCAAAACTGTTTCAGGCTTGAATTATTTGTGGGAATAAAACATAAATCCTGCCGTTTTCTGCCCTCCACTCCTCCAGCTAAATTCTACTTCCTGCAACAGGAGCGCCAGAGCGTTTGTTCCCCACAGAATGAGTCAAAAGGCATTCAGTCATACTAGACACCTCTGCAAATGTATTAATGAGTGTATACCTACTTTAAAATATTTAGACCTTTACTGATTGTTTCTCTTTACCTCTCAGTGTTACCTTCTCCCTCTCCATCGCTGCCCCCAATGCCGGATGGAGTTTCACTACTTGGTGGAAACATGATTGTGGTTGTGGGTATTTCCCTCTTCTTGGCCGTGATCATGGCTACTGTTGCGGTGACTGTGTGGAGGAAGCTTTGCAAGGCGCCTCAGTGCAGCTCGGTCCACAGAGGCTCCATGCATTCACCTGGGGGGCGCAAGCTTTCAGATGAGGCCTCCATCTGTGGCCACAGCCTCCAAAGACCAAGCCTGACTGATGGTCATGGCCCATCGGGGGATTTCTGTACACGGAAGGACCGGCCCCCTTTGGCAGCTCAGGCTTTTTCACCACAGACGGAGGTGATGCCCCTTTCACAGGACCCACAAAGGTTGTCCCCCACAGGCCAGAAGGTTTTACCACCAATATTTGGGTGTGTTTACTGTAACTATCATCAAATGAATTACTTGATCTCAGCCTCCTTCACAAAGATTGTCTTTCTAGATACCGTTTGGCTCAACAGCAGTTGAAAGAGATGAAGAAGAAGGGGTTAAAAGAGGCCACACAGCTGTACCATGTCTCTTCGAGTCCCGTCCACGACACCGTGCTAGAAACGCCCACCTCACCCACCACGCTCCCGACCCCAACGCCTACTGGTCTTGCTCCTTCTGCTCTCCTTTTGGGTCTGCAGGACAACGTTAACCACAGTCATCTCTGCATTGCAACTCCCTTGTCTGAGCTGTCGCCGCAGACCTCAGAGGTCGCATCAGACGGACTGAGTCCGAGGGCGGAGCTGCTCCTTGGTCCACGTGTCTCTACAAGTGGGAGGAGTTCAAATTGGCGACAGCGCACTGCTGACTGGGTGGAGATGGTAGAATGGAGTGGGTTAGCAGGCCCCAGAGGAGGAAATGTGCCATCAGGAATGTCCCACCATAAGAATTCAAACTTCAGACGCACCTCCAGTTTTAATGACACCAAACCCCAGCTGGCACCTTCATCTGAGTCCAGACAGTTCAGAGAGAGAAGCATGACCCAGGTCACCTACTCATCTTATATTTTCTTTTATTTGTATCTAATGAACATATTGCTAATTGTATTTGTGAAGATTAATGAACACGTAGTTAATTTTATCCTCAGGTTGGATCTCGGACGCTTCCAGAAGGAAGTTGCTGGACCAAAGGAGGATGGGAGAGACGGCCACATCGTTCATACCCAATTCCAGAGCACAGAGTTTCAGAGTGGTCAAGAAACGACCAGAGGAAACTCTGGATGGAGGCAGCGGTCCCTCCACTTAAAAACCAACTCAAACACGCTGGAACAAACACGGACAGCTTACCGGCTCCTGAGAATCACGTTAAAGCAGACTTCAGGGCTACAGGAGACAGAAAAGCAGCTGCTGGCCCAGTAGACGGTGTCTCAGGGATCGGGGGTCCATCCTCAGGGCTTCCCAGGTCTCATGATCTGAACCAGCTGAATGTGGATCGAGCTGAGCAGAACTGGAATCGCCGTGGCCCGTCGCCTATCCAGAGGAACATGCTGGCTCGAAAACTGAAAGAGGCTCAGTCCTACTCAGGAACCAGGGGGCGAAAGCGCAGCTCCAGCTTCAACGTATCGTCCTCTGAGCGAACGAAAGACTGGTGCCACTCTCTGCCGACATCTAGGAACCACAGCAGCAGCGGAGCTTCCCCCTACAGGCTGAGTGAGGCAGAACAGAGGATGCTGGACCTGGATCTGTCGCCAGGATTCCTACAAGAAGAGGAGTAGAATTTCCTCAGTTTTATAAATATTCTACTGAAATAGTTTGAACTAAACTTTGCTTACCCAAGTAAAATCAGAGCTACTGCTCAGATACCACAAAAAGGGTTATTGCACTGTCCTGCTTTCATTAAAGTTGTCATATCAAATTTGGAAAACAAATTTTTTCATGCCTCTTAACAACGTTCTTACAAACTAAAGCTATAAATATATTGTGGAGATAAAGAAAAGTAAAGTAATAAAGAAGTTCTCTCGCATTTGTCTAAAAACCTCCACTAACAATGTGTTTCGTTCCAAAAGCAACCGTTGGACCCTCCGGTTGTCCGTCTCACCGAACCGTCACACTTCCCTGGGTCCTCCACCCATAACGCACTTGTGTACGGCTTGGAGAGCTCAGACCTTGTGGTAGATGCAGACAACATGGACTCCACATGAGGAGATGTTAAGGCAGGAAGGACAACTCAGGTGAAGGAGATACTTTTCTAAAGACTCAAACTTCATTCTGATTCCAATGATCAGTTACCAAATGAGGAATAAAATATCCAGTTACTTTGCTTCATTTTTGTTCATTTAATTAAGCTGTTTTATTGTGAAGTGACTACTCTTACTCGAGTAAGTTACTTCACACATCTAAGAAACAAATGGCCCTAATGAGAAATTAAACAATCCACACACACTTCTTAAAACTGGCAGAGGCTCTCACAATTCTTTTTAACCTCGCATTAGATACAAATGAAATTCTCTGGAAGTGAAAATCAGCTTTTGTTGTTCCGTTATTTAAAGGAGGAGACCCAACAGTATTATCTAATTACAGGCCATCATCTGATTAATCTGTAATGGCTAAAGTTCTTGAAGTTCTTGTGAGTGATTAAATGAGTTTTTAGACACCCATGCCATTTTATCTCATTACAATATCTCATTACAATATCAATTAGTATTATCACGGCTGCACTGAAAGTGGTTAATGATATTACTGTCGCCCTTAACAAAAAACAACACTGTGCATCCCTTTTTATAGATTTATCTAAAACATTTGACACTGTCAGTCATGGTATTTTACAAGTTAGACTCCTCCAATCAAGACAGTGAGGGAGCAGTAGGATGGTTCACAAATTACCTCAGTAACAGGTCTCAGTATGTTAAATCTGATGGACTTTGTTTTGAACCTGCTACAATCCAAAAGGGGGTGCCACAGGGCTCTGTGTTAGGACCTCAGTTATTTATCATTTACGCTGACAATCTTATAGTCCAAACATCACAGATCCAAACCTGCACTTTTATGCTAATGACAGTTTTTTTTTATAGCTACGGTAACACTTTTGCACAAGCCATTGGTTCGGTGCAAAAAGCTTTTGTTGCTGTCCAACATTCACTACTTCAGTTCAAACTTGTTCTCAATGCAGACAAATGAAGCTCGTGTTGTTTTCCAGTTCAAGCACGTGGACCTAAGTGATACTTTCAGTAACCACTCTTGAGGGTGAAGTTTATTTTCTAAACTTTCTAAACTAACTTTGTTTCTTTTTGACTTTCAGGCTTCCCTTTCCCTAAAAACATGTTTAATTTCTTGTAAATGACTACTTGGAGTGCCACACCACCACCTTTACTGTTTTAGGATTTGCTGGAACAAAGTGAGAAAAGAGAATGTATTTATTATCATTCATTTCCTAAAAAAATAAGCTCCATTAGTGGAACCATAACACTATAGTAGACGTGTATAAAATGTGTAAAACAGAAAGTAGTTTGACCATTTTTACATTTAGCACTATGAAGCTGCTATGATGGAGCAAATAGAGTTTTATTTTTAAATTGGCCTGAAATTTAGACATAAAACTGATCCCTTCTGAAAAGACCTAGTTTTAATCAAGTGGTCATTTTGATCTTCTCAACAGAGGGAGGGAAGGGTCTGAGGCAGGCCTTCAGCCTCCGCCTCACGTTAATAGATGTTTAGACTTTAGTTGTGTCCTCTGTGTGTTTGTGTTTGGATGTTATTAATGGAACTGTTTGGACAACGATGGCAAGCTGTGGTATTGATTGCACTAAGAGACCATCCAAGAAGTCTCAGCTTCTGTTTTATCAGTACGTAAAATGATATTTCTGCACTTTATTTCTCTGGTTGAATGGGAGAAAATGCATTGTATTTAACATAACTCTTTCTTTTGTCAAATATGGGTTGAAATATAACACATTGGTGGGGCTGGTTGGGTAAGGAAACTGTAGCTAGGTAAGCTGGCCAAGGCTAGTGGAGGCTTCCAAGCTTTGTTGGTCCACCGCAGTCAAAGCTCCGTGAGGTCGCCGCTGCAGAAGGGAGGTTTGGTCAATTTTGCTACAGTGTCTGTCTTTAGCAGTGGAGGCCCTGATCAGAGATCCGTGAATCTGCTGCTCCAGCCTTTTGGAGGCAGCCAAGCAAGGCGGGCGCTTGGCTTCTCCCATCTCCCGGCCAGTAACAGCTGCCAGACGTAAGCAGCCGGCTACTCCCTGTGGCAGTTGAGCCACACGGTCAAAGATAGTGGTCCCTGAGGGGGACCACTAAAACATGTTATCTCTATTGATACGCGCTTCACTTCTGTGTTGCTCAATCTCATTATTCTGGCTAAAAGTGCCCGAAAACCTCCGTTAGCTTCAGATTAGCTCAGGTAGTCAGCTACCCCTGTTGGCTCCAAGCTCCGTGTAGCTTCGGGTTAGCTTGTAGCTATATTGCTTCAGAGTTAATAAGTGTCAATCATTTGCTCCCACCCTCACAGCTCCGCCTCTTTTTCAATTTTGGGATTGTCTGGGTGGGACAAGACGTGTGACACGACCAAGATGGAACCGCCCATTTGGGTCTCCGGGACAACGTTAACCATTTGGCTTCATAAAGGCTCACAGAAAGCAATTTTGAGGTTTGTCTAGCTTTTTATAAGTCTATGTGTGAGATGTTGGCCGCTCAATAATATCAGAGAAGGAGAAACAGCCGGCTGCTACCCCTTCAACTTTAGGACAAACTACCAGAGTACCAAAAGGAAAAATGCCATTTGAAATCACGGACAATAGCAGAAGCATCTCAGGGAAGATACTTGAGGGGAGGGGTGAGTACTCTGACTGTTTACATACTAAACCTAACTTGTTCTGTAGATTCGGTATAGCAGCTTTATACCTTCCTACCTGAGTTAGACCTCTAAAATTATAATAGTTTTTGACATGTATGAAATACAGACATTTGTGAGGGAATGCTGATGAATGCTGTTGGTTTTATTTTTTATTTTTTTATGTAGCAAACACTGATTAGAGCATTGGTGGGCCTGGTCCTGGAGGGCTGGTATCCATGTTTTAGTTTTTTCCCTGCCTTGACACACCTAATTTCAGTCAGCAGGGGCCTCATTTATCAAGCTTGCTTACACACAAAACGGGGTCGGAAAACTGCGTAAGAAATTTTCCACGCAAACTTTGGGATTTATGAAAGAAAACTTAGCGGAAAAATGTGTGCAACTGTAAGTTGACTAAGGACCTGTCTCACGCACATTTTGGACATGGAGAGCACCTGCAGTGCTGCTGCTGAGAAGGATACAATTATGAAATCCTGCAGCATTATCACTTGTACTGCTTCGTTTTCACACAGAACAAGACCCCCCACACGCACATACATGCGCGCGCGCACACACACACATGCGTGCACACTCACACACACACACACGCGCACGCACACACACACACACACACACACACACACACAGCCTGAAGCGCAGAATAAGGAATGCAGAAAATCAGCAGCGGGACAGATTAAGACAGAATGTCATGAGTCTGTGACAGTGTGAGCGTCCTGTCACTGTGACCCGATTGATGATGCGCCCTGGCTATTTGGACAAGGAAGATCTCTGTTTGGGTGACTGGTTAGCGCGTGTGACTTTCATCCGGGAGTCTGGAGATTGAATCCCGTTTGGACCATTTTTTTTATATCCGCCACACGGCTTCAGCAACACTGTGCCACTCCGTGGATTTTCTCTTATTTGTTTTGCAAAAGCACTTCCTTTCATTTCTCCTCCTCACCCACAGGTACCTCAATTTCTGCTTCGGTTAACTTGATCTGCCTTATCTACGGTCGCCATCGTCATTGGCGGAGTGCTGCAACAGCCGGGTTATGTATATGCATGAGATCCACAAGGCACTTTGCATATTTGTGGCAGTAAGTGGGTGTGGTGAGGGCGGGGTGTGACTAAAAAGCCGCTGAGAACCTTTCTAGATAGTTTCTGATTTATGAAGCGGAGATTGTGTGCAGCTGTGCGTACTCCATGTTTGATTGATCACAAACCTTCTTGGCGTAAGTAAATATTTTTTACTGAGCTTAAGTACGGTTTTAGTAAGGACTCTATGCAATGTTTGATAAATGAGAGCCCAGGTGATTAACAGGCCTCTGTGGAGCTTGATGAGCTGGTGAACAGGGGACTCAATGACCAGAATTCTGCATTTGCAACTTTAGAGTGCCAGTCCAGTTTGTTAGACTTGGAAAAAAGTTGAGCTTACATGCCTGGCACTGCAGTGATGAATCGCTCCTGTAGCCTTTAAAGAAGGCTGAGGAGATGTTTCAGCTGTTCCATTAAAGTGTTCAAAAAGGAACAAACAGCAAGGAGACAAGTTTCACTTTTGATTTGACCACAGATAATTAATAATGGACACTAGGGGGTGCTAAAAGCAAGCAGAACTGCCTGGTATGTCTCTAAATAAAATGCATAATCATCATCATCATTATTATTACTATCATTATCATTATGACTACTATTATTATGACACATTATAAATAGGTATTTTAATTTTAAGAGTCCAGTTAATTTAGAGGCTTTCAGGTGTAAAGGCTGCAGAGACCTTTGGTTTTGTTCCTCCATCTGGATTGTTGCTGCTGTTTATTTTATTATTGTTTTTTTCTCTGTTTTCTTTGTATTTTATTTTATGTCAAGCACTTTCAGTTTTATAAGAATAAAGATTTACGTACCCTTATAGAACCTGAAGTATTATTGTTTCATAATCAGGTTTTGTATCTTTCTTTTTTTTCTTCAAAGTTGAAATGAATCGTGATTTTTATGTTGTTTTCTACAGTATAGAGTAAAATTTATGCTTGAAAAAGGAAACTAAACTAAAAAAAGTTTTAAAAAATACATTTATGGTTGGTTGTTTTCTACTTTCATGTAAAAAGTGTAATTTTATAGTTTAAATTAGCTACTGCCCTGTTTCTGACCATTCAGCGTCCTGGAGATGGACACAGGAGCGAGCAAGACTGGGACATTAAAAAAACAAAACAAACAAAAAATTAATACAATTCCGTTTTTAGGTTGCTATTTGCGATAAATTATTAATGTGTACTTTTTAAGTTAAAACGTGTAAAATAATAAGGTTAATTTCGTTTTATTATTTTGTATTTCACTAAACAAACAAATGAATAAATAAATAAACATTTTTCACACAAATAATAATTCCAGTTCTTAAAATGTCATTTATTAATTTTTTAACTGGAATTATTCTGTTCCATACAAAAAAAATGTGTTTAATTATTTTTGAAATAAACAAAAAGACGCGTTTATGTCCTGCTCGGAATTTTGGAAAACCGCTTGATTAAAACCAGATGTAGCTACTAGAGTGGAGGGGTGAGAAAGCTGAAGACACGAAGTTTTTTCTGGTATTTCTGGTTGTGTAAAGTTCACACAGCTGAGGATTTCTGGGTTATTATCGTCAGGTTTTTAGAAGAGAAGACGTTTGTTTGAGCAGGAAAGATGAGTTACGACGGAGCGAAAGAAGGTTGAGCGTTTGAGAGAAGTCCAGGAAGCCCGAAAACTCAACGTCCGCAGAAATTTATGCTGTGAGTAAGTGGATGGTTAGAAACACCCGGTTAACCTTTGAACCGTCGTTGTTCTGTCTTCACAGGGAGTCACAAGACAAGCTGTGGTATAACATCAGTCCTAACGGTAACCAGCGGGTTAGCTAGCTGTTTAAGAGTTAATTAAACGCGTCCAACTAACCTCAGGTATGTGTCAGGGGGCTGCAGCTGTTCATTCTTCTGTTTATTTGTGTTTCTTCGGTTTGCATCAAAGCTAAATACTCTTTTATCTACTTAGCACGACTTTTGATTGTTCTCGCAGCTAAATAAGTTCAGCAAACAGATTTTCATTGATGTTTGCAGGTTTTAAAGCCACTATTATAAAAATAAATCCTCACGTGTTTTAAATTGTCCAATTCAGAAACTCCAGGATAAATCCAGACACACTTTATAATGTCAGTCTACTTTAATCCAGGCTCAGACTCGGGAGTAAATGGGTGAGAAACAAGTGTTTCTTTTTTCCCTCTTGCAACAATGTGTTTCAGTTACTTTGAATCGTTTATTTTCTGTTTTCCTCCTGGAAATCATCAGAAATATTGCAAAGATGGAAGATGCAAAGGTGCAGATTGATGATGGAAAAGAGGAGAATGTGTTGCCAGACACAATGTACCAGTAAGTCTGTTCAGATGGATCATCTCTGTGTGCAGAATTGCAACCTTGCATCAAATTCTTTAAAATCCCATGAAATAAAACTTCTCACCACATTTTTTTTTGTTTTTCTTTTGTTTTGCAGCGACATCAAAAAGCAGATCACTCCATTTGTTATGTCCTTTGGCTTTCGGTGAGTCTGTTGTGGGGACGATTCCCTGCCCTGCTGTGTTCCGCATCATAAACCAACTCGTGTCTTTTTAAATACGTTTTCTCCTCCAGTGTGTTTGGAGTGGTGCTGATCATCGTGGACTTTGTGCTCGTGATTGTGGACTTCTCACTGCCAGCAAAGAGCAGAGAGGTTGGGAACGCTCTAGAAGGCGTGTCCCTCTTCATCTCCTTTTTTTTCCTGGCTGATGTTCTCCTTCGGGTCTATGTGGAGACGTGAGTGAATCCATGCAACTTTACGGTAGAAATTAATGCGTGCGAGGATATTTTCCCCCCATGAATTTCTTGTTTTTCAGCCTTTAGATGATCCTGAACTTTGGAAATTCCATAATTTTTTTATATTTGTGAGGCGTGTGGTGTTGCAGCGCTGCTTTTGTGTGAGTGTGAGAACAGGAAACGTTCTGAGGAGTGATGCAAGCATTCCCAAATGCCTCCATCAGCAGAAATACAGTGTGTTTATAGTCGAACAGGAAGTAATGAAGAGGAAGTTCTCCTGGAAAAATTGGACTGGTTTCTTCAGAACGCTGGCACAGGGTCACTCAGAGCATTGTGTCAGTTTTCTAACCAGTCAGATGAAAACGCTCATAAAAAATCAGCTTATTAATTGTTTTAACATCTCACAACCTCCTGTAGCTTCAAAGTGTACTTCAGCTCGAGGCTGAACATCATCGACGCCTGCGTTGTTGTCATCACACTGGCGGTCACCATGATCTACACCTTCAGTGACCTGTCGGGTGCTAGTCTCATTCCCAGGTCAGTGTTTCCCCCCTTGGACTCCAGGTCATTGGAATGACAGTTGGATGTGTGTTACAGGAGAGCGTTACCTTCCTGTTGAAGTATAAATTCCCATTTTTTCCACATCCCGTTTTTGCCAGGGTCGTAACATTCCTGCGCTTCTTGAGAATAATCATCTTCGTGAGGATTTTCCGACTGGCATCTCAGAAGAAAGAGCTGGAGAAAGTCACCAGGAGGATGGTCAGTTTATCATCAGGGGAATTGTAGTAAATTACACACACACACACGCACTTTGAAGATGTTTTGTTGTAAATAATAATAACAAATGTAATCTTACATATTATAGATGGCATCCTGAACAGCCCCAGACTAGCACTTTTTCATCCGAGACTCAAGTGTTTTGCAGTTGTCCTAAAAAAAAAAAAGTCAAATCTCCAAAATTTCAAGGAATGTTATTCCTAAAAACTTTTCCACCTTTGTCGGTTTCTTTGAAGTAATTTGGAGAATTTAACGAAGTTGAACTCTGCACCCGTGATAAGGTTTGGACAAATGCACATACGACTAAACCCGTAATGTATGGTCTAAGGAGCTTGAAAGAAAAGCCTCTGGACTTCTTTGCTTGAAGACGTTTCACCTCTCATCCGAGAGGCTTCTTCAGTTCTAAGGTCAAATGGTGGAGAGTCCCAGATTCAAACCCAGTGGGAGTTTCCCCCCGAAGAGGGAACAAAAGACCCCCTGATGATCTTCTACATAAACATGAGCCAAGGTGTGAGGGTGGGTGTGGGTCCTATTCAGCCAGAGTTTCGGGTGAGCTCATTGTGAAGCCTGGCCCCACCCTATCATGTGAATTCCTGAGGTTAGATGGCCCAGGATATGCGTGGGCGTTGAGGCATCTGGGAAGGGATCTCAAAACTGGATTATAGATGGCAGACAGTTGGTGTCGTAAACCACCGCCTCTGTTCAAAGATGGTTGCTCACAGTGGACATAAATGGCTTCCTTTACTCCTCTTTCAAACCATCTGTCCTCTCTGTCCAAAATGTGAACGTTGGCATCCTCGAAAGAGTGACCTTTGTCCTTTAGATGCAAATGAACTGCTGAGTCCTGTCCCGTGGAGGTGGCTCTTCTATGTTGTGCCATGCGCTTGTGAAGTGGCTGTTTGGTTTCTCCGATGTAGAGGTCTGGGCATTCCTCGCTGCACTGCACTGCACAGCATACACCACATTGTTCAGTTTGTATTTAGGAGTTTTGTCTTTCGGGTGAACCAGTTTCTGTCTGAGTGTGTTGCTGGGTCTGAAGTACACTGGTATGTTGTTGTAATGTATGCACTTTTTAATAACCATAGAATGTGTCGAAGGTGAATGAGTTCATAAAAAAGGTTTTGCATGAACCATTACAGTCATGAAAATAGTGATTGTTTATGAGCTTTACACAGAAGCACTCTTAAAATGAGCTCCTCAGGTGCAGGAATTTAGGAAAAAGCATTTGAAGTGTGATCATTGTCCCTCTCAGATATCTGAGAACAAGAGGCGCTATCAAAAGGATGGATTTGACCTTGATCTTACCTATGTCACAGGTAGGTGGGACTGCTCTGCTGATGATTTTGATCATGCTTTACAAACACATTTATATCACGTTTACTTGGTGTCCTTCGCTATATGAAATCAGCATCTTTGTCCATTTCTCCAGATCGCATCATCGCCATGTCTTTCCCCTCCTCTGGGAAACAGGCCTTCTATAGGAACCCCATCAGAGTAAGTACACGTAAACGTGTGTAAGAGGAATAAGTTCTTGATTATTAATCTATGAAAAAGAAACTATTCCTTCTTTTTGTAGGAGGTTGCAAGGTTTCTAGACACTAAACACGAAGACCACTACAGAGTTTACAACCTGTGTAGTACGTAGGCCCATTCTCTTACCTCATGCTGCATTTTCTAATTTATTTATTTATTTATTGATGGCAACATTCTTGTTTTCAGGCGAAAAAGGCTACGACCCCAAGTTCTTCCACTACAGGGTGGAGCGGGTTTTCATTGACGACCACAACGTGCCCGCTTTAGAGTAGGAAGCCTCATCTTTTAGAATGATTGTAGCGTAAGAGGCACCCAGATGCCATTTTTTAATTGATCATTTTGACTTTTCTCAGGGACATGCTGAAGTACACGGCTAACGCAAGGCAGTGGATGGCAGCTGATCCTAAAAACGTCATTGCTATTCACTGTAAAGGAGGAAAAGGTGATGTTTAAATCAGCCAAATTAGATAAATGAACTAAAACATTCTGAAAAATAAAAAAATCTACAAGAGTTCATGAATATGCTTGAAAACTAGAACAAATTAAAATGACAAAATCAATAAAATTAAGTTAAAGTAATAAATGAATGAAAAGCCAAGCTTGAAGGGGAAGTCTTGAGTGTCTTAAAAACCTAAAGCCAGGAGGTTCTCCTGCTGGGCCACCGTAGGTGTTAAAGAGCAAGTCACCCCCTACCAGAGTCTTACTCAACTCCCACTTCCTGTTTGAAAAATGCAGCAAATGCTGTTGCCTAGCGGAGCAAGAGGGCGGAGCCGCTAACAAATACACACACACACAGGCTCACCACAGCATTGTGACATCATTTGGTACCAGCTAATGTTCAAGGGTACCTCTTAGCCAATAGCGATGGCAGATTTAAATTCAAATGCAGAGTTTTTACCTGACAACGGCACAACACTGACAGTTTTAGGCAGAAAATTAAAATTTTAACTAAAATCCACTAAAGTGCAAAACTATTGACTACACGTGTCTGCAGCACGATTAGACACGCATTTATGTAGTTTAGCAGAAAAATAAAGTTGATTTGGGGGTGACTTGCTCTTTAAACTAATGGTAGTCCACAAGGGCTCGTAATTCTAAAGCAAATCAGATAAATTTTTAAATTTACCACAAAAGGAAGGACAAAGGTCATTAAGACATTTAAGCGCTGCTTAAAGCACCTTTAAAAGCTTCTCGTTTTATAAATCACTTGTGTTTAGGACTTTTTAAACTCCGGCTGTCTTCCACAGGGCGCACAGGGACAATGATTTGCACGTGGCTTATTGACAGTGACCAGTTTGAAAGTGCGCAGGTACGTCGCTTTATCAAGGTCGGGATTAATGAATGAGTCGAGCGTTTGGACCTGCTTCCCTGTGTTTGTTTTCGTTGGTGCACCAGGACAGTTTGGAGTACTTTGGTGAGAGGAGGACGGATAAGAGTCAGAGCTCCAAGTTCCAGGGAGTGGAGACTCCCTCTCAGGTGGGGGATGGTTCCAGCTGGAACATTTAGGTTTTTTGCCAAGAAAAACCTAAATAAAAAAAAACTCCTGCTGCCTCTCTGTGGCAGCAGGAGGAAAATTTCAGTTTTTTTTTAAAGAGGACCTTCACTGAGAAGCCATTTTTTTTACTTATTTTTTAAATGATCGGTCACTCTGAGATTCCGTACAGGCTGAACATGAAAATAGTCTCCCACACCTACCTCCTGCTTTAGCTACTGATAGAAAATGGACGGTGAGATGCTCTGTTCAGGAAAGCCTGACAGATCTACATCACACTGTCACTTAACGTTCATGGACTCACCCATCTGGATCCATAATGGGGAAGGCTGTTGTTGGTTTGGTGTCCAGGAAACAGCAGAGAACGTCTCGGATAGTAGAAGCTTGCTATTAGCATTTGCAACTCCACCACGCAGCAGAGCTCCTCCAGGCTCGTGCTATTTGTGGAAATAAAACATGAATGTTGCATAGCAAACAGTCAGTGGTAGAGTTTTGCTGTTAGCCAATCAGAAGCAAGATATCCAATATCAGGAAATATTCCATCATCTGAAGCTACCTTCTCCTGCTGATTTCTTGGTGCTGAAACAACTGCATCAGAGTTTGAATGGAGACACAACAGCTGGAAAGGCTGAGGCATTCCCCCTACCAGAACCTTCCTTGAACTCCAGTCGCGCCGGAGCTTTTTTCCACCCGAGAGTACGCTTTACAAGGCATTCCTTCCTACTAGAGACCACTGAAAATGTATTGAAAATATGAGTGAAGGACCTCTTTAAATGATAACGTTCTGCTCTAAAATCACGGTTACACCGATTGCATTAACCTTCGTCGTGTGGGGTGTGAACCACAGAGTCGGTACGTGGGGTACTACGAGATCATGAAGACGCAGTATAACCGACAGCTGCCTCCACCGAAAAGCCTCAGGATCAAAAGCATCCGCATTCACTCGATAGCAGGTAACTAAAAGACCCCGCCTCCATCAGAGCCGCTGTTGGGCGTTTTAGAACATGTTTTTGTCCCAGGTGTGGGGAAAGGCGATGGCAGCGATCTGACGGTGAAGATAATTGTGAAGAGGGAGCTGGTGTTTCAGTGTGTGTGTGCCAAACAGGATAACTGCTCCGTGAGTCACACACACTTAGCGATACATTTATATTAATGATTATAACTTATTTGGATTGTTTTTAAGGTATTTCCTGACGTCGGTAACAACGCAGCTGTCATCAGCCTGCACAGCGGACCTGTTGTTGAAGGAGACGTGAAGGTTATGTTTGAATCCAGCTCTGTGAGTGGGTTTTTTATATCTTTTAACACACTAAATCTGTTTTACTCTGACTTTTTGGTTGTTGTTTATCATCAGGGTCTTCCTAAAGGATATGAAGATGTTCCTTTCTACTTCTGGTTCAACACGTCCTTCATAACGGATAACAAGTGTGTTTCTTTTAGCTCTGATTATCCAGTTGAGTGTGTTTTCACATTCTAATGATCTCCTTTCTTCTCAGGCTGTTTTTGCCCAGGGAGGAGCTGGACAACCCACACAAATCCAAAACCTGGAACCTGTACAAGGAGGACTTTGGTGTTACCGTGTTCTTCTCTGGATCTGAATAAAAGAGGGCCGAATAGACGAGTGGAGAGGAAATGAGTCACTGAACACTAATGAGTTTGTTACAAGAGCCAAGCACTTAATGATCCCTTTTGAATCGAATCACGTTTACTGAAGCGCTCCTTTGAGTCGTGGTGCTTAAATGTATATAAAATGTTAAAGAAACCATCACTATTAAAAAATTTACTTAAAATCTTCCTGTGGATTATTTATTTTTGTGTGGCTTTTAGTGGTCAGAAAGAGACAATCTTAGTCTGACCTAACAGGGTATCTGCGGGTCCTTAAAAAGTCTTAAATTTGCTTTTCCAAATTTAAGGCCTTAAAAATCCTTAAAAATTACAAATAATCCTTAAATACAGTTTCCAAAGTTCTTAAATGACCAAAGACCCAATAAACAAGATTCTTTTATTTCTGTAAAATTTTTGTGAATATCTAGTTAGTGTTCAGCATTTTTTGTGTATGATGTAAGCGGAACCATACACATTCAGTTGGTTGTGAAAGGGGGTTATTTTTAGATGAGCATGTTAGCTGGTTAAGCTAGTGGGATCTTGCGCCATGGGAAAGTGCAAGTTTAATGGTAACTGGGTGGCTAATCCCACGTTCGCGACATGGTTAGCACCGGTTCCAGGCAATAGCTGGAAATTATAGCTTAAATTAAATTTTAACCCTTTGATGCATAATGGTCACTACAGTGGGCAGGTACTCAAAATTGTTATTTGTTTGTTTTTGCTATTAAGCACAGCTGTTGAAGACTATTGCATTTGAGCTCCTCCATTTTGACTTCAGTAAGTAAGGCCAACATATTTCTTGCTCAGAATGCACGCTGTCCACCAAGGTGGACATGTAATAAATTATTTGTAAATTATAAAATTTAACAAATATTTGTTGAAATTTGTTTCATTCACACCTAAAGATGAATGAAAAAAATTGTTAAAAATTCATGGTTGAAGATTTCATAATTCATTCATCAAAGGGTTAAAAATAGCTTAAATTTGGTCAAAGTGGCCTTAAAAAAAGTCTTAAATTTGGCTCCCTTAAACCTGCAGATACCCTGCCTAAACTTTGACCCCCAGAAGACATTCAACAATGATTGTATGCGTGAGACAAAAACAATACTTATGCATTTCGTTGTTTATTTCTTTAGCTGTACACACCATTTCTTAAATTATGGCTTTTTAATTTCATGCTCACATTAACATCACAAACCCAGATTAGTTTAATACTTGAGACCAAATGGACTTGTTCTTTAAAACACAGAATTAAAGTGCAAACGAAGTAAACATTAAAGAGCAAGTCACCCCCAAACCAAGTTTTTTTTTACTGATAAACTACAAATGTCTAATTGTGCTGTAGACACGTGTAGTCAATAATTTGGCACTTAAGTGCATTTTAGTTCAAATTTAAATATTTTGCCTAAAACTCAGTGTTGTGCCGTCGTCAGGTAAAAACTATTTGAATTTAAATCTGCCATCGCTATTGGCTAGGAAGTACACGATGATGTTGGATGGTACATTATAATTTTACAATGTTGTTGTGAGTCTGTGTGTGTATTTAGTAGAGGCTACGCCCTCTCGGTCTGCCAGGCAATATCATTTGTTGCATTTTTCAAACATGAAGTGGAAGGAGTAAGACTCTGGTAGGGGGTGACTTGCTCTTTAAAGAAAAACAACCAGTGAGATTTCAGGGTGTCTTTAAGACAAACTATATAAAACATTGACCCAAATCTTCACAACTGAAAGATTTTAAAAAGTTAATTTAAAGGTGCATGAAGTAAGAATGACATCTTGTGGTCATATTTAGGTACTGCAACCCAAGTTTCAAAACAAGCATTTCTGTTTTGAGCTACGGTTGCCAATTACAGATCAGTGCCAGAAGATTCTAGATGAAGGAAGTTAAGTAAATAAACACATTTCACTGTAATAGTGAGTTGAAAATGTAGCTTGAGATTTTTCAGAGCTTCTAATTCACCATTAGCATTCTAGAACCGACCAGAAAAGGGCAGCTTGCCAACTCTGGGTCGGGAGAGAGGCCCTGCCTCAAGTGGAGGAGTTTAAGTACCTTGGGGCCTTGTTCACGAGGGAGAGAAGGTGGGAGCGGGAGATCGACGGGAGTATTGGTGCAACGCCTGTGCTGATGCAGAGGATGAACCGGTCTATCGTGGTGTAGGAGCTGAGCCAGAAGGCATGGCTCTCGACTTACCAGTTGATCTACTTCCCAACCCTCACCTGTGATCATGAGCTTTGGGTAATAACTGAAAGAATAAGATCGTGGATACAAGCGGGCAAAATGAGTCTTCTCCGGAAGGTGGCCGAGCTCAGCCATAGAGATAGGGTGAAGAGCTTGGACATTCAGGAGGGACTTGGAGTAAAGCCGCTTCTCCTCCACATCGAGAGGAACCAGCTGAGGTGGTTCGGGCGTCTAATCAGGATGCTGCCTGGACGCCTTCCTGGGGTGATGTTTCGGGCATGTCCTGCTGGCAGGAGGCCCCCAAGTTGACCCAGGACACTTTGGAGCAAGTACATCTCCATTCTGGTCTAGGAATGTGTTGGGAGTTCTGCCGGAGGAGCTGGTGGAGAGGGCTATCTGGAATGACCTACTTGATACGTTACCAACCCAGATGAGCGGAGGAAAACGAACAAACATTGTAGCAGTGCTAGCCTCTGGCCTTCTTTACCCGATATTAAACAAAAACAAAAAGAATGCTCTAGCTTCTTAGGGTTACGATAAATAACATCTGGGCTGCTGCTTTTATTGGTTAACCTTTTTTTCCACAACACTGCTGCTCTTTGCCGGCTGGTGTCAAAATTACAAATACTGGTACAGCGTTTGTGTTGAAGACTTGGCAACCCCGTGAGCATATGATTGGCTGTGTTCAGGAGGAGCCAGTTCTGCGCAGATTCGATCACCGGTGATCGGCGTGCAGTGCATGCCGGTTAGATTCGTGTCCGACTTGCTCTGACGTCATGCCTACGTAGGCAACGATAACCTCGTGAGATCAAGGCGGCCGCAGATTTTGGAGCAAGGCGCTGCAGTAGCTCTCCACCGGCTGCAAAACCTAGGGCATGACGGGAAACGCCTGGCTCTCACCTGATCTAAGACCTGATTGGTTGATCCAAACATCCGGTGGTAGAATGCAAAATGTTAGTTGGTCACATGTATTCTTTAAATCATGTAACATTGATGATGTCAACTATATAGGCCATAAAGAGGAATGTGATTTGTGTTCTTTTGTCACGTTTCCTATGAGCACGCTAAAGCTACAGCTGATAACCTTTACTTATCATTACAGTCAGGACTTCACATACAATATATGATATCCACAAGCACGTGAGGATGTGTTTCGGTTGCTAACAGGCACCAGAGTTAAAATAAATAATTAAAAAAGTATGAACGCGATATCTTGATCCATCGTCACCCGCGAGCTACACATGTAGGGAAATCTGTCCGACTTAAACGCCGACTTTCAGCCACTCCCCCTGCTGCGTCCGTCTGCTTTCCAGGTGAGGCGCTGCTCAACTCGAACACGGCCATTGGCTCTGGAACCAGGAAGTATGGAGGTAGGACAGATTCTCAACACCGACTACGTCCCTCAAAAGAAGAACGACAGGCCTCCACCCAGCCAACCGAGAAGGAAATCTTTTTCAACTAAACCTTCCTTCCAACAGGATTAAGACACGAGGCTGTTTAGTGACAATTTCTCTGCAAAATTCTTACATATTGCACCTTTAAGTTAATTTAAAATCACTTTTCTTTTTAGCATCTTCAAATTAAGGTCACTAGTTTAATGCCAGCTCTTTCATCTTGTGTGATAATCAACAAAATTTGAGGAAATGTAAAAACCGTAGAGAGCAAAAAAGCAGCTTTAAACAAACAGCTGTTGATAAGCCACACGTTTCCCCTGAGAAAAGGCACCCAGCTAACATAACCACTTATAGACGATGCTACCATTCTGTGCATTTCAAGTAAACGACAGGTTTCAGAATTTAAAGCGGTTTTGACTCAACCGAGGTAGCTAAACTCAGATCCTTTAGCCGAATGCGGTCAGTCGTTAAAACACTACTGACTAAGGCAGAACTTTAAAACACTTTGGCTGGATTTCTAACACCGGCATCACCTGTAACAGTTTGACTTGTTAAACATGTGCAATTATTTGATGATTAACTTTGAAACAAAGATTTCTTTTGGCTCACGTTGCTTCAGCACTGCTGTTTCAGGCAGAACTCAGATCAGCACAGAGTTTTTAACGAAGCCCGAACCAACGTTCCTCCAAAGCCGTTGAGGTGGTCGCACTGCTGCAGTTCGTCGTAGCGTCCGCTTCGCAGGAAGCAGAGCAGTGCGGTTTTGCAGGTCTCTATGCAGGACTCGGACGTGTGTCCTTTATGTCGAAGGTGCCAGAACTTCTGGAACACGTGATCATCCTTGACGAAGTTCTGCAACAGTGCATGGTGATCCGACGGGAACAGAGTGGGAAGACTGTACGCTTTGGTGGCACGGTACAGAAGAGTCCATTCGGGGTTCTTTTCCGGACTGTGATTGGCCACCGTGAGGTTGAGGATGTAGGTTTCGTGGTCGAGCACCAGCCGAGAACTGGTCTGGTAATTCCCATCAACGTAGTACACGCGATACCCTGGAACGTTGTGTTTTAGAGATGAGACGAGATTACAGGTAAAGTGAAGATCACACAGCTGGTTTATGGACTCACCTGGGTTGAGGTTGACAAAGGTGGTGGCACTGGGGGCGATGAAGGCCACTCCTAATGGCCGGGTCATGGTTTTCTCATCGTAAAACATTTGGAATTCATCCAGATGAGTGTGACCAAAAAACTGGCCTGTAATTGTACTTTCATACCTGAAAACAGAACATTTTTATGGATTTGTTCTTGGAAAAAGCTGTTCAAGCAAGCTAGAATTAAAAAACAACAAAAATTCAAAGATCTGACATTTTTGTTCAGGCTCCCCCCCCCCCCCCCCCCCCCCCCCCCCCCCCAGAGTAACAGAAGAGAGAAACACACAGCTCTGCTGAGCCGCTGAAGTCGAAACTTCCAGAACCAACTCTAAACCTCATCACACTTGCTTCAAACCCCCCCCCCCCCCCCCCATTGTGTCCTTGGGCAAGACACTTAACCCCCCTTGCCTGCTGGTGTTGGTCGGAGGGACCGGCGGCGCCAGTGCTCAGCAGCCTCGCCTCTGTCAGTGCGCCCCAGGGCAGCTGTAGCTACATCGTAGCTCATCCCCACCAGGGAGCGAATGTGTGTGTGAATGGGTGAATGACTGTGTTGTAAAGCACTTTGGGGGTGTTCCAGGACTCCATTCTCTTTATATATTCAATCAATCAATCAAAGCTTTATTTATAAAGCGCCTTCCGCAACCCTGTCAGGAAGCCCAAAGCGCTGAACATGGTACAGTTGTAAGTAATTATGCTGAATAAATCAACAATAAAAGAAATTCAAATTACAAAATACAAATTACAAAATGGAAATAACAAGATAGATGAAACAGTCCGGTAAAATACAAATGTGTGAAACACAATTGGATTGAGTGGATGGATTGAGTGTACCAATGAAAACTGTGGAATGGATTCAACATAATAGAGGGCCATAATCAAACATGTTCTGGAAACGCCAAGCGGAGGAGGTGTGTTTTTAGGTGATTCTTAAAGACTGGCAGAGAAGCGGACAGCCTAACTGAGGGTGGCAACTGGTTCCAGAGTAACAGTGCTAGGACTGAGAAAGCCCGGTCCCCACGGGTACGACACCTAGACCGAGGGACAGCGTGTGTGTGTGTGTGATGCTTTGATGATATTATTAACTTACCAATAACGGCAGCACACCCCACCACTAACAAGTAGAAACTTCTTGAACCTAAACCGAACTCTGTCCTTTCTGCCAACTCTTAGCAGCGTGCATACGCACGCACACACACACATACGTGTTTTTATGGGTTTGTGTGGACTACTTTTCTGAGTTGTTTGTCTGGACCCTGGCTTCCACTATAGCCAGAATGGTGCAAAAATTATGTTTAACTCTAGGTGGGACAAAGGAAGCGTCCTCTAGGATTTTGGTTGTGTGGACCGGGTAAATGTCCACACAATGGTGAATGTCCACAATGTTGGTCTCCCGTCAGGGGTTGGTCCACACAAACCCATAAAGACAAGTGCACGCACACACACACACACACACACACACACACACACACACACACACACACACACACACACACACACACACACACACACACACACACACACACACACACACACACACACACACACACACACACACACACACACACACACACACACACACACACACACACACACACACACACACACACACACACACACACACACACACACATCCTTGAGTGGACCCTTCATTGACTTCAATTCATTTTATTGACTCCACTATGCCGAACCCATGCCCTAACCATAACCAATGCTGTCCTGACCCTAACCTAAACTAAAGGTTAATCCACACATACCTCTAAAACCAACTATTAGGGTGTTTTGCACTGTGTGGACCAGCCAAATGTCCCCACAAAACACACACACACACACACACACACACACACACACACACACACACACACACACACACACACACACACACACACACACACACACACACACACACACACACACACACACACACACACACACACACACACACACACACACACACACACACACACACACACACACACACACACACAAAATATAAATCTCTCAGCAACTGAAGGTAAAATGCACCAATGAAGCTAGAGTTCACTGCCTTGGTCATCTTTAACCACCTCTGTTGCTACCTGTTGACTATGTGATAGTAGTTCCAGCTCCAGCTGCTGAGACACAGGCCAGGTGGGATGTGACCGATGACATGCACCTAAACAGAAGGAACCAGCATCATAATCAGAAAGATTACAGCCCGTATAAAAGCCACTTTATTGCAAAGTATCAGCAACTAGACGTTGTAAAAACGAAAGCCACAGAATCAACACCCACATGAGGCTAAAAACACGACTGTAGAAGGAAATGACCTTAAAACCACACAAAGTTCCCCCGTCACACTAAATTCACCAAACCGACCTTCTCGCCTTTATCCTCGCTGGCCTGGAGGACCTGGACCAGCCACTGCAGCTGGTTAGCAGGATCGGTGGAGTTCACCATCAGCCAGAAGTTTTCTCGAGCACAGAAGTTCATGTTGAGCGAGACCACCCTCAGACCCGGCTGAATCGTTGCAGTGTAGAACCCACCGTATCTGAATTTACAGCAAAAAAAACCCAAACAAAGTGCATCTATCAGCACATCTGGAGGTTTGAGCTGGATTCAACAATAACATCAAACATTCCTCGTATCTGCAGAGCACTCTGACACAAAACAACATCAAGTATGATAAAGAGGCAAACTAAAAACCTCAGGGTCTTCAGAGCCTGCTCTGGCAACCATGATGCCCAATCTTCTGCCATTTTATCATAAAGCCAGGCGGAGGATCTGTTCCCGTGAACAAAAGGTGGTGGAAAGATGTTCACTGGTGTGCTCTCGTGGTTTCCTACTGCAGGGTAGACCGTCACTTTGGGTCCCAGGTGTCTGGAGAGGGGAAACGGTCAGAATAAAAGTCCGTTTGATCAATTCCAGGTAAAGAAAAGGGTAAATATTTATATATTTATCCGTTATCAGAGCTTCTGTTGAAGGTCTGACAATTCAAGGCCACGTTTTATCACTCCATTGTAATAAATTACTTGCGGACGAGCTTGGAGATGACTGTAAGTTCAGTCAGCTGCTGATTCCTGGTCTGAGACCAAACATTGTGTGCTGGTATGTCTCCGGTCCAGTAGACCCAGTCCCAAGGTCCGGCTCTGGCGGCATTCTCAAGGAGGCTCTCCACAGTGTGAAAGGGAAGGTCACAGTTGCTGTAGGTTCCCCAGTGCCCAGCCAGGCTCGGCCTCTTCCCGGGGAAGCCCGAGCTGTTGCGACAGCACAGAGGTTCCTTGCAGTCTGCGGCGCTGCCGGCTTGATACTCCTGTCAGCAGAGACGTCGCGAGATCAATGCAAAATTATATTTTTAAACTATAAATCAGCTGTTCTGCTTTTGCTTTTTTTCACCTTGTCCCAGTGGATGTCTGTAAGAAACAGAACCCGGCTCTGCGGAGAACCGGGTTTGGGAGGAGAAGGCGGTGTAACAGGGGGTTTGGGAACCTTTGGCAAAGTGATGTTCCAAGGAGCGTAAATGTCAAACGTGCCACAGGAAGGGCCCACCAACAGGGCGCACGCTTCAGTGGGCCAGAGGAAGGACTGCTGCAGTGCCCTGATGAAGTCGTCCCTGAACAGCTCGATTATTTCCCGACACACCAACTTATCGGACAGATGGAGGCGGACGCACGCCTCGCTGACCACGTGCGCCACTCGCTCTTCGTTCGCGTTGCTCTGATGGGAATGAAGCAGAACAGGATGCAGCTATTACAAAAACAAAACACTGAACTTCCTGAAAAAAATGTCCAAAACTGAAAGTGGAAGAAGTAATTCAAAATAACAGATCCTGCTTAGAAGCGTGTGGTTAGGAGCTAATCTCTGTGGGAACTGGGAGCACACCATATGACCACAGGCCTTGGTGCACAGTTCTGCAATAAATCAGCAGAGGAACTGGACTTTGAGTGCCCTGTTTACACGTAAACTAGAATAAACCCAAAGATAAATGGAGAAGTGTTTGTTTTCTGAAGCAGATTCTGTTTTGGGGACAATCTCAATTCATAAAGTTTAAGAACAATTTATATTTAACTTTGCATCTCGGTTCTGAACTCAGAGGAGTAGTTGCATAACTAACATACGGATAATAAACAAAGAAGCAGCTTCCTGAGTAACCAAATAATGACGATTAAAAAACTAATTTGCCAGCTGACTAATCTGATCTGTTCTGGTAGATATTTAAGATCTAAATCAAGTGATGCACACTTACTCCTCAGATAAGATAAAAATCATGAGCTTGTAAAAACTGTTTCATTTTCTGCTGTTTACATTTCTTTAACATTAACTTGACATTAGTTTTAGGGCAGAATCGATCTTTTTGTGACGCCAACAAAGTCAATAGACAAATGTTTACTGGTGAATTTCCTCATCAACTCGTTTCTCTTCATGCAGCTTTAGGTGAGGAGTCGTGTTTATGCTAAAGTTACCAGAAGGGCGATATCAAGAAGGGTGAAGACCACTTTGCACGCGGGGCAGGTTAGATTCCTCCAGTTGAAGGCGAGCCCGAGGCGATCGACCTGCTCCAGGAACCGGATTCTGGTCTGTTCTAACGACTGAACCGGGTGACCCGACCCCAGCGACGGCCCCCTTAGGAGCAGAGTGCAGGTCATCAACCCCAGAAACGGGAGCAGCGCGTGGAGTTTCATTTGGACGAGACCAGTTTGTGGATCTATGAAAAAAAATTTAAAAAAAAGAAAGAAAGGTCACACGGACTGAGGTGTAAAACACCCACACCAACAAAGCTGAGCGTTCACACTTCGTCCTGCTAACAAAGCAGCTAGCAAGAGTTGATATCTTAAAACATCCTTAAATGTCACCGTTTTTTATTTCCGGTGGACTCAAGCAGGTCCACGACGTCTAGAGTCGCTCCGACTTGTCTCAGACGACTTTTAGGTCCAAGTTCTGCTCCCTTCCGCCCAGCTAGAGCCGCACTTCCTTCTAGCGGGACCGAAGCTCGCGCTCACGTGACAAACACACATAACATCAGCTGACTGATCACGTGACATGATCTAGACGAGAAAAACAGAAAAGCAAGCTGGGGCCAAAGATCAAAGAGTCACAAGAAAAGTCCCTGCTTTTTGCATTCTTTCTCGCTAAATTAAATATCTACACTGTTTCCAAAACAACTACGTTCATTTATCGTGTATTTTTTTAACAAATATATGATAAGTGACGGTGTCTTTTCTTCAGTTTTATGCTCCTTAACTACCACCAGATGGCACTATAAAACCTTCACAGTACAAATCTGACCAATATAAACTGAAGGAGTCCAATTTAAAGCCCGTGCTACAGCTATTTCCATATGTATTCAGTGTAAATTAAAAAAGTAAAAAATTAGCCAACATATTTTTTTATAATCTCTATTGTTGGTAAAATCCTGAGATATTTTCAAATTTGCTGTAAACCTTCGCACAAATGTCCCCACTGTGGGATCAATGAAGTCTTCTCTTATCTTAACCTTTACCCATTTTTATTATTTTATATTATGTCCTCAAAATAACAGAATATAACAATACAAATAAAAAAATGAACCATCTTCAGAAGAACTATTTATAACGAACTCTACAAGAACTTTTACAGCACATGATAAATAACTGATGTGGTGAACACTTCACAAAAGTAAGATAATATATTTGAAAAAGAGCAAGATTTTGCCATAAATATAGAAAATATTTATTAGATTTGAAAATGTGCATAAAAAAGTAATACGTCTATACACATTGCTTTGGATCTGTTCCACACTGTATATATCAGTCATTACAGCTGATTCATATTTATGAGAAGCACCTGGTAAAGTACATTTAAATCTCAAATTAACTTATATAAGACAAGCAATGCATGTTCAAACTGTGGGTTGCTTCAGTGGTTTTTGCCTTTATTTACAGTGGCGTTTGGCTGATACATGATAGCTGGGGTGAAGCAAAAGAACGAGTGGTTTGATAATAAAACTCAACATAGCTGAACCAGTCGCTACCGGGAGATTCATTTCTCCTGCATCTTCTCCAGGATGGGAACGATCATATCAAACTTGGGCCTCTTGGCCGGGTCTTCGTTCATGCATAGCCTCATCAGCTTACAGATGTGAGGAGAGATTCCTGGTGGGATGGTTGGCCGGAGTCCCTCGAGAGCTACCTGAGCAATGGGAAAAAGTAGAGACGCCAAGTTTGATTTATTCCTCCCCAAACACAGAAACCTGTAGATGATGTGAGTTTGAATATGCAACACTGTAAATGCAATGCCTGCTAACCTTCATGCCTATCTCCATGTTTGAGAGATCAGCAAAGGGGACCTCTCTGGTAACCAGCTCCCACAGCAACACGGCGAAGCTCCACATGTCAGCAGATCTTCTGTTGATGTCTTCAGGCCTCTTCTGCAGTGCTGAAGAGATTGGAAAGAAAAAAATCTCACCTTAACTGATCTAGGACTAAATGATCTTCTCTGTTTCTGACTGGATTTATTAACCATGCAGGAAGAAGGAGGGAAAAAAAGAACTAAATACCCTCAGGAGCCATCCAGGCTGGAGAGTACATACGGCCTGGACACTGGAAGGAGAGCTTTGCATCCGCCATGCTTATTCTAGCCGTCATGTCCTCATCAATCTGTGAATCAATCACCAATCATGTATTTATTTAAAGCTGCAGTAACAAATCAGCAAAACAAGCTAACTTTTAAACGCAAACATGGTCACAAAACTCAAGTCAATCCCCAGGTCATTGTTTTGCCTCCTTAAGCCTATCGTGAGAGCGGGGGGATTCTTCAGTGTGAGATATTGGAGGTATGGCGTTAGAGTAGTGAAGAGGGTCAAATGCGTGTGTCTCACGCTGAATGTTGGCAGCCCTGCTATACTATGTTGGAACATTAAAACGCATGAAAAAATGCTTTAAGTTAGCTTTGTTTAGCAGATTTGCCATTGCAGCTTTAAAGTGGGCGTACACTCGTTATTTCAACAAATAGATAGATGTACTTTATCTGTTGTGGTCTTTAGTTTGAATGCCTTGTGAGTCATTTTCTGTGGAGAAACAAAGCTCTGGTGCTCCTGTTTCAGGAAGTAGAAGTGAATGGCATAATGTGGAGTCTTAATATTCATGATATGCAAACATTCCACCTCTAACTGGCCAACAGCAGTGCGACTCAAGTCTGAAGGAATTCTACCATTTTGTGGAGTTGCTAATGCTAACGGTTAGCTTCTACTAGTCGAGTTGTGCTCTGATCTCTCCTAGCCACCAAAAAAGCAGTCTTCTTCGTTAGCTAGCGAAGGTGGTTGAGTTCATGAATGCAATAGAGTCTGGCTTTTTCTGACCTGAACGTTTCCCTGTCTTTTTCCTTTTGGCGTCTAATGCAGGAAATAGGGGTAGAAGACTATTTTCACGTTCAGCCTGTATGTAAAATTCTAAGGGACAAATCATATTTAAAAAAGAACAAGTAGCATACATTTCTCAGTGACTGATCCTTTGAGGTCCACCAAAAAAGCAGTGAGCACCACCTCACCCCTGCCACATGGACCCAAGGGATAAACCATCAACCCTGCTCAGTGGTCAACTTTCCTCGTGGGGTCACACCCATTAGGACAGTGGGAGGGTTAAACACCAAAGGTCCAGGTTAGAAGTGCCTCACCATGATGTGTTTACTGTTGAGGTAAAGCCGTGAAACCATTGGCTCTAAGGTATGGAGGAAGGCCATGCCACTGGCAATGTCCAGGGCAAACTTCACCGCTTGGCTCTGATCAACCACCAAAGCTGAGGAGGAAAAAAGAATGAAAAGAAACAATAAGAAAGGGTATTTTATTGTATTGCACCTGTTCAATAAAAATTAATAGTAATAATAATGGATTGGATTTTTATAGTGCTTTTTCAAGGCACTCAAAGTGCTTTATTCACCCACTCTAACATTCACACACTCCCGGTGATAGTAAGCTTCTTTCTACGTAGCCGCAACCGCCCTGAGGCAGTCTGACAGAGGCGAGGCTGGCATTTTGCACCGTTGGCTCTCTGACCACCTCCAACACAGGAAAACCAGGTGAAGCGTCATGCCCAAGAACACAACAGCAACAGCAGAAAACATGGGCGGGAGCTGGGATCGATCCCACTGTCCTCCAATTGTAGGGCAACCTGCTCTACCTCCTAAGCTACAGCTGCCCTAAAGTTAACTACACAACAGGAGAAGTATGTAGGGCTCTAAATCTGCTACGACTTAGGCCTAGTCCACACGTAGCCGGGTTTCTTTAAAAACGAATATCCGCCCCTCCAAAAACTTGCATCCACACCACCTCGTTTTAAAAACAAACTCTGTCCACACGTACCCGGATAAATACGTTGTTAAGGACATGCCAGACCTGTAGGCGGCAGTACTTCCCCCGCTCTTAACCTCGTCCTTCGTCTGTGGTCTTCCGCAAGGAGCAGTAATCCCGCTTGCAAAAACAAACAAGCAAAAAGCGCTTGGACAATTGATAAAGCGAGCGCAGCTCTGAGGGCATCCATGCAGTCGGCTAGTGTAAACACAGGTCGCACACGTGATGTCAGCATTTTGTTGTCACGGAAAGTGACGTTGCGGACCTTAAAACTCTGTTTTTGTCTGTCCACACGCAGACACCCAAAACGGAGAAAACGCAGATCTTCACTTTGGCCGGAGTTTTTAAAAAGATCCGTTTTCGTGTGAAAAAACTCAGTATTCGTGTGGATGACAGGCCAAAACATAGAAAAATATCTACGTTGTGGCAGATCCCCAGCTACGTGTGGACAGGGCCTAGTAACTGTCCCGCTGGGGGTGGGGTGGGGGGGGGGGGTGGGGGGGGTGTTGGACCCAAGATGCAGAACCAGGGAGACACGAGGCAGGAGTTGGAATAAACGTAAAATCCTTTATTAGGAGCGAATGTCCAAAAGTAAACCCAAAAGGCAGGAAGCCAAAACCGAAAATCCAAAAGTCCTAGTATAAAAAAAGACCAAGAGACCTAGAGACAAAAAGCTCACTTAAAGAGCTGACCTGGAGACCTAGAGACAACGCTGACACAAACAATGGACCAACAACACATTGAGACGCAGACAGGGTTTTATACACAAAGGGAAACAATCTGGGAGACGGGTGAGAGGTGTGTGGGGAGTAATCAGAAGGGATCAGGTGAGACTAATTAACTGAGTGGGGAAAACTGACTAGGTAAAATAAATCTACAGAGAACTAAAGATGAGTGAACTCTTAAAACCTGAAAACAAGACACCAGAAGAAAAACAGGGATGGGATTACTGCATTTGAAAACACTACGGGGGAAACCTGGAGGGAGCTGGAGACCTAAAGGGGCACAGAAACCAAAGAAGAACACCTAAGGGGAAAACCTAGAATGGGCACAAGGAGACACATAACGGGAACCTAGAGAGGGACGGAGAACACAAGGAGACACATGAGGGAGACGCAGAACGCAGACCATGACAGTAACGCATTCTATCTATTTAAACCAGAGGTGTCCAAACTTTTCACAATGAGATCCAAAATTGTCCCCGTGGGACACCAAAATGTGATCTTTCTTTGTTTAAAACATGAAAAAGTCATCTTATTGTATTTTTTTCCATTTGCAATCATCAAATTAAGTCCAAAAATGTGCATTTTAGTAATAATCTTAACTCATTCGCTGCCAGTGTTTCTCACCGTTTTTACTGTTTTTTTAAGAGTCACAGAACGTTGCACGCTAAGATGATGTCGACGCCAAAACAACCAAAACAACCAAAACAAAGCGGAGACTCACCTCTCACATCAGGAGGAATCCGCGCATTTCGAGCTTTATCCGTTTTTTCATAATCTGTTGTTGAATTGTGATCGGCAGACGCTTTTCCGGTTCGCTCCTCACCTTTTTTACAGCAGCGGCCCAAAACGATCTGATGGATTTTCTGCCTCCTGATCACGTGACGTGTGACATACTCAGATGAATATCGGCTTTAGAGCTGGGATGTTTGTTCACACAGTGCGGGGGCTCGTTCCGACGCTCACACAGCAAAAAAAATGCAAATGACGACTTTAGTCGTCATTGGCAGTGAATGAGTTAATCTAAAAATGTTAGAGTCGATCTACATCAAACGCATACTGGAAAGACAAAATTCATCATTCTAGGAATGCAAGTGGGGGCCGCATAAAAGTGCTCTGAGGGGCTGCAAATGGCCCCCAAGCCACACTTTGGAAATGCTGGCTCTAAACTGTCAGAACTGCACCAGTTATTAATTTATAAATAAATAAAAAGAAAAGCAAATTTATGTGAGGAGAAGGCAGATTTATAGCTCTGGTGGAAATTCTGGGGGATGCTGCAGTTTTACAGTAGCAAGCCTTAGTTCAAGTGCTTTGGGGAAAAACAAAGACTTCAACATAAATCGTGGCCATTTCCTTTTCTTGCACATGAAAGCAGATTACTCACTAGTGCCCTGGTGGAGGATGTTGAACAGGGATCCATAAGGCATGAAGTGGGTAATGATGATGGGCTGAGGGGATGGGGGCGACTGACAGGCTCCGAGGACAGGCAGAATGTTTGGATGAGAAAAGATCCTGCAGGGACGCATAAAAGGGAGAGAAGAGACTAAAACAAAGCCGATGAATGTGAGTCATCTTTATTTAAGTGAAAAGGAAAATGCAAATAATGACACATTCTTAGATGAAGGCGGTTTCACCCGAGTAATGAGGGAGATTAAACACAACATTTGTATCTTTCAAGCTAAGCTGAGCTCTGGTTTTACATGTTCATTAACAGAAACTCTTTCATTTGTGCACGATTCTACATACTGGCCCTGAATATTTCAGAGTACTTTATAAAAGCATCCGTTCTTAAAAGGAACGGAGAACTGAAGCCATCTTAAAAGCTGCAAACATCTGCACCCCTCAGCCCCTACCAGCAGGGTTTCTTTATTTTTTGTCGCTCAAAGGTTTCGCATTTGTTTTGTTTTGTTGTTGCTTATTTTTAATGAGAATCTTAAGTTGGCGATTTAACACAGTCAGGATGGTAATAATTAACATGTTTGTTTAATGCTAAGCTGTGCATCGCTCAGTCGATTCATCTTCAGATGCACGAGAGAGAAGATGCGTAAAACAAAGTGTTGACTATGCTAATGAACAATGACCAGAAATAGCAAGGGTTTAACCCTCTAGTGTGTTTATATACGTTACATGTCAAATTCGACATGACGAATGTGCAACTCGATGCCATTTAGGCGATGATGCTGCAAGAAAGCTGAAAAAAGAAAAAAACTCCGAGCGCATCTGTGTAGATCAGAATTAATGAAGCGCAACAGGATTTAACAGTGTGTTTCTCGTTTTACTTTCATGGCTTTTATTTAGCGTATTATTGAATTAGACATCTCCTGCAATAGAAGGAGTGCAAATTAAAATCTGCAACATCAACCACCCAAGCAGCAAAGATCTGGAACCAACCCAAGCACTTCTTGACCCCGACCTCAAGAAATGATTTTGTTGACCTGTAAAAGATATTGAGTCCAAACTGAAGTAACCAGACTGAGTACAAAGGTTCTGCACGCATTCATCGCTAAAAATGCAGATAAAGACCACCCAAAGACGGCTTTGGGTTTTTAACTGAGAACCTGAGTTTGGGATGCTCCTCGTTGAAGTCTCTGCTCTTCCTGGTGGTCCAGTCTCTCACCTGCAGCACCTTCACTACGATCTCATCGCCCTGCCACCTTCCCTGCCACAACTAAAATCAGAGCACCAGTGAACAAACTGAGAAGGAGCTGAAGATAAAAGAACGAGACAGAAAGCAGCCGACCTCCCCAGACTGGTTCTCATTGATCTTCGCCAGGAGCGAAAGCTGCTTATAATCGATACCAGCTTGCTTGTTAAGGGTACCGTTACCTGATGGGCAAAACAAACATGAATCACACCTTTTTTTTGGGACATTGTGATTTGTTCATGAGAGGAATAACACTCACGGGGCCGTGTCCTCATCGTGCCCTTCCAGAAGGTTTCCTTGTATGGGATTTTGCTCAAGCTCTGGCCCATTTTCTCTGCCTTTTCTGAAAACAAACAAATAAATCTTGTCAGAAAAGCAGGACGGTGGGTTTAAATGTCTAGAAATAACCTCTGACCTTGCAGCAGCTGTTTCAAGTGAGGTTTGGCCTTGTCCATAGGTGTTTGTCCGTACCTGTTGCACACACACACCTGAGCACCGCTGGCTACCAAGTCCTAAAGACAACATTTAAATCAGTTACTGGACAACAGATCTCCCCCGTGGAGACTGAATGTGTGTGTTTGTACCTCTGCAACTTCATCATGCCCCCAGAAGCAGGCGTAGTGGAGCGGCGTGTTTCCATGCTCGTTGACTGTATTGGGATCTGCTTTGCACTGAATCAGCTGACGATAACCCATCAGATGTTTTAGAAAACTCAAATAAAGGTGCAGAAGATGCAAAAATAAACAACACCCACACGGAGTGAGAGAGCCAACCTTAGCCACAATGTCTCTGTGCCCATGACTTGCAGCGAGATGTAGGGGGGTATCGTCTCCACGGTTCATCACATTGATGCGCCCCCCTCTCATAATCAGCATGTCGACAACGCCGCTCCGCCCTTCTCTGCAGGCCCAGTGCAGGGGGCTAAAGCCATGGTCGTCACTGCAGCGCAGGGGGAAATGGAAAAGTGTGTGTTTGATACACATATTTCTGCTGTAAGAGTTCTACCTCTATAGCAGGATTAGTGCTTTCCTCAAGCACATGCAGCATTAAATCTTATTCACGCCTTTTAGTGTGTGATCCAAGTGTTGCAGATCATCTTGCAAATTCTTGCCAGATTTGCCACTGGATGCACCAGAGATGCTACGATTTGCATCTGCTGGTGATATTCTCAATCAGCAGTATCTACAAATAACCTCAGACATCAATGTAAACAACCATGTCATGTGGAACTGATGGAGATACGAAGGTTTACCCAGGATTTTCATCGGATGCGTATGCGTTGCGTTCACAAAACGTAATACGCGGCTATAGCCACCGTTATAGTCGATGGGCGTGTTCCGACCAGCAGCAAAGCGGTGCTTTTTGGACGTTCTACAAGTGCAGTTTTGTGTTGTTCTGCTAAATTTACTCTCAGGTCAGATTTTTACACGCCACTCCTCCAGAATGCATCAAGCTCAGCAGTTGGATCAGACCAGACAGGAAGTCAAACACAGGACCAATAAAAAACATCTGACAACTTTCAAAGTAAAAGAAGTGAAGATTTTCAGTTGCTTAACAAATAAAATAAAAATAAAAAATACGAGATCATGCATGATCTTGGCAGTTCTCTGGTGATTTTGTGACCTTGTGCGACCAGCAGCATGGAACACATTTGCTGCTAATTCGTATCCGCAATGCATGGTGGGAGGGGACGTGCCACTGAGCTTGCAGAAAAAACACGTCTATTACTCTACATCAGGGTTATTCAATTCCGGGCCTTTGAGGGCTGGTATTCATCATATTTTAATAGTTTCTCTGGTCCAACACAATAGATTCAGTGGTTGAATCACCTGTGCAGCTGCTCATCGTTAGTTACCTGTTGATTGAAATCAGGTGTGCTGAAGCAGGGTTAAAACAAAAACGTGCTGGTTACCGGCCCCTGAAGCCCGGAACTGAATAACACTGCTCTACATGCTGTGTACACATCTGGTGGAAGGCCTGGGTTGTATTTTACCAACATATCAACTGAATCATTATTTAATTATATATATTAGAGCTATTTTAGGACAGTAGCAACACACTTTAGTCTTGCAAGGTTTTAGAATGTTGCACAAGCTGGGGCTCGTCTGGGATGTCTTTTTTCCTTGAGCTACAGGAAATGATAGGTTTGATGTGTTTTATACTGTAAATAAGTGTGTTTTGACTTGCAAAGCTTCAGATTTAGTTGGGCCATTGGTTCACCAGTCCTCTTGGGCAGTGGTTCCCAACTTTTTTTGACTCGTGGACTCCCTGAGTCATTTTCTTGTACCACAAGTACCCCACCAGTCAATTATGTTGACAATGATAAAAGCTGAGTTTATTATTCATTTGGGTATAAATGGGTCATACGGCCTAAAATCTACATCATAATATATTATTTTCTTCTATTGATTAATTTATGTCAAAATGACTATTTTTTACATTCTCACATACCAGATAAATCCCAGCTAAACAAGTACTTCTAAATATTATTGAAGAACATTTAATGTTCTAAACTTTTTTTTAAATAAACCTTTCAGGTATCCCCTGTCATGCGTTAACGGACAACTAGGGGTATGTGTACCCCTGGTTGGGAATCACTGCTTTAGGGCATAAACTCTATTTCTCTGAACAGAGGTCATTCAGGAAGTGGTTAAAATAGAAAATATTATTAACTTTGACACTGAAACCTACTTCAAAATGGCCATAAATCCCTTTAAAAAGTAGTGTAAAAGGTCTTCTTATGTGGTAAAATTCAGGTGGAAAGCCTAAATTAGGTAATTTTTGTGTTTATTTATCATCGACTGTAAAAAACTATATCAGTGGAAATCAGAGGTGAGCAATTTCAGGTCCTTTTATATAAAATGAATTAAAAAACTCTTCATTACACCCAGCAGTGAAAAACACTCTCCAGGTGGTCGACAAGTACGCCTCCAAGACTGCAATCATAAGAAGAACCCACCAAGGATCAAAACAAGCTGTAAACAATTCATAAACCTCTGGAAGTTCTTTAAAAATAAAGTGTTGGATCACAAGTTCCTAATGAGAGAAAGAAAAAAGAAGTAGCAGTCTTAAAATGGCTCAAGATTTATGGCAGATGTCAGCTTGAAACATGGAGCCAGCGAGACGGCATGCATGGCTTCCTGTGGCAGCGGGTAAATAATATTTATTGACAGAAGACAGCTGGGTAGATTCTGAAGTCTGGAGAACGAGGATCGTATCTGCTACTTTAAGATATCTAGTTAAACATAAGAGAATAACACACACTATGTCGGCTTTCAGAGGTGAACCCAAACCACTGTAGGTGCTGGAGTCCTCTCTCACCACCAGTTGACAAAACTCCCCTCCACCACCGACTAATCTTTATTTAGACATAAGCACATGCTTCCTTTCTGCGCCTGCAGCCTTCACCCGGCTGATGATTGGCCCGGTGATAAATATGTCTGTACAAGCTGGAATGCCTGCAAAGATGCAAACAGTTCCAGCGTGCACACACACACTCTGCCTGATCAAAGCCTACTGGTTGTGCTGCACCAGGCTAAAGACCAAAGGTGACAGATCATTTGCTGCTGTGGCCCCCAGACTCTGGACCTCTCTCCCCCTGAGCCTGAGATCAGTGGACTCAGTGGTCTCCTTCAAAAAGCAGCTGAAGACTCACTTGTTCAAGCTGGCTTTTGTATGACCTTCTTCAACCCCTCTCTCTTTATTCTGCTCTCCCCACCTATTCCACCTTCCTCAGGATCCACTGATTTCCCTCTTTCCGATTCACTCTCGCTCTCTTTCTTTACATTTTTTTTCTTTTAAATCCCAATTGCCTATTTTTGCTCATTTTAAATATATTTTTAAACATTTTCTAAATGCCTTTTTATATTTTAACTTTTTTTTTTGTGAAGCGCCTCGTAATTTTTATCTTGAGAGGCGCTATAGAAATGATATTTTCTTCTTCTTCTGTCACCTCTGTGTGACTGAGCCCCCTTCGCCAGAGCCGGTCCGTCGCATTAACTGGAACCCCCCCCCCCCCCCCCCCCCCCCCCCGAGGCAGCCGCTGGGGGATTCTCGCAGCTCCCCGCGAATCCACATTCTGTTTAACAGTAAACCTCTGGAGGGCTTGAGTGGCCTGCAGGAAATAGCTCGCGCTGAAGTGAAAGAGCAGCGAGGCACATTCTCTGTCAGTTCTGATCCAACCCTGTGGACAGACTGACCAACTCTGCAGGCTAAAAAAAGAAACAAGGAGGAAGGAAAGCACAACAACTGAGGAATGACAGAGTGGAAAATACACCCAGTAAGACATTCCCTCTCGTTTATTTTTTTGTTTTGTTTTGTTTTCCTGTCACTCGCTTCTCTTCAGGGGCAGAACTCAAATGGTTCCAACACATTTTCCCAACCACGGTTTTCCAAACACTTTCCTTAAAGGTTCTGGGAGTTCTGGAGGAAAAGAAGGGGAGGAGGAGGGGTCTGCATGGTTGAGCTTCTTGAGAGCAGCAGCCAATAATGAGGAGTTATTCATTTGTTTATGCGGGACTTTGGGAGCTCTGTCAGTGTGGGGCTTGGCCGTGTATGGAGCTGAAACAGAGGAAATGGCCTCGGCTGCTGCGTGGTTGGCTCACAGCTCCGCAGTCCTCAACGTCAGCGAACTGCACATATATGGCAAGAAGGAGATAACCAGTGGCTTTTGCCAGAAGCTTTCTAACAAAACAAAATGGGATAGTTTAAACAATCCTTATAACAAAGCTCTTTACTGACATATTTACATTTTATTATGAGTATATCAGCAGGGATGTTCTAAATAGGATCCCATTTTTCCATTCCTGGAAATGAAATTTAGTTTCTCTGTCCTTTTCAGTCATAAGTGCTTTTGATTTATTGTTGTGTTTTTCATGTCTTAGGCTTTTGTGTGATTGCCAAATGTGTGCTAAAATCACCCATTTTTGCAGGATGACATCATCAGAGGAAGGGGGGAAAAAGTGAACCCTGGTCTGACATCACTGCAAACGAGTGATGCTCAGCAGTGCAGCAGGGAGAGAAAGAGAGGATGGAAACTATTTGATTACACACACACACACACACACTCACACAGTTTTCTTCATAGAAAGCCAGAGCCGGCCCGAGCACATGTGAGTTAAGCGACAGCCTGGGGGCCCCCATGCCACCAGGAGGGGCCCCCCAAGTGCCCCAAGATATTGTGGGAAAATTTATATAAATAACTTTAAAAAATCAACTAAATCATTTTATAAATAGAAAAATGCGTTAAAATTACTTTGATAGTGCAATTTGGTTTTTATTTTGAAGTGATAGCATGCTTTACACATCTGCTCCTAATTTTAAGAACAAAAGATAGTAAACTCAACTTGTTTACTGTAATTTCAGTGTCTGCTGATGCTACTTTCAATAGTTTAATTAATATACCACACTTAAACAAAACTCTTCAAAATGCAAACAAATTAGAGCTTTTTTTCTTGGTTTACTCCTCCTGTAAGGGTAAAGTCAATAGCAATAACAACACCTGTAAGCTAATTACAAAAGATGTTACTGACAGTTAGTGTGTTTCAACGTTAGGAATGATGAATCGTCTGGTGTTAACTTTTGGTCTGGGGCCCCAAAGGTATACCTGCTTAGGACCCCACAAAGGCTTGGACCGGCCCTGTTTGTGACGTCTTTCACAGACTTTACAGACAAAAATACAGCATCCATCATCCCAGCTGTCACTCTCACCCTAATCAGATGATGCATGCAGGTGGACACATGCTGACTCACCCCAGGTTCAGGTCATTTTCCGTGTTGTCTAACCACAGACGGACAGCTACTGAGTTCCCTTCTCGACACTGTGTGAAAATGTCATCCATGGTTGTGTTTCAGGCTGAAGCTCTGCTCCTTCGGTCTCTTTTAAAGTCGGAAACATAGAGCCTGGAAGAGACTAAAAGTTACAATTCTCCTCTCAAATAGGGTAATAATTACATTTCTGCATCCTGTCTTACAAACTACCTTACATCCTTTAATAATCACCCGTGCTGCTGGTAAATAAAGCTACAAATGCATTAATAAGCTATAATAATGCTGTGAACTAAACAAAAAAGCTGCTTTTATCCTTCTGAGCTGACTCGGATGGGCTGGCCTAATGGGTCATTTAAAAAAAGTTAAAGTTTCACAACAAGACGTTCACTCCCATTAGAGATAGAATTGTTAGACACAAACTGTATCGAAACTTTTTACCATGAAATTTCTTCTCAGTCACCTTTTTCCCCCTCTTCTTTCCCTTTTTTGTTCTTTCTTGAGAAAGTCTGCCGTCTTCTGTACCGTAGGAGCAGGGACTGGTCGAGCTAGTCCACGCCCCGCTGAAAGGAGTCGATGTTGGGGAGAAGTTCTGCCCCGGGACACCGACACAGCAGCGCCCCCTACTGGGAGAAATAAACTCTCCAGCAGAGGAGGGGAACAGTCGTTAAAGAGCAGAAGATGTGAATTAATAAAGTGATTATTGCTCTGATAGAGTTCAAATCATCATAATAAATCCGTCACGTCACAGAAAACAGATGTACTTCTCATCCATACCGAAGTGTAATTGTTATTTTCCCAACTACGGGTCCTTGCTAAGGTCAAACTATCCCTTTCTTTTGCCAGAGTTTGAAGGGATCCAACTCTTTATTACTTCTAGAAGAAGAAGAAAGAAGAAGAAAATATCATTTCTATAGCGCCTCTCAAGATAAAAATCACGAGGCGCTTCACAAAAACAAAAAAAAATTGTAAAAATATGAAAAAGCATTTCGAAAATGTTTAAAAATATATTTAAAATGAGCAAGGATAAGCAATTGCGATTTAAAAGAAAAAAATGTTAATGTTAATGTTAATGTTCTAGAATATTTTACTGTAACAATTGGAATCACCTGAGAGGCAAACGTAGACCTCTACTTCTTTTATTTAGTTACTTAGTTGGAACGAAAATAATGCCCATAAATTACAACAATGCAGACAAAATAAACATAAAACAAACTAAAATGTGTAATGTAATCAAATGAGTATTTCAAATAACTGCAAACGTAATGTGCATTAATGATATATTTTGTTGCAGTCTCTTTGCACGACCTCTTCGCTCTTTTTACAGTTCAGAATAAGATTTTATTGATTAGTTTTAACCATTTATTTGGTTCTTTATTTCTCTGCTCCTTCAGCTTTTGTACTTTGTTTAAAATCCATTCACTCACTTTATTCCTCAGCATTAAACCATGCTGACGCATGCATGTTTTTATTAATTTTCATGTGTACGTTTTAGCGGTTTTGGACCAGTTTTGTTTTTAATCACACTTCTGTCCACATTTGTTGGTTTTTAAATCTGCATATTCATATTTTGTTGGCAATAAACAAAAAATTTGTAACATGATTATGGGGAGAAACAAGTCTTTAAAGGTTTGTGCATGTGTAACAATTAGTATAACTAGACTTGTGCATGTATAACTAAGATCTGTGTGTGTGACTAGACCTGTGTGTGTGTGTGTAACTCTTGATTTGTAACTTAAAGAGCAAGTCACCCCCAAATCGACTTTTTTTTTTGCTGATAAACTAAATAAACAAGTGTCTAATCGTGCTGCAGACACGTGTCGTCAATAATTTGGCACTTCAGTGCATCTTAGTTAAAATTTTAATATTCTGCCTAAAACTGGCAGTGTTGTACCATTGTCAGGTAAAAACTCTGCACTGTAGTTTAATTTAAATCTGCCACCGCTATTGGCTAAGAGTTATGCTATGATGTAAACTGGTACATTATGATGTCACAATGCTGTTGTGAGCCTGTGTGTGTATTTGTTAGCAGCTCCGCCTTCTCAGTCTGCCAGGCAATGGCATTTGTTTCATTTTTCAAACATGAAGTGGGAGTGGAGTTAGACTCTGGTAGGGGGTGAGTTGCTCTTTAAGCTCCTACACATACAAATCATTGCACACACACAAATCACCTGGTACTAGGGCTGGACGATATGACCTAAATTTAATATTACGATATATTGAGGATTTCACCTCGATAACGATAAATGGACTATAACTACAAGTATGCGCAGAAACAAAAGTTGTCCACCAGAGGGGGCTGTCACGTGTATTACATTGAGTCACATTTGGGCCATTCCCATCTGTACCGGGTTGGCCCGGGCCGGGTAGCGTAGGTTGTTTACATATCTGGGTGGCCTGGTATTTTTCCGGGCCAACCAAGGCTCATTCTCGGCCCTCTTCTCAAGGGGGTCTGCTTCAGGCCGACCAGGGCCAACACACCCACTGCTGACAGCAAATTCACACCTTCCATTAGAGCAAGCCTCTGATTGGTGGGTAGAATCAGCCCACATGGGCTTAAGACAAGGATGTGTGAATCAACCGGGCCATGCTGGGGCCGACCGGGGCTACCTGGCCCGGTACAGATGGGAATGGCCCTATTGACTCAAGGTGGTACAGCTTTTTAAAGGGACATGAATGTTACAACCTACACACATCTTTTCATTTTTTTACTGTCAAATGTATTGACATGGGAAAAATTATCTCGATAAGTCAGAAATGTCGATGATAGATTTTCCATTGATTGCCCAGCCCTACCTGGTATACACAGACAGAACTACATTACACACAGACCAGTTCACAAGTACAAAATGATTTTGAGACTAGTTACACACGCACAGGATTTACCACTTTTGTGGCACTATTATTTCACCAGGATCATGTTTTATTGACATTTTATCAGAGTCAACAATAAAAGACAAAATAAAAACAAATATAAAGGACAAAAGTAGAGGAATTTTAACCCTTAAAGATATTTTATAGTAATCAGAAAATAATTTAAAAAAGACTAATTTGATCCCATATTAATGTTTTTATAAAGTTCAACAAGTTCCAACTGTTGGCGAGGAAACATCTGGAACATCTGGGATTCTCTCTTTGCCTGTCAGGCCTTCCCCGTTTTAGACTCTATAGATGCTGATGTTGACTCTTTTACTGATAAGGATGTAACTTTCGAGCCACCAGAATCAGTTTGAAATCCTGGAATGGATGACTGGAGTAATCCTGCCACTGTTCCATCCGTTTCCGACCTAGGTGCAGTAGCTGATAATTTGGCTTCTGTGGCTGTCGTGTCAGCGAGAATTTCTAATCCTGCTGACTTTAAGACAGAGCTTTGAACCTCTGATACAACTCGAGTCCCGGAGGGAGGCAGATCAGGAGGTGGGGGTGAATCTATAGACGCCTGAAAGGCTGGCGAGGCTTCTGAGGATGAGGTTGTGACAGCTACTGCTGCTGCATTCTCTGCAGCCTTGCTCTCCATCTCCTCCATCCGACGTTGCACCATCTTAGGCATCAGCTGCACATAGGTGCCCATCAGGCGGTGGTTAGAGCGAATCAGCTTCCCCGCACAGCTGTCCACACAGCGCTCCTGGACATACAAAAGGAATCAAAGTCAGAATGTGGACTACAGCTGTGTGTGTTTTTTTTTTTTTTTTTTTTTTTGCTCATGAACACCCATTTGTCAAACAATGTCATCAGGCCTTGTAAATAAAATAAACCCCAACAGTCTGATATCCTGTTTCATGTACAGATGTGCTCACCAGAGCAGAAACATCTGGATGTTTTGACACATGACGCTGTACACGATCAACAATATTAATGTTTCCACTATAGGCTAAAGGGGTAGCAGTGGGTGTTCCCGTAAACTACCGGATAAACGCGCACTTCAATTGTAGGTGCGGCTCACTTGACCCACCTCGTCCATCGTGAGGTTTCTGTAATTGAAGTTACTTGAGCATCGTTGGAAGCAGATTTCAGTCATGCGGTTGTAAACCAGCAGGAAGTCCCTCAGCTGCAAAACAAACACTCATTAGCCACCATCCAAACACATTAGCAAACAATGTTAGTGTCTCTACTCACGTTTCTGAGCTGTTGGTCGGGATCCATCTCCAACGGAAGCGGACCACTGCTAGATTTTACTAAATAATCAACTCTCTAGAGTCAAATACGAAAGAAACATACAATGAGCTTCAAAGTCTCAAAATAGATTAACGAAAAGACGATGCAACCCAAACGAAGAAGCTAGCATGACATTCACAGGCGCGCGGCCATGTTGACAACGAAGATCGTCTCTGCAAAAGTGTTGATTCACTACGCGTTTGTTATCCTGAAAAACGAGGCTCATCCGGTTTTCAAAACCTTTCAATATCCTTTTACTATAGAAACATTTAAGTGTAATTATATTAAAACAACAAACTCTAAAACCTTCTGATCTGAATTAACGTTTTTTGTCTTTCTTTCTTTTTTTTTTTACCAAAGAAAGCAGCTTTTCCAGAAATAATTAGATCATGTTCACATTTTTAAAGATGTTATTTTTGAATTTATAAGAAAATAAATAAACAACGAAATAAACACCTCCGCATTATGAACTGGCTAAGAGGAACTCAAACGTGTCCAGTTTATTGAGTTTAAAAAGCAAGTCACCCCCAAATCAACTTTATTTTTCTGATAAATCATATAAATGCATGTCAAATCGTGCTCCAGACACGCATAGTCAATAGTTTAGTACTTTAGTGCATTTTAGTTAAAATTTTAATTTTCTGCCTAAAACTGTCACTGTTGTGCCGTTGTCAGGTAAAAACTCTGCACTGCTGTTAAATTTAAACCTGCCATCGCTATTGGCTAAGAGGTACCCTAGAACGTTAGCTGGTACGATATGATGTCACATTGTTGTTGTGAGCCTGTGTGTGTATTTGCTAATGGATCCGCCCTCTCGGTCTGCTAGGCAACAGCATTTGTTGCATTTTTCAAACAGGAAGTGGGAGTGGAGTAATACTCTGGTAGGGGGTGACTTGCTTTTTAATTCACTTTAAAAAGTTAAATGACCAATATTTGTATAGGGTTCTCGAACCGCCTAAGGCACTTCACAGCACAATCAATCATCCACCCAGCACACACACATTCACACACTGGTGACAATAAGCTAAATTGAAGTCAAAGCTGCCCTGGCAGAAGCAGAGCTAGCAAACACAGGCGCCACTGGTCCCTCCGACTACCTCCAGCAGGCAAGGTAGTTTAAGTTTCTTGCCCAAACACCCAACAGAAGCATTTTCTGCCAAGAGCCGGGATCGATCCTACTGCTCTACGATTACGGGACAAACCACTCTACTTCTTGAGCTACTGCTGCCCAATTTAGCCCCAGGTTCTGATTGATAAATGGTCTGTATTTGTCAAGGGGCAATCTCCGGCTGCCAATAGAATAATAATAATAATAATTTGCACCTCAGTGGGGAAATTGCATTATTGCAACAGCTTAAGGACAGAGGATAGCAGCAGTAGCTTACAAAATAAATCACACAAGAGTTTAATTGTATATTAAGATAATCATGATAATTATTGCACATAATAACAATAGTAGTAGTAATATTGCACATGTGGGTGATGATATTTGTAGTGGAATGTTACAGATGTATGGGTTCCATATTAGCAGTGACCATTATTGTTGGGTATTTTTATAATTGTACCTTTTTGAGGTCTAAAAGATGCCCATTTTGTGTTATTAACACCATGAATCTCTGTGTTTGCCAACTGTGGCTGTTCATGAAAAGTTGAGCAGAGAAGCTCGTTGCAGTCAAGGATGTTGATTCCAGCTGAAACCTTTGTAACTCTGTAACCTGAGAAGTCCCGCCTTCTCCATCCTTTGTTAATAAAACCCCTGGCAAACTGAGCAGAATGGGAGTTACGTGGGGTGAGCCTCGGAGGAGGTTCCTCTGCGTTAACTCTCCATTATTTTGGGGACTCAGGGTAAAATGTCTCCCTTGTTGTCATGTGTGTTATTTCAGGTTCCAGGGTTATTACCCCACATTTAATTACCTAACATTTTGGTGGAGAATGCGGGCACGCAGAGCTGGTGAGCTGAAGGTTTTCCCCAGGAGCAGAGGGGGCCTGGTTAGCTCCATGGAGGGGGTTTCTGCGCCCAGCTCTCACATGACGATTCATGGACATTATGAATAATCTACTCTCTCTGTGTGTGTCGTCCTTTAAGGTAATATGGGATAAAATTAATTACCTATCAATTATAGAGTCTAAAATGAGTCAAAAGTGAAGACAATGCGGAAGTGACAAAAATTGCCATTCCCCACCCATCCACTAGGGGCTGGATCCAGATAGGAGCAAGTTCCCATTGACTCCCATGTTAAAATACCAACTTCACAGCAGAAATAAACATGTTCGCAGCTTGGTTAAAAAAACATTTTAGGTTTAAGAGTTCAAGTTTATCGCCATGACAACTCTGATGGTTGTGAAAGTTTTTGTAACTCATTTGTAGTTAAAGCTTGAAATTATGAATTATTAAGGGAGTGTCCTTTTGATTGACAGGTTGCAGTCCACCCAGGCGCCGAGCAAGTTAAAATTATTACAGCCTAAAAGGCAGAGGGTAGCAGGTGCTACCCTACCAATCTCTGGCACCCAAAAAAAAAATGTGTCTCAAAATTACACAAGTATTTTTTATACATTAGTGTCTTGATAACTGATTGTGAGATACCATCTCGTATTTATGACAGTTATTGTTAGTGTATTTCACATTTTTGAGGCTGTTAGTTTGCCGTGAGTGGCTAAGTTTTGACCTAGCTTCTCATTATAATAATGTTTGTGAGGGTGTATCAAGCAAGGCAGCGTTTCATAACTATGCAATGCAATACCTCATACATTATGAGGTATGTCATAATTACAAGGCTGTATTGAAGAATTATTGAACAATTTTGCATAGATTTGAGTTTGTATCCTAGAATTTCATAACAGAGAATATAAAGTCCCATTAGTCATCATCAAACACTGGTGACATTCATCTCCGCATTTGACCCATCCCTGTGGGGAGTGGTGAGCTGCAGCTGTGGCTGCGTTCGGGATCTATTTGGTGGTTTAACCCTCCAATCCAACCCCTTAAAGCTGAGGGAGGCATTGAGTCCCACAGTGGTATGACCCGGCCAGTTTTGAGCCCCGATCTCTCAGTTCCAGGGCGGACAGTCTACCACTAGGCCACTGAGCTGGTCCAGATATGGAATGAGTTTCATAATTAGGATATTATGAGAAATGGGCATTATTGGATAGTGACTATTAATTATGAGGCAATATCTTATGATTAAATGGCAAAAAATAAATCATCATAAGATGACCAAATCATTATAACAAGATATAAGATGAGTTATTATGGCATGAGATACCATTTCTAACATTTTGAGTAATTATGGCTTAATATCTGATCAGTATTTTTAATGAATTGGGTGCAATTTTACTGGATGATAATTTCTAACACCCAAACTCAATCTCAAGATTGTGTCGGATCCACTACAGGAGCTGCACAAATGAAAGTGTACTTGCATGCAATCTGGATACATTACGGAACCAAAATTGTTGTTTTCTTGTCCAGCTGGAGTATTTTATTATAAGTTGTTCACCCCCCCACCCCCCACCCCCAATTTATTACTGCTTGCTATTATAAAATGCCCTCAAAGGGGTTTAAAATGCAACAAAATAATAGCACCTGTTATTTCAAGGTATAAAAACGTCCCTAGGGTCCTATAAACTGGCTTTAGTTGCACTTCTTCACATCATCGGTCTGGCTGTATAAAATAAGTGGCTGCAAACGTATTTCACAAATATTAGGCCTCCAATAGTTCTGCATATTAAAAATGCCGTTGATTCTTTTTAATATCAGCCATTTTTGAAAGTCACACAGATTTTCCTTTTTTGAGCAGTTCTTTTCAATTAAATGATCATTTAGGGGATAAATGCTTTGAAGAAGAAAACAGTACATTTGATTTTTCTGTGTTAAACATCTTTCTTGTCTAACCAGCTCTTTCACTGTAATGAGGTTGTGTTGATGCTCCAGTTCCTTACATTCAAACAGAAAAATCTTTCATGTCTGTCAGCGTAACAGTCACTTTTGAGTATTACCTTGCTAATGCACACTTTGCTTTATATATAAAAAAAGACATCAGACAATATTATTTTTACCTTTCATGATGCCATCACCTGTCACTGCAATAAAACTCACTAAGTTTGAGCAATGAAGCCAGAGATGAATGCTGCAACTCAAGTCGTCTAGTGAGCAAGGCTACAATCAAAGGCCTTGAAGGAATACGTGCCACTCATATTCTGCAATCTTATCATAGGCTCTGCCTTTCTCTTTCTGCTAAATCAGATTTTAGTCCATTGTCTTTAAAACTGAGCAGTAGCCATTTTTGTATTTGTTAATGCTGATTAGCAGCGGACAACTTGAATAAGATCTGCAGCACAATTATAATCTCAGGGGCGTGTCTAGGGAGTGGCCCTGGGCAGCCCATGGCACCCTTGGAATCTTATTGGCCACCCCAGGAGCCACCCTCACTGAGTTCCATTTAAATTCTCTTTACTTAGTCCGTGGCAGCACGCATCTCTAACATTGGTTTCTATCCCCCACCTCACCCCCCACCCCTAAAAAATAGCATAACTATGCATACAAGTGCCCCACCTGGACAACCCATTTTAGAGGTGACACACACACACACACACACACACACACACACACACACACACACACACACACACACACACACACACACACACACACACACACACACACAACCACTAGCTGTTCAGGTGCTATGGCTGTCATTGCAGGAATGAGCACAGTGTTGGATAACTCGTCTCTTTTTGTGTCTCCTCTGTCTGTGCTGACGGGGCTGAATGTCCTGTGCGTCTCACGGCAGTGAGGCACCTTTGGCGCAAAATGCAGACCTTCATGGAGTGCATGTCAGACGTATCGGGAGTGGCTGCGCTGGGCACGGACTGTGGATGGCTGATGTTGGAGGGACACATATTTTTTTTAGAACTCGGAGATTTCGACTAAATAACCCGAAAAACTTCCAGTGCTCACCGCATAGAAAAAAGTGGTTTTTAAAAAAGGTATGCCGAGAGGTCAGAGAGTTTGAAGTGGCGGTGCATGTTGCTGCAAAACGAACCCACTTAAAGCACAGCTTTCAGTCCATATATTCAGACTTTCAATCCATATATTCAGACTTTCAGTCCATATATTCAGACTCCGGTCCATATTGTAATATAAGTTTCAGTGGGAGCATGGGCAGAATATCTTGCCCTCCAGCCAGAACCCGAAAAAAGCACCAGTAGGCAACAACTTATCCAAAAAGAGCCTTTATTTACACCGGCAATAATAAAACAATCACAATCAACAATAAAACACTAGTCCTTCACACTAAAAGCCAGCTGTCCAGCATAAATAAAAGCAAGTAGCAGTACTTAGCTGTCCCAGTTGATGCGACCCCCTCCCCGGGGTCTGAGCTTCCGACACCGTCCAACGCCCCGGGGCTCAGCTTGCGAGGACGGCAGGTAAATTCACAACTTAGGTCTGGCTGCCAGAGTCTGTGGCGGCAGATGTCAGCGTGGTCTCGGCACCCAACTACTCCCAGCCCTTGCTACCTAAAGAAGGAATCAGGCCTTCCCTCTTATCGCTGGAACACTGCCACCTGCTCAACTATCTTCATCGCCGGCAGTCCTAAACGACTGCGAACGATCCCACCCCCCAGGATCTGGTGCCACAATGACAGGTCGACCACACACACCACCTTGGTAGATCTGCCACCCATTTGTTCTCTCCAGCCTCATTACGCGTAACAAGGACCAGCCGGCGTCCAATCACCCCGCCCTCAGAATCTGGCAACTCCCGTCTTCTGTCTTTCACACTCTCCCCCTTCTTGCCCTGAAGGACTCGCCCTCGAGTCCTAAACATCCACACAATAATCCTTGAACCAAGCGGGGGGCCTCCTCTGATGAACCACACATTGTTCCACAGCTCCATATCCCTCGACTTTCCCAGGGATACATCCTCTCGATCCTCCTGTAGCAGTACCCCCTCAAGCAGCCTCTCCACATGATGGGGCAGGGTCACTTGAGTCACTGGAACCACTTGTCTCTGCCGACCATTGATCAGTCCTGCTGGTGTCCTCCCAGGTGGCATCCGGTTGATGAACCACGCATTTTTCGGCAGCCCCATGTCCCTTGACCTCCCCCAGGAGACGTCCTTCCGATCCTCCTGCAGCAGCACCCCCTCGAGATGCCTCTCCACACAATGGGGCCGGGTCACTTGCATCACCGGAACCGCTCATCTCTGCAGGCCGTTGATGAACCCTGCTGGTGTCTTCCTAGCTGGAATTCTGTTGACGCAGCCTCTGCCCCGCTCTCTCTCGGGATTCCACAGCCATCGGTGCTGCAACTGTTGGAAGAGAAGTGCATGGCTTAAGTCGGTTGAAGTGAATCACACTCTCAGGACCCCTCTCAACGGGTACCAGTCTGTACAGCACATCTGTCACCCGCTCGAGAACCCTAAACGGTCCTTTATATCGTCTCCAAAGCTTGGGACCCCCCACACCCCCACACCCCCCGCCTCCTCAGCTTATTTCAGACCCACACCAATTCACTCTCCGAGTAGAACTGGCAGGTGGCCCTAAAATCATATGCCCTCTTTTGTTGCGCCGAGGCTCTGCACTGATGGCGTTTCACCACCTCCACCACCATAGTCAATGTTTCCTGCAGTCCCGTCACATACTTGTCCACCGAGGCAAAGGGTTCACTCTTATCCAGATTCAACATGACATCAACAGGCAGCACCATCTCTCACCAATACAGAACCTCATAGGGTGTGACAGATGTGCTGGTGTGAATGCTACTTCTGTAGGCTAAAATTACATATGGCAGCAAGGAATTCCAGTTAAGCTGATTGTCCTTCACAAAAACAGCTAACATAGTCAGCAACATCCGATTAAACCTCTTCACTAATCCGTCTGACTAGGGATGATAGGGGGTTGTCCTTGTTTTATGCATCTGCAAGAGTCCACATAGCTCTCGAAATAGTTTTGACTCAAAGTTCCTCCCGTGGTCAGAATGGAGGCTCCGTGGTACCCCAAACCGACACACCTATTCCTCGGTCAGCACCCTCGCGATCGTTTTAGCCTCCTGATTAGGGAGTGGGAAGGCTTCCGTCCATTTAGAGAAGTATTTCTCAGTCCGGTCTCAGGAAGTGGACCCAAAATATCCACTGCAATGCGTTCAAAGGGCCTAGAGGTCAGTGACTGGTCCAAAGGTGCACGCAGTGTTCCTCCATGCATTTTAACCGAGCCACAGTCAGCACACTCACAAACCCAAGCCCTTACATCCTTAAACCTCTCGGGCCAATAAAAACAGTCTTTCACCTTGCCTTGCAGCTTTTGGACCCTCAGATGGCCTCCGGTGGGGACATTACGTAACTGTTTCAGGACCTCTGGCACCAAAGCCTGGGGCAAAACAACCTGGATCACCTGCGCATCATCAGAATTTGCCGGTGCTACACGCACCAACTGGGAACCCTATATTTCGAGTTGGTCCCACACAGGTGCAAACTGTTTTAATTCCAGGTCATCAGGGCCTACAAGCTCTACACCCTGTTTGGTATCCCTGATCCGCTTCAGCATCAGATCATCCAGCTGTGCCTGGCTGAGTTCATCCATCTCTAAAACCCGGCTAGACCCTGATCCTCCCTCTTGTAGGGAGCACACCCTCAACTCAGCTTCCAAGGGCTGTGTTCCCTCGCTGGATGATAAGTTCTTTGGTCTCCAACTTGGCAGTCTGGAAAGGGCATCTGCATTACTATGCAGTTTACCTGGCCGATGAATGATTTTATGATGGAAATTGGCCATCTGTTCCACCCATCTAGCCAGCTGTCCCTCCAAACCCTGGAAATTGTGCAGCCATTGTCTATGTCTATAATAAGACACCAAGCCCAAAAAGCTCTGGACCTCTGTCTGATTAGTTGGGATGGGCCACTCTCTTACTGCCTCTATTTTAGCTAGATCTGGCATAACGCCTTCGGCGTAAATCACATGACCTATATAATGGACCTGTGTGGAAAAAAGGTCACATTTAGAAGGCTTTACTTTTAGATTAGCCTGCCTCAACTTCTCCAAGACCGTGCCCAGGCGCGCTAAATGCTCCTGAAAATCACGCCTGAACACGATAATGTCATCCAGGTAAACCAAACAAACAGTCCACTGCAGATCAGCCAAAATCAAGTCCATCAGGTGCTGAAATGTACCTGGGGCATTACACAACCCAAAACTTAGCACGTTAAACTCAAACAGTCCCTGGCGAGTGATAAAAGAAGTCTTATGCCGGTCTCTAGGGTCTACTTACACCTGCCAATAACCACTAGCCAAGTCCAAAGTTGAAAACCATTGTGCATGCACCAGACTATCCAAAGCATCATCGATTCGAGGAAGAGGATAAGCTTCTTTTCTAGTGACATCATTAAGTTTCCCGAATATATATATATATATATATATATATACGGTATATATATATATATATATATATATATATATATATATATATATATATATATATATATATACGGTATATATATATATACGGTATATATATATATATATATATATATATATATATACCGTATATAAACTTTCTTCTTGTATTTTCAATGAGCAGTTTCTGACATTTTTATTGGGATTTACAAAGTGGTTCAGGAGATATTCTGCAAACAAATGCACAGATGTTGGAAGTGTGCTATGGAGATGAACTCTAACCATAACATGAAATATTTTTTTTATGAAATACAACCTCGGCTGTTCACCTCAGAAGTGTCACTTAATGTAACATGTAAAGGTAAATAAAAACATTTATCTGTTGTTCTGAAAGAAAAAAAGAGACACATGTTCAACATATGTTGAAGGAAAAACACAATGAACATTATAGTGTTATCTTTAGTGTACTGGAGCTAAGTGATTAGCATAGCATTCAATCTTATGCTACATCGAATGACTGTTTTAGCGTGTTATAGCATTAGAAAGGATGTGCTAGCTTAGCGAGTGTCGGATTCCTGCCGGGTTTAGATGTTTCCCTGCTTGAACACTGCAGATTTGATTAAAATGATTGATCAGCAGCTCCTGCAGAACCCGATAAAGGCTGATGAGATCATTCAGAACTTAGAATCAGGTGTATCTGAGCAGGAACATAATAAAAACATGCAGCCACAGCGGCTCCCAATTAGCACTATGAGGATATATGTGTGCATGTGCGTGGCATGAGGAGTTGCTTTCAGCTCCTTCCACGAGGTGAGGGGGAGCAGAGGCGGGATCTATAGCCAGTCAAATTTCTAAATCTCCTCCTATCCTTGATTACGCCACTCTACAGATTTAAAGCCTAAATGAACAAACACCGTGCTGTTGTGGTGAAGAGGGAGCAAGGTCAGAAACCATAGCTCTCAATTTACTGGGAGCTCTTCATTCCTGTCCCCTCCTGTGATCATGAGCTCTGGGTAATTCCCAAAAGGACACAATTATGAATACTATCAGCTGGAATCAGTTTCCTCCATCAGGCGGCTAGGTTCAACCTTGGAAATAGGGTGAAGATCTCTTAAAATCAGGAGAAACTCAAAGTAGAGCTCCTGCTCCTCCACATCTGTTAGTTTGAGTGTTTGTTTAAAATGTTCACTAGACGCCACCCAGGGGAGGTGTTTCAGTCATGTCCTGCTGGCTCAAGGCCAGATTTGTTGGAGGATATACATCCCCACATATGCAAGGGAACACCTGAGGATCTTGCCAGTGGTGGAAGTTGCCGGAGAAAGGGCGGTTTGGACCTCTCTGTTGGAGCTGCCATCCTCGTGACTCAGATATGCAGGTGAAAACAAACAGACTGACACATAACAGCTAAATAATTCATTTTATTTAATTATGTAACAATATAATAACATTACAATCATAAAATATCCCTCACCCCCAGTTCCTCCAGCAGAGAGCAGTAAACATGAACAAAACTGGAGATGACTGGTTTATGATGAAGGTACTAATACTGATACTCAACCTGGAAGCTTTAAGGGGTCAAAGCTTGGAAAACATGTTGGGAATGACATGCACACACACACACGCACACATAAGTTACAGAAAGCTGCTAATGAGTCACTGTTTTGAACCTTTAATTTTTTCCCTGAGTGTGTGATGGGACTTTTTTTTCTTGTGAGGGAATTTTTTTTTTTACCTCTCTCTATACAATACCAACATCACATCCAAAATGTTTCGAGCCAAAATTCCATCCATAAAAGGGGAAGTAGGTCATTGTCAGCTTTTGGAAACCTGTCAACAAACAGCCCGCTGAAGGCTGCTGAGTTAACATCAGAGCCCGGTTCTGTCAGCAGACATCTGGGCAGTAAATTATCCCGCAGATTACAAAGACGAGAATGTTCATTTAAACAGACGGAGTGTTAGCTCATAGATTATAAACATAATGACCTCGATTATAACTTTGACGTGAATTATTTCAACAATTCAGAACAATGTGACAGCCTTTCCCACAGGGAGGAATTGAAATAGTGCTTACGTTTAATTTAGACTCAGCTTTTAAATTGTTGTGTTTTTTTTACGTTCTGTATTATTATTTGTTTTATTATAATCCTTTGTCTTCACAGGGTTCAGAAACAGATTTACAAGTGCAGGGGAAAGTGGAGGTATTCTGACAACTAACGCCTACTAGACTCTAAAGAACAGAAGCAGTCTCTTTTTCCTTTGCACCTTTTCATGAGACATCTGCTGTTGGATGATTATGAGACATCAAAAGAGTCAAGGTTCCTCCATGACCTCTGGTGACTTGATGCTTTCCCTGTTTCAAAAGAATTCTTTAAACATTTCTACGTGGCTCTTGAGCTCTAAATGTCACACACATGCACACACACACATACACACACACACACACGCATAGTTTCCTTTATTGATTTCCACACACTTTTCTTGCCACCTCTTCTCTGCAAGGAACAACGGCATGTTTCTGTTGCTCAATATTTAGTCTTTGAAAAAACACTTTGCATCAAAAAGGAAATTGCGCAACGCTGCAAAGCTAAACCTGAATATAAATTAAGAATATTTATAAATTTCATCACACAACCTTTCTATCGCTCCCCTAAAAGGATTAAATTACAACGTGCTTGCTGACATCATAGCAAATTCCTTCGCTGAGAGGACAGTAATTGTATTCGTCGTCGTCACTTTCCCTCTCCCAGAAATTTCCTGGAACTTCAACATTGGAAACACGGCTGTAATCTCCACACCGAAAATGTTCAGTTAACTACTTTCTTCAAATACATGACGTCCAAAAACCGTCCTCCAAACACACTTTAAAAAATCTGCAACTATTCAAATATTTTACATTTTTATTCGGCATCAGCCGAGGTTTCTGCCTCTATGTGCAGCACACACGCATTCCCATCACTGCCATCATCTTTCCTCTCCTCACTGTGTTGCCCTTCCTCCCACCTCCTGCCTTCATCATCATCACACTGGTTTATGCCTTCCCATCCTAAAATATCCATCCCCATGTTCATGGTCCTCTCCCGTTCTAGTTCCACAGCTTCCTGTGCAATCTGCTGGCTGTTCAGATAGATGCTGTTGTATGAAATCATGGTGCTGATGTCTCTGGGAGGAAGATGAGCGTCCACGTCTGCGTCTAACTCCAGAAAAGAATTCACCGGAGGTGTGCCGTGGTCCGGCTTCTGGTCCTGGTGCTTGTTCCGTCCTTGTGCCTGGCCTTGCGTGTGACGATGCTTCTTGCGTTTCTTTGCCATCTTGAGATTGAGTGAGGCGTAATTCAAGTCAGACTCTGAAGGCTGGAAAAATAAATGAAAATATTAAAAAAATTATTTAAATCTAAACTGTTTTAGACTTAAGTTCCATTTTTAGAATACGTGCTTACTTCTTTATAGTTTATTTTTAGAACACTTTGTCTCATTGGTTTTTGTTGGTTTGTAGTTTCATTGACCACAATGTCTGGGTTAGCTGTTCTGCTGCCTTCCGTTTTGCAAGCATCTTGTAGCGCGGACTGAACTGATTGTGCATATTTGCACACAATGTCCCATGCATTTACAACAATTGGATATTTTTTTTACTTTATTCACCAAATACGGTAAAATGACAAGTATGAATTAGAATGAAGCACTCTGCACATCATCTGCTCATAAATTGGTGTTCTACAGCTGATGGTCTTACAAAGCAGGAGGGCTTTGTCAGAATTCTGATGAATACACGTCTGGTGTGTTTGCATCAAATAAAAAGTTTTACTCACCTGAGTGCTACAGCCATCCAGCTTGATAAAGTGACTTGCACGTAAGTGGCATAGTTTAAGCATGCGGTCGTGTGAAGTGGTGATGTAAAGAGCATTCGGGGTAAAAACAGATAAATAAATAACTGTATTATCAGTTTGAGGTTTAGGATGTTTTTGCACCATCACATTCAGATGCCAGCAAAAATATGTTCTACACTACAGAAATTTAGAATTGAATCTTATCCAGTTTAGTATCTGTTTTTATTTTAAATTTGGGACAATGAGTGCTATGATGCAAAGCAAATCAATAATAGATAGTGTTTTTATTCAAATTAATCTTTATTTTCTTGTCTTTTTTTGTTTTGAGGTGTTAGTTTTTTTTCCCCAAGATCAGCTATAAAACAAAGGGACTATAACATAAATGGCTTTTATGTGATTACATTCCATCAATCAGAACTTCCCAGGATTAAACACCCTTTTAAAACCATCCTGTTCGTGGATGGATGACAGAAAGCACACCGACCGCTGATCGACAGAGGAATCAAGTCCAGGAGCGACAACATGACGAAGCAAATAACCTAAAAAATAACCTAAGTAAGCAGTAAAAAGCAGAATAATCTAGTGTGTTAGAAACACTAACCCTGTTCACCTTGTCTACAAATGTCAATCAGCATCATGAAATGTACTGTTGGGCACCCAGATCTATAGCAGTGGAAAATGTGGCTTTTATATCTCAATCTTGCTAATTTAAACAGCAAACCTATTATTTTATGGTTTTAAGATCTTTGTAAGATTTTTGAGAGCTAAATTAATTTTACAAGGATCCACTAAGTCTGATATCTTCCAAGAATATACACACGTTTAGCTAATGAAAAACATTTGTACATATATGGAGAAAGTTTAATGGATAAATGTCAAATGTTGCACCACATTTACCTTCGTACTCTCTCTCGTACGTTGTAAGGTCATCATCTCGTAGCAATCCTCTGCAGAACCTACAGGAAAGACATTTGTCATATCAATGAATTAGGTGACTACAAACCAAACGAGTCATGAGACAGCGGTGAAATAAAACTATGACACAAAAAACTCTGGTTTTATAAATATTTGTCTTAAAGTGCAACCACATCAGGACTGAATCAAGCCCACGTGTCTCAGATATATTTGGAATTTTTTTGAAAACATTTCACAGTTAGTGCAACAACAAAAAATGCAAAAAGTAATTACATTTATACAAAACTATGTATTTTTTAATTTAAGGTTGAGTTGCACTTTCTCTCTTTTGCAGATTATTTTTTGAAATTTGTTTTTCAAGCCAGTGATAGAAAACACATCTGCTCTAACCTCGCCGATCTGTGTTGATGTTGCCATAGATTGGATTTTCTTGTCGTTCGTGATGATTACGGGGAGATTCCTGCTCCTCTCGATGATTAACGTCAGAGTCGTATTGTCTCTGTACCTGTGATAGACTGCAGAGGTGTGAAAACAACAGCTTACGCTTTAAAATTCCTAATTTTCCACAGAGAAGTTTAAACCACTTTTGATGAAGCACAGACAAATCAAACATACAAATCTCTTTCCGAGGCGTTTGTGTGGCAGCAGGTGTCTGTAAAGATGAAAAGCAACATTATGATGGTTAATGATGATGCTGATTCAATGTCTCAAAAATGATTGTACATAATAATGCAACAATACTTGGAAAAGACAGCCTTGTATTTACTTTTGCAGAAAGTGCTGCGTTGTCGAAGGAAGAAGATGACATTCAGGCACACAGAGATAAGCAAGGCCAGGGACAGCAGGACAAGAGGTACTGTGGCTAAAAAAACAAAAAGAATATGGATATTAAAGCTTTAAAATCACATACGCAATAAAAGTCTTTATGATGCCGAAAAATTCCACTCTGATGTTTTAATAAGAGCTACAAGAGTGGAAAGCAAACGTTATATCTAATGTGTCAAATAGAGAACAATTATGGGCGATTTGTCCGATTAAATTTTCCAACCACTCTTCACAATCTTAGAATTAAGAACATTTTTGCACACGTTCAGAGATAATAGAGATTTGCTTAGCTCAAAATATATAAAAAGTACCAAACTGCAAGATACATAAAAAAAACTGACTTTTTAACTTAAACCTACAATTTCTTGCAATTGCTTTTTGTCCTGGGTTGTTCTGGGCTTTTGTTTTTGCATTCAAGCACTTTTTTTTTTACATTTTCATTTAAAAATCAAACACAGAAATGCGCTTTTCTTGAGTGAAAGTCTTAAAAAAATGTTCTGATCTTATCTTACCATCTTGGAGGAGCATTTTCCAGTTGTCTTGAACTGAACAGGTCGTCTGACGCAATTATTCTCAGGCTACAGGGCATAACTGTGTTCCATGAGAGAGGTGTGCTGCACTGTAGTCTATTTTTACCCCTGCCTTGCGCTACCTCTTTGCTTTGAGGGTGCTTTGAAAACTGCCTGCTTTTCAGTTACAAACAGGAAGCAGTGTAACCTCATTTTGAGGGAGGGTGTCTCATTGCCACCGAGGGGTACTCCATCATTTCAGACAGATCATTGTGTTTTTGTCTGAAAAGTACAGCATGAACACATTTTAATCAAATTAAGTAGACGAAATCTTTAAAATATGAACTCGGCAGCAATGACGCTAAGGCGAAGCCATATTTGTCAAATAAAAAGAAATCTGATTGAATTTAAACAAGATATTTGATGTAACAATAAAGCTAAGCATTAGACTGTATGTAAACTAAAGTATTGATAGATTTAAAGCCAATTTGTTCAAATCTTCTCAATAACATTCATGCAGGATCATTTAGTATGCTGGAGGGAGCTCTCAGCTACTATGACACCAAACTTGAGCTTAATATCTGAAAATTCTATCGAGTCAAATCAAGAAACCAGGACAAACTGTTGCTGTAGCTAAAGATTTATCTCTGCCGCTGGCTCAGCTAAGTCTACGCCGATCACAATCGGAGCGCTCCATGTTTTTAGTGGGACATTTGGCTGGCTTAGCACCAATACAGCAGAGCTGTGGTGGAGGAAAACAGCAAAGATGGCAGCGGCTCAGGAAACAGCTTTGGCTTTGCCCCGCAGACTGATTTCTGTAGCATAGATTACATCACATTGTTTGCTCCGGTAGCAGCAAACTTCAGGAGTATGGGGTACCAGGCCCTCTGATACGGGCTGTTAGGTCCCTGCATGACCGGTGTCAGAGTTTGGTCCGCATTGCCGGCAGTAAGCCGGGCCTGTTTCCAGTGAGAGCTGGACTCCTTTTGTCACCGATTCTGTTTGTAACTTTTATGGACAGGATTTCTAGGCTCAGCCAAGCTGTTGAGGTGATCCATTTTTGAAGATCGGGTCTCTGCTTTTTGCAGATAATGTGGTCCAGTTGGCTTCATCAGAACGTGATCTCCGTTTTCTGTTGGAGCGGTTCGCAGCCAAGTGTGAAGCAGCTGGGATGAGAACCAGCTCCTCTAAATCCGAGGTCATGGTCTTGGGTCATAAAAGGGTTGAATGCCTTCTCCGGGTCAGGGATGAGGTCCTGCCCCAAGTGAAGGACTTTAAGTATCTCAGGGTCTTGTTCACGAGTGAGGGAAAGCTGGAGCGTGAGATCGATAGGTGGATTGGGCCGGGCATGTGGTTAGGGTGCTTCCTGGACACCTCCCTGGTGAGGTTTTTCAGGCACGTCCAACTGGTAGGAAGCCTAAAAGAAGAACCTTACAACAACTCATGATTTAATTCAATTCAAATTCTCAGGATTCTTTGAATTTATTTAATTTAACTGTGCTGTTATGTTATTTTAATGTTTGTGCTATTCTCACTAATTGAAAGTACACTGAATTGACTCTGTGTACGAAATGTGCATCACAAAAAAGCTGCCCTGCCTTGCTGACTTGTTTATTCAGACGTAAGCACGTTTTTGTCCACAGCACTTTTAAAATTTACTTAGAAGGATGCATGCCAGACTACTATTTTTGTGTTTTCTTATCTTGATTAACTGTGACCGCCATCTTGAATTGGGTTGACCCAATCCCCCATAATTCTGCAGCAAATATGAAGCCAACAAGGAAGTGGCAAGAATTGCAGTTCCACTCTCATCCACTAGGGTCTGGCAGCAGAAGAGAGCACATCCTCATTGACTACCATATTAAAAATGCCCATTTCACAGCAGAAATAAACAAGTTTACAGCAGTGTTCAAAAAAACATTTTAGGTTTAATAGATCTAGTTTATATTAATGACAACTCTGAGGGGAGTGAATTTTTTGTAACTCTTCTGTGCAAGTGGAATTTAATGCTCAAATATCTGAATAATTAATGAGCATCCACATGACTTCAGATCTAGCTCCGAAGAAAGGCCTCGGCCTCACGTTAATAGATGTACGGCCATTTTGACTCTCTGAACTTTAGTTTTGTCTTTGTGTTTGTGTTTGGATGTTAATCAAGGAATTAGTTGGACAAAAGGGCAAGCTGTGGTTACTAACAGACCATCCAGGCAGTTTCTGCTTCTTATTATCAGAAAGTAAAATTATACTTCTGTACTTTATTTTGCTGGTTGAATGGGGGGAAATGCTGTGTCCCAATGTTAGTGGGGCTGTATAAGAAACTTGAGCGGGCGCCCAGCTTCTACTGTCTCCTGCCTGAGAAGAGCAGGCCGTTGGCTGCTCTCGTTTCCCGGCGCAGCCGGGCTGGTTCCCAAGCGAGGCTGTAGTCATGCTGGATCTCTGAGGGAGACCTTAGAAACACCGCAGATCTTTTTGTTGACCCTGCTTCACTTTTGAGGTGCTCAACCACATTTTTTCTCCCTGAAAAACTCAGTTAGCTTCGGGTTAGTATGTAGCTAATGTCCTGCTGATCTCCGGCTCCCGGGGAAGGGACCATGAACAATGGCGGACACGCGGATCCTTCACCGCGGTGGACCAACGAAGCCCGATATCCTCGGTCCGCTCACCTAGTTATGATTTTGTAATTTAACAGTCCCAGTCCATATTAGATCTCCACAGGTGATCAGCATGACTACAGCCTTGCACGGGAGCCTGTCTGCCGTGTGAGTGCAATATCGCGGTCCAAGGAGCTCTTCTTAGCTTCTTGGATTAGCTAAGTTAGATAGTAGCTATACTTGTTCATTTGTTTCAACCCTGTTCCAAACAGAACAGCCCCATCCTTAGCTACACCTCTTTTCTCATTTTTGGATTGTCTGGGCGTGACGGGACCTGTGACACGGTCAAAATGACAGTGGTGGGAACCTCCCATTTGGGCACAAAACTTATAATTCGAGCCTATGGACACGAATGGTCCAGCATATAAGTCGATGGGTTGACCCTAAAGGGTAATCAGTTGTAGATGTACATTCAGTGGTTACTTTGTGGAAGTTTAAATAAAATGTATCCATTGGTTTGTGAGATACATTCTGTATACCTGGTGATGCAGTTGACAGCGCTGTTGATTCACAGCAAGAAGGATGCAGGTTCAAATCCCAGCTATGGCCTTTCTGTGGGGTGTTTGCATGTTCTTCACATGCACGTGTGAGTTTTATCTGGGTACTTCAGATTCATGGCACAGACTAAAAACATGCATGTTGGGTAACTTGCCAGTTGTTTTAGATAAAAGTGTCTGCAAAGCAAAAAAACACATGCACAGGCAAAAACATCATGGCCAAACTCTTAGACAGCTGATTATAAATGAGGCAACTTGCATTTTCTATGATGCTTGTTTTCCCTCAAACAGCCATCAATGTGGCTTGGCCTGTTTTAAACATCACTGAAATCTGTGTGTAGACGAGGTTTCAAATTCTCACCTCAAGTGTACGTCTTGTATTAATACACATGTGGTTTTGCTAGTGTGGTTGGAAAATAAAATGCAGTTGAGCTTTTTGTTTTACAGAACAAATACATAAAAAGGTGTGACAGGAGTTTCCTTTTGAATTGTAGCAATGAAAACATACTGAATGTAACAATGAGACACTGTTACATATATATTTAATTGTGTTTATTGTTGAAGTAAATAAAAACATTGATAAAATTGGTACGCAGCAACAAGGTTTTAAATTAAGTTTATTAAGGTTGAGTATTGTTTTGGTTTGCAGATTCCTTTTACTTTTGGGTATCTGTAAAGGCAAATAGTTCATTGTTGATAAATGGGCAAACAATAGTTTATCTTTTTCTTTTGCATAACATTTACCTTTCCCATGTTGTCTCCGTGCAGTTGTGCGCAGACAAAATCTTCCTTCTTAAGTGAGTGTTTAACGGCGGATGCAAGCTACTTAGCGCATCACCACCACCCTCCTGATTGCATGTGAACAGTCACTACTACTGTTCACATTACAAAATCTTCCCCAGGGGTTTGTGCACATGGTTCTTGGACTGTACCAACACCAAGTGGGTTGTGGAGAACTTGTTTGGCATTGTGTTGTTTTCTGCTTGAATTTGTAGTGATTATTGTGATTGAAGAAGTTCAACTTGTTTGTTCAGTTTATGAATGTATTTGTTAGTTATTTTAAGTAAATAGGTTTTTGTTTTCCCCTTAGAGGTTGTACTGTTTTTCCCCTTTGAATGGGTTCTCCCAATTTAGGTCACCTGTATGAATTGTCCATCTCCCTATTGTTCTTGGTTGGTATGGGTTGGTATCACTGTTGGAAAATAAAATGAAAAGAAGCTTCCACCGATGTCCATCTTTACTTGATATATGCTGCTGTTTGGATCAATACCTTAAATACATACTGACAAGCATGTGACACTGAAACTATTTGGATGTTGATCTAAATTAGACGACAGAACGTCCATTAGAAATCACCATACATGAAAAATGGTAAACATGGAAATTCTCAAGAATAAGACAATCAGTGTTTAAATATTTGATCTTATGTGGTGATGGGTGTGTTATGTGACCATTACACACTCGTGGTTTGTGGTTTTAGCCTCATTTTGTCTCGACAGATGGCACAGTGGTAGCTGCGGACAACAGTGGGCTTTGAAGAATGTAGAAGGAAAAAAAGAAATCAACGATGAACCTATGAATTTTTCCGACACGTTTTCTATGGTTTGCAGCTGCAGATTAAATTCCTAAAAAGACGGTATAATAATTGGAGCAATAAAAAATGTTTTAATGCATTTTGCACAAAACAGATACACCTCAAAGCTCATATTCAGAATGACCAAAACAAACAAAAAACACAAAAGTACTCAATGTAACTACAAACAAAAACTCTTTTTACTCAAGTTTCCATATGAAGACTTATGATCTGATTCTTATGGAAAAACTTGTTTTGAACAGAAACACATTGTGCATCAGTTCCTGTGACTGCAGTTTAAAACGGCCTGCAGATAAAAGCATGAAACCCATGCAGGAAACCACCTTCAGCAAATCCTTGCAAGTGCAAAAACAAAATTCTGAGCAGCTGCATCTACGTATACAACGTTCTGATATCTTTTGGGTCTATTATCGAGTTGCACCTCGATATAGGAAAGGGCTGCATCGAGAACTCGTACTGGCGGGCTGCTGTGTACTTGACTGGAGGTGGGGGAGGTTTGAACGGAGGTGGAAAGTCCATCCTGCAGAGGGAGTGTGAGAGCACAAATATTGATTGTGGCTTTACAGTATAACAGGTCTTGTCCTTTTGTTACAAAACACGAGCAATGTCAATATAGTTTCTATTTCTGTTGGAGAAAGAGGTTGAATGTTGGAAGTTTTACCTCTTCTGTCGGATTTGCCTCATCTTGAGAATGCCGACCACGACAATCACTAACAGCAGCGAAACGATGATTAACGCCAAGAACAGCTGACTCCATCTGGTACCTAAGGAGCACATTGCAGAAAGGAAGGGAAAGCAGGTTTTTTTTGAGGACCATAAGAACCACAGATAAATTCCTAACATATTGATTGTTTTGCTTCCAGGGTCCACAAAATGTTCTCAATAAATGCGGTGCCACAAAGTAAAACTTTTTGCCTGAAGGCCTGAAAAAGCCTTCCGTGTGATCCCCTCCCTTGGCTGGCTGTGCACTAACTTTAAGTGCTTCCTCTAATGAGTTTTCCACCTGACAAGGCATCTAGCCCCGGGCTGAGAAGACTGGAGTCTGCAAAGGTCCCACGTGTGGTGAAGATGCAGATTGTTGAAAGCCAATGAACTGTTTCTAATACTCACCAGTGGCGTTTCCAGAGTTTGGCTTTTGAGCATGTGGTTCAGCTGTAATTATGTGCTGCTTTCAAACTGTTTTTATTGCTTATTTTGATTTGATAGTCATGAATAAAGCTATTCACAATGTTAGGAGGCTGAAACATAGAAATAAGGATGCAGGATCTTAGCTGACGAAGAAAAAGGACCTTTTAAATCCTACCCTTGTTCTCGATGTCAGGCTCTGTGATTTTAATGCTCGTAGATGAGGTTGAATTCGGAGGATGTTCAGAGGATTCTTTAATGTTTCCGACGGTGCTTGACTCCTCTGTGCTCTCTGAGAAAACGCCTGCTGGTTCTGGAGTGTGAGGCGTGGCCTCAGTCATCATCTTTTTGTTGGTCATCTCCTGTGTTGATCTGAACTCGGTGGTGTCCTCGTACGATGCAGTGGAGTTGAGTACGTCGGTGGAGTTAGAGTGTGTGTTGGGAGGTGATGGGATGCTGGTTGAGGAGGTCATGTCCTCCTTTGCTGTGACTGGAACATTGCTGAGATTTGGAGGAGTGGTCAAGTTTCCTGGAGTTAGAGGTTTGGTGCTTTGGAACGTTGTACGGTTGCAGTGTGCTGAGTCAGTAAGACTTTTTTCTGGTGTTGTCACGGGATCTGAAAAACAGAAAACAAGGAGGTGGGGAATAATCTTGATAAATTTTAATAGAATGAAAATATTTTTGTTCGGCGGCAGCTGGAGTTGGACACCACCTCCCCACGACCATACAAGCCATGCATTTCCTCACCACACCACTAGGTGGTGAGAGAGTCCACATCCACGTCCAATCAAAATCCAAAGAATGACCTTTTTTTAGGTTGGTAAACGTGTTTTTTTGTTTGTTTTTTAATATATTTCTTTATTTTTCTTAGTTTTTTAAAACTATTTCAGCCAAAAATCTAAGTTTGTTAATAGCAAATCTAAAATAAACCTCCCCCAACGTGTGAAACAGGCTGCTACATTATATATTAAAAAAAAATTCTGTATTCTCAGTCCTCACACGGGGACCAAAAACTCAGCCTTTCTTACTAAAATCTTGATTTTAAAAATCAACTCTTTTGAACTTTTTACCTGCTCATGTTTTTTTTATTAAGAACATTTTTTAAATAGTTTTTGCTGTAGAAATTTTTAAAATATTCCAGTTTGGGCACCTTTATGTGGACTGGAAACTGAGATTTGCAGGAATATCACTAATATTTCATTTCTTTACATTGTACCTTTAATAAATTAATAATTAAAACAATAGCTGTTTTATGCAGAGTAGATCTTCATTCTAGACTGCACATTTTTGCATCTTTTGGAAATGTCAAACTATTCCTTGAATGAACTTTCCATTGGTCATGAATATATGGCGATTATAGTGACCAGAGGAGGAAAAACAAAGAATACCCACAGAGCTGGGACACATCATTAAAATTTGGGCCGAGTTGGCATTTGTGAGCACATGCATAATCAATAGGTGTGAAATCATCCACAAATATTTGACTGTGGAGCCACTGGCGCACATTCCTGAGGCGAAGTTTGGGGCATGACTTGCAAATTTGGTGTCTTTGTGCATTTCTGATGAACTGTTTTCGTTATTATGCAGAGCCTGCTCTGAGCTCATGTGTGGCGAGACATTAAAACAATGTTTAGTTATTTTAGTATAGAACAGGTAAGTTGCAGAGTCATCCATGTCCCTGGAGGCAGCTGTCAGTGTGTTTGCATGTTGCACTTCCAGAGTGTGTCCAACAGACTGTGCTCTCACCCTGTGTCACCACTCCGGGTTGTATGAGGTTAGGTCGCTGCTTTGTCTGTTTGTTCTTGTGGCTTATAAAAAAGGACAGGAAGGAACTAGTGACGCCTGCATGCATTTTTCACACCGTTTTTGAATTCACGACACACCGGATGACAAGTAAGACAGCCAGGGATTATTTTCTCATCTGATCGCTGTCGACTTACAGCTCAGCAGTGACAGAACGATGAGCACTTTGATTTGTTTTACAATAAAAATAATAACAATAAATGGTGAATTCTATTTCAACTGCAGCTTAGATCACATTAATACCACTGAGAAAGTAATCTACAGCAAATAATTGTGGATTTGACTGTTTTTCTTAAAGTTCCGCATTGTTCTGCATTCCTCGGTTGACTCACGCTTGGTGGCGTGTTCCCAGAGCACGGCTGGCAGCTTCAAATCCTTTGAATCTCTCCTTCCTTCCTTTCAGCTAATTAAAAGTTAAAATTGAGTGAGCTGCAGCATAATAGCAAAAAGTTAAAGTATACGTTTTCCAGTCCGGTGTAGTTTATTAAGACATTCAGTTTCTTTGACCTCCTGTTAGATTGTTAATCCATGGGGAGCTGATGAAATTTAGTGTGACAGAAAGAGACAAGTAGCGGCAAAAAAAAAAAGAAAAAAAAAATGCAGGAAGGCTCACCTGTGGTCGCGCTTAGCACAACAATAGTGAAAACTCTATGCAGAGTTTTGCCTCCCGTGTTGACTGTGAGTTTATAGGCCCCTGCATGAGCACCTGTCACCGACCACAGCTTCAGTGATGCGTCGTCTGACACCACGTTCTCATTCTGGGTTCAGAGAAGGTCACGTAGCACGGTACGTTTAAGGTAAAAGACGCATGATTAACAGAACTTAGCTTTTATAAAGTTATTGTCTTACTAGGGAATGTTCCTTTACCTTGGTCCACCTGTACTGAGCATCATTAGATGAAACAGAGCAGTGAATTAATGCATTTTCTCCATAATTGACCTCGATACCACCGTCCACTTCACATGCCAATTTGATTTCCTCTGCAAATAAAACAAAAGTAATCAGAACATTTGACACCACTAAGATGCTGTAAAGGTCCCCTGAAATGCAAAAGAAAAACTAAAGAATCTGTCTTCCTGTGTGAGGATCGTAATCTTTTTAGGCTTAGGAAAAGAAGCATTGTTCTTGTGTCGCTAGGCTGATGAGGAAATTAATTTGCCAAATGTATTTCCCACAAGTCATTTGTGGCACATAAAGCCCAAATTTAGTATTCATGAGATGTTCTCGCTCAGATAGGTTGGAAGAAGCAGCACTCTGATGCAACTAGAAGTAATCTGAGACATATGTGAGACATACATCTAAAAAATAAAATAAAAAAGTTTTAAAGTGCTAAATTGTTTCAGAATGTTTCTTGAAATCTGTTTGAAGGAGTACTTGATGTTTTCTTTACTTAGTAAAAAAGTACAGATATTGGACTAAAAATTCTCGGGTGAAAGTGGAAATCTCCAAGATGTTTTTGACTTCAATAAAAGTATTAAAGTATGTATTTTCCAAATATAATTGAGTAAAAAAGTAAAGGCAATCATTTATTGGTGAAGGTCATGGTAGTCCAAAGGGGTTCAAATGAAGGCAACTGGACTTCTTTGGTTTCTTGAAGACGTTGAGGAGCTTTATACCGTTTATTGCTGTCTATTGTTAGTTTATGAGCAGAAACTACATACAAAGACCCCCCTCCCTATCACACAAGGAGTCGTTGGATCCTATTGTGTTGGAATGGTTGTTTGATTAGATGGAGAAGGGTGTGACCTTGACTGAAACAGTTTTGGAATTGGGTTTAGAGCTGAAGTGTAGGTGCTGGAAAGGTGAAAGCTGAGACCTTCTTTGTCTAATGTCGGTCTTTCCCATTTGACATAGAAAGCTCTTTTACTCCTCCCTTGAACCAACCATCTTCTTTGTCCAGAATGTGTACATTGTCATCTTCAAAAGTGTGTCCCTTGTCTTCAGGTGTAAGTGGACTGCACATTCCTGATCTGAAGAGGTTCCTCGGATTAAAAGTGAAACATCTTCAAGAAACCAAAGAAGTCCAGTTTCCTTCATTTGAACCTAGGATAATCAGCTAAGATTTAAATATGCCTTGTGAGAGTAGGAATGTGTTGTCGGACTGGGTGGGAGGAGGAAAATCATAAGTACTATTGTCTTCGGAAGTGCAGTCTGGCATGGACAAAGAGGTGGGGTGATCAGACAAAATGCAAATTAAAGCACTTTTACTTTAGAAACTTTTTACAAAATTTAGCGGGGTAGAAAGTACAGATTACTGCTTTAGTAAATGTAGGTCTTAAGAAAATTACATAAAGTACATATACAGAAAACAATGTACTTATAAACAGTAATGATATTTGTACTTGTTATATTCGTTAAACTTGAAAAAATTAGAATAAGGTGCAAAAGTTTGTTTGTCAGAAATTCTACTTAAAAGGTGAAACCGATACATGAGATATACCCATCACATGCAAAGGCAGATATTTCAAGCCTTGATTTGTTCTAATTGTGATGATTAGGACTTACAGCTTATGACATTTTTAAATTCAAAATCTCAGACAATTAGAATATTGTGAAAAGGTTTAATAATCCAGACTCAAAGTGTAATTTTACACTAACTCTAATCAGATAATGAATTAAAAACCTGCAAAGGGTTCCTGAGCCTTTAGATGGTCTCTCAGTCTAAGTTGAATTACTGAAATGAATGCCTATTTGCATCATAATCTCATGTTTAGAATTTCACTTTCATGGATCTGCTTACCTTTGACTGTTAGATTGGTTTCTTTTCTAAAGGAGCCCAAAGGAAAACTTGTGATTTCACAAACATAAACACCACTGTCCCATTTGTTGACGTGAAGAAGGAGCAGATGGGACCCCGATAACTTTTTTGCTTCATCCTGCTTAATCTGAATGGTCACATTGGACCAGTGATAATAGTGTCCATGGGCTGAGTTGTACATCCCCAGCTTAGTTTCATCCTTTTTCCATTCCAGACTAACGACATTTAGACCACTAACATTTTTCACCAAACAAGGTAAGGAGACGTTCTGGCCCTCTACTGCTTCCACTGCTTCCTTGTGGATCAACTCAACGTGCTTGAGTCCTGTTGGTTGGAGACAAAAATCTGTCACTCTTTGAAATTCATAATGCACAAAACTGACTTCATGGATCCAGTTCAACAAAAAGCAAACTTTTTTTTTTACCTTGACAAATTGTTAGAACAGAAAGTAAAACACACCGTAAGAACCAACACCGAATTATAGCATGAATGTGCCTTGGATTACCTTGGATAACAGAGGAAAAGAGCAGTAGAGGGAACGCTATTCCCAGCACCTTTCCGGTCATGTTTTGCAAAGTGATTACAGTCAGTCACGCCGAACCCGTCGAGGGATTTCACAAAGTTAAGAACAGTTCGCTACCAGCCGAGGTTAAAGAGTGAATCTGAGGCTGTGAGATGAGAAACAGGATGGCCACACTTTACAGGAAGCCACAAGGAGACAAAGTGACTCACTAAGTCACATATGAGCTGAAAACTTCACGCAAGGTTTTGTTGCAGATAATAATCTCAGTTCCTTGTTGTCACTCGCTCTCTTTGTCAGTCTCAGTATGCAGAGGGACGATTTAGTACAATTCAAGATTGATACCAAGGGAAATTACAACCCAGACAAGACTAAATGATTAATTAACATTGTTGATTTAATAAATGTCTCCCTTCAGACGTCCTCAGGTTGGACAGCAGTGCCTCGTGTTTAAGTGCAAAAGTTTCTCCACTTGTGAATGTTCTCCCTTTTGATGCATCTTTGATTAATGGCTTTTATTTTTTTTACTTTTCTAATTACTGTGGTCACTATGTTTTGTCACAAGAATGCAAATCTTTACTGCATCTGCAAAAACAACCGGTAGATGCAACCTTGTGATAGCATGTTGCATTTGCTGCCTGAACAACCAGCCAACGGGACGGTTTTTGTTGTTTCGACAATAATAAGATCACAACTACAAGAAGATTAGCCTAAAATAACCTTAAAACCTCAACATATCAATTTTATCTTCATTCAGTGGGTGAACTTGGCTGTAATGTGTCTCCCTAAAAAAAGAAGAGAAAGCGATCTGTGCAGCAGACCAGTGGTTTACTTTCCTGGAAGCCCCTACATTAAACAGAAAAAAGCTCAGCCCACATTCAAACTTTCCCATGCTAGAACAAAAGAAACATCTGTAAAATATAAGAAATCTGCCTGCTGGACTTCACTTAAATGACACAACCCATTAAAACTGCTCTTACATGTTACATGTTATAGATGTATGCCGATTACAACAGTTACAGACTATTTTGTGGGGTGATATGTAGCGTCCAGCAATGGTCAGTTTAGGTACAGCCTGACCTTCCACCAACATCTGGTCAGAGAGGAGACACAGCATTGCATGCATTCCCTTTGAACAAGTCTGCCTTCACACAAACTGGGATTCAGACTCCACAAGTCTAAATCATGACATTGGCTTCCTTTCCTCAAGGTCTCAGCTGCAGAAGACAGAAGATCCGGCTTAAATCAGTGCTAATGTCAAGAATGATTTTAATAAATCAATATGAACTCTTTCTATGACTTATAATCTAGATAATCATTGAATATATATTTGCTTACTATTAATGGTGATAATTATAGTATTGTAACGTGATGAAGGAGCTATTCCTCCAAGGTTATTTAATCTTCATCCACAGTTGCCTTTGACACAGCGCCAGAGTGCGTGAAACAGCCTCAAGGTCATGCACATTGCTTATAAACTGTTTACTTTCCAGCAAAAGCAAGACAGAAGATGAACAGACTCTTTTCTTTTATTAAATCAAAGAACTCTATTTTTAATAAAGCTAATCATAATAACTGTTAGTCAACAATACAATGTGATCGATCTGTGAAATCACAATGTTATGATTAATATGTTTCAATAAGTAATATGACTTAATCTAGTTCACTAGACACACTGACACACGTAAGGAAAACAACCGCGTGACACATTGCTGTTGCTGATCCAATCAGAACCTTCCTAGTCTGAAGCGTGGCAGAGTCTCTGTGGTGTTTATAAATCTGCCAGCTTTGATTCGACCAGAATCAAAAACATCCAGATTAATAAAACAGTTCCAACGCCATCTTAAGTTCAGTTCTCAAGATCCCATGAAGTTCACCACATGTTAAGTGAAGTATGGACAGGCCATCTATACTTCTCTTTTTAAGCTGAGAACCATCAAGCTGGGAAAATTTGGTTGTTTTTACCAACCAAGCAACGGTTCCTTTCAGAATAAAAGCTGAACTCACTGACCCAAGGAGGGTCCCCCTTTTGACGCTGTGAACCACCTGTCACTTTTTACCTGGAGACAATCCAAGGACTAGTTTGTCATGCTGTGACGCTGTACCATTGGCTCCAGTACCGAAAGGAAGGTCCGTGGACCTGGCATTCTGGATCCATCGTTGGAGGTCTCACTGAGGGTATGTGGATGCGACAAAATGGTGTCTCATGTGGTTATGACTACGAGTCTCAAACTCTGATCAGTTAGGAGCAAAACTTCATCTCCCACTCAGACTTTGTTTCTCCGGATACGAGGGTTCTGAATGACACTCATTTACACACACACCAACGATCTCACACCTCATTCAACAGAACATCCATCATTAGCAGAGTTAGCCTTGTTTAATTTGTTTAAATTGATTTAGTAATAAATCATTTTAAACGTTTGAAGCTCTCTCTCTCTTCTCTTGTCTCTCAGTTAATACAAGGTGTCATCTAAATCCCTGCTTTAAAAAGTTCCAATCTTCTGATTTAAATAACCCAGTGTCCATAAGATGGATTTCATACTAGATATGAAATTTTAATGTCTTACGGTCCTTAATTAAATGTAAATTACTAATGTTAAAGTATTATGAAATGAAATGCTTCATTAATTGTGCTCATTGAGTGAATGTTGTTGATCCACTAGACTGCAATGTGTTCCCCATGTTTTGACGACAAGGTCCACACACCTGCAAATCCACCATAACAAGTACGGCTAAGTTAAAGTCCCATACACATAGCTAAAACCTTTTACCCAGATCAGGACTACCTGCTATTCACTTCCATTGTTTATGCTCAGCCAAAGCAGACATATTACTGCCAGATCAAGAGAATTACTGCGCTGGTAACAAAAGGTGTTTTTCCTCACTTATCAAACTCTGGGGATTATGGCAATAGACACATTTTCACTTAGGGGTGGAACATCCCTTCATTACTCAACCTTGAACAGAAAATCCAATGAACAAAAACACACAGAACCTACAGAGACACATTTCAAACAAAACAAAAAATTGAAAAAGTAGTCAAGTACTTACACTGTATTGTTTGAAAAGATCCTCCTCCTTCTCTCCAAGATAGACTATGAGGCAGCGAATGGCAATCTCTCTGCGCTTTTCAACTGTGTTGTCCTGATTGATAGAAAAAATAGATAACATGTTAAGCCATGTTAAACAGCATCCCAACTAGGGAGCTCCAGACCCTCCTCTCGTCGGCCACCTCCGCCAGCTCCTCCGGCAGGACCCCAAGGCGTTCCCGGATCAGATTGGAGATATAACCTCTCCAACGTGTCCTGGGTCCTAGAAATTCTGTCCATAAAGGTAATGAACAGAACTGGTGACAAAGGGCAGCCCTGGTGGAGTCCAACCCTCACCCGGAACAGGTCCAACTTACTACCGGCTATGCGGACCAAACTCACGCTCCTCTGGTAAAGGGACTGATTGGCCCTTAACAGAAAGCCACCCACCCCATACTCCTGGAGCGTCCGCCACAGGGAGCCCCTGGGGACACGGTCATAAGCCTTCTCCAAATCCACAAAACACATGTGTTTTATTTATTTATTTTATTATATTGGTTGGGCAAACTCCCATGCCCCCTCCATCACCCTTGCAAGGGTATAGAGCTGGTCCACAGTTCCACGGCCAGGATGAAAACCACAATGCTCCTCCTCAATCTGAGATTCAACTATCGATCAGACCCTCCTCTCCAGTACCTTGGAGTAGACTTTTCCAGGGAGGCTGAGGAGTGTGATCCCCCTATAGTTGGAACACACCCTCAGGTCACCCTTCTTAAAGATGGGGACCACCACTCTGGTCTGCCACTCCACAGGAACTGCCCCCGATGACCACGCGATGTTGCAGAGACGTGCCAACCATGACAGCTCTACAACATCCATAGCCTTGAGATACCCAGGACGAATCTCATCCGTTCCCGGGGCTCTGCCGCTGTGTAGTTGTTTGACTACCTCAGCAACTTCTGCCCCTGAGATTGGACAGTCCATCCCCAGGTCTCCCGACTCTGGTTCCTCCATGGAATGCGCATAGGTGGGATTGAGGAGCTCCTCAAAGTATTCCTTCCACCGTCCGACTATAGCCCCAGTTGACGTCAGCAGCTCCCCATCCCCACTGTAAACAGTGTGAGCGAGTTGCTGCCTTCCTCTCCTGAGGCACCGGACAGTTTGCCAGAACCTCTTTGGAGCCGATCGATAGTCTTTCTCCATGACCTCACCAAACTCCTCCCATGCCCGAGATTTTGCCTCGGCAACTGCCACTGCTGCACCCCGCTTGGCTATCCGGTACCTGTCTGCTGCCTCCGGAGACCCACAGACCAGCCATGCCCTGTAGGCCTCCTTCTTCAGCCTGACGGCTCCCGAACCTCTGGTGTCCACCAGTGGGTACGGGGGTTGCCACCATGACTGGCACTGGCCACCTTGCGACCACAGCTAGCAAAAGCCGCCTCAACAATCGCAGAGTGGAACAAGGCCCACTCGGAGTCAATGTCCCCCACTGCTCTCGGGACGCAGTCAAAGCTCTGCCGGAGGTGGGAGCTGAAGACCGTCTTGACAGGTTCTTCTGCCAGGCGTTCCCAGCAGACCCTCACTATGCTTTTGGGTCTGCCAGGTCTACGCGGCATCTTCCCCTTCCATCTGATCCAACTCACCACCAGGTGATCAGTTGACAGCTCCGCTCCTCTCGTCACTCGGTTGTCCAAAACATATGGCCACAGGCCAGATGATATGACTACAAAGTCTATCATCGACCTGCGACCTAGGCTGCCCTGGTACCAAGTGTACCGATGGGCATCCTTATGTTCGAACATGGTGTTCGTTATGACCAAACTGCGGCTTGCACAGAAGTCCAATAAAGAAACACCACTCGAGTTCAGATCAGGCGGGCCATTCCTCCCAATCACACCCCTCCAGGTCATGCTGTCATTGCCCATGTGAGCATTGAATTCCCCCAGCAGGACAATGGATTCCCCTGATGGAGCACTATGTAGCACTCATCCCAGGGACTCCAAAAATGGTGGGTACTCTGAACTGATATTCGGCCCATTAGCACAAAGAACAGTCAGGACCCGTTCCCCGACCCGAAGGCACAGGGAAGCTACCCTCTCATCCCCCGGGGTAAACCCCAACACACAGGCAGAGAGTCTTGGGGCTAACAAAAAGCCAACCCCATCCCTCCGCCTCTCACCTGGAGCAAAACCAGCAAAGGAGAGTGTCCAACCCCTCTCAAGGACTTGGGTTCCAGAGCCAATGCTATGTGTCGAGGTGAGTCCGACTATATCTAGCCGGTACCGCTCAACCTCTGCCACAAGCTCCTGCTCCTTCCCCGGCAGCGAGGTGACGTTCCATGTCCCAAAAACCAGTTTCGTTGTCTGGGGATCGGACCGCCAAGGCTCCCGCCTCGGTCACAATATTGTAGCGTTGTCAATCTACATAACTAGAATTTAACTCGGTTGCTATTCAGCTTTGTTAAATCATAAGAATGATCAAACGAATTGGCAATGAAAATTATATCATATATATATATATATATATATATATATATATATATATATATATATATATATATATATATATATCCACAGATATTTATATAATCGATAGAAGTTCATACACCAACTGGCTTGGTCTGTATTTAATCAAAAGATTTATATTTAATTTAAGACATTTAATTTATAGCAAAAGTTTATTATTAATTCGGAAGATCTAAAGAGATCTTTGCTTGTTCAAAGACCTGTGTCTTATTCCAAAGAAGAGCCAGGTTTAAAAAGTTAAGAATTTATTAGTAACAATTTAAAGATGACAATTTAAAAGACAATTCATAAATGATAATTTATAAAAGCTTTGGCATTAAAGCTTGGTATTAAAGCAATCTGTGTCTGGATGAAACTAAGCATGAAGTGTGTGTGTTTGAATGTGTGAATGTAGGTCTCAGAAGGTTTTTATCTTAGAGAGAGAAAAACGCATTCTGGGTGAAATAATTTGGTTTGCAGTTAAGCATGGCAAGATGGCGCCCATGAGTGGCTGTGCATCTGCTAGGCTCCTGATCTGTTTCTGATGTTTTTATTGGTTAGAGGTATTTGACCTGATCTTTATCATGTTGTACAGCGCTTTGTGATTCATATCTGAGAAAGACGCTATATAAATAAACTTTTACTTACTTTACTTACTTACTAAATTATTTCT